AAATCGTCTAAGTTCCTTGATGCTCAAAATAGCTTACGTTTCACAAACACAAGTTGAAAATGGGGCCAATGTAAGGGGGATTTATCTTGACATTTCGGCCGCCTTTGATTCAATGCCCCATGGGCTACTATTAAAAAAACTGGAAATGTATGGTTTTGGTCATAACATCATAGAATTAATGAAATCGTACCTATCAAATAGACAAGTGAAAGTTGTATTGGATGGCCAAGAGTCTGAACTATCTGAGATGAATCATATAAACGCAGGAGTACCTCAAGGCTCCATATTAGGCCCCCTCCTGTTTCTAATTTATATCAATGATTTACCTGATAACTTAAATACCAAATGTTTTATATATGCAGACGACACGTCACTTTACCAATCCTTCACAGCTGAAACAGCAGCTGATAAGAATTATGAATTACAAGAGGATCTAAATAAAATTCTCTTATGGTCAAATACATGGAAATTAAACTTCAAAGCTAGTAAAAGTAAAGATATGACTTTTTTTAATCCAAGAAAGCGCGAAATTTTGACCCCAGATCTTTCCCTTGGTAATGACAAGTTACCAAGAGTAAACAATCACAAGCACTTGGGCTTGATTTTGGACAAAAATCTCACTTTTGACTATCACATTACTGAACTTGTAGCAAGAATAGATAAACTCATAAATCCGTTAAAAGTCTTCAGTAAGAAAATAAGTGGAAAACACCTTGAAACAATTTTTAATTCTTTTATTTTGCCACTCTTTGATTATTGTGACATTCTTTACGGATGTGCAAATTTGACAAAACTACAACTTTTAGACCGCCTTTACTATAAAGCTGCAATTATTTGTTCAGGTGCCATGCATGGAACATCAGCCACAAAAGTGTTGAATACTTTAAATTGGCCCACACTCTCAAATAGACGTCAATATCATAGAGCTACCTTTATGTATAGAGCTCACAACAACTTGCTGCCTTCTTATGTCACTGAGATATTTGAACCACTAAAAAGAAATCAAACACATGAACTAAGACACCAACTTGACTATATTTTACCAGTTAAATCCAAATTTTATGAAAGATCTTGTATCTCAAAAACAATATCAGAATGGAATCTACTCTCATCTGATATAAAGAACTCATCTAGCTTAAGCATATTTAAATCAAGCCTTAAAAGCAATATCTTTAACGAAACTGTTATTAACTCATCAGAATTGTCCATCTCAAGAAATCAAGAAATTATATTTAACAGAGTACGATGTGATTTCATTTTCAAGGCTCACCTTTACTCGCATAACTTTACCAATGTAAATTCCCCAATCTGCTCATGTGGTATTAACAGTGAAACAACCAGCCATGTGATTTTTCGATGTAACTTGAGATTAACATTCTGGACTGAATTAGAAAACCAACTAAAAAATATGAATATACAATACTCCCGTAAATATAAGACACAACGTGATAAACTTTCTCTGATCCTGAATGGTGATAAAACATTAAGTAGAGCTGAGAATCTGATTGTTTTAAAGTGCAGTGCCATTTTCTTCGAGCGATGTGTAAATGTCTGAAATCCTCCACAAAACAATTTTTATCTTATTGTATCTCATTTATTTTAATCAATAGTATTGATTGAATACATTGTATATTGTAATTGTAGAACGTGGCTAATAATGCTAAAAGCACAGCCACTCACACTGTATTTTTGTATTGTATTCTTTGTACAAATGAATAACTTAATAAATAAAAACAAAAAAAACACAAGTTATGTCAGCATTTCCTCTCAGTCTATGAAGGCTGGACAATACGTCTAATGCTTTGCGCTGGGGATAGCTTCACCCTGTTGAAGTTTTGTCCAGTCTTGTAGATCTCCCTTACTTCCAGTGCGGTAAATAAACTAAGTTTCACACACTTAGCTACATCAAAGTTTTCCCAAAAATCCAATCTCCAAAATAAACTAAGTTTCTCACACTTAGTTTCCTCAATCTGCCCTTGTATACTGCAAACGTATAGCTTGGCTCATCAGATGTATTCTACTAAGGTACAGCTTCTATCTTCATGTGTATACTGCAAACGTATAGCTCCAACTCCACAAAATCGACTATAATTAGGGGAGGGCTATTTGAAGTAGTTTTTGGTCTCAGGCGCGACCCAGGGCTGTTGTCTTAAGGACATTCTGTTGAAAATGAGCCATTCGGCTGATAATTGGTAAGAGTTTGCGATCTTATGATGTATAACTGTTACTCAGACACATATTTTGACACGATTCTGTTGGAAATAAGCTTTGAACCGAGAGATATTCACGATTGATATGCACATTTTTGATTGTGCCATTGCTTTTCTATTGCACAATCCATGTATTGATAGAAGAAACATTAATAATGCAGATTGGTTTACCTTCAATACATGGCAGACACTACATATCGGTCTATTAATACCAGTTTGTGCCTTAAATAGTTTTATATTTTCATCCACGGCCTGGAGCCTGGGTGTGTTTGTCTCTTATGTGTATGCTTGTGCATGGACTTCTAATCACTAGCAGAATTTAACATGATGCAAACTCGACATTATAACTCATGCTGTAACATTTTGACTTCGCTGGAAAACAATAGGAATTATTTTTCTTGCCAATCAATCATGAATCACAATCAAAATTTCAGAATGATCAATCAGGCAATGGTCCAAATCAAGTTATAACATTATATGATATTCAGCAAGAAGTCCGGTAGAAATACAGAATATTTAAACATCAAAGCTGAAAGTTAAAAGCTAATCTGTCGATTTTCTGTCTGCAAAAGAGCGTTTACATTTGACACAATAACAGACTGAGGCTTTGAAATCTAGGATTCCCCAGGAAAATATGACGTCATACTAATTAGCATAAGGATTTCCCTATTGGTCTGGGTCGGGCCTTGTTCGAAAACACAATCCATAAATACATGCTAATTTCTAAGGAGATAGGAAGTGTATAACGTGTTTATCGATTTGGTTTAAAGATTTAATCAATTATCAAATTGTTTAAGTGGATAAAGTGGTCACACTTGCTTCAATTCATAGCGAAATCGACGGATAGAAACTGACCGAATTCCCGATATCCTACCACCGTATTACTGTAGGTTATAAGCACAGTGACCTACAGAGGGCGCTATCACAAACAAGTACTGCACGAACCGATAAATTCCCGGGTATTGTAACGCCCTTGATTCAATCGAATCAAAAGCAGGAAGTAAAATAATAAAGGTGCCATGTTAGACTACCGATCAACTACAAATTAGACTGCCAGATAAGACTGCCCTATCAACAAAATCTTGATTAAATAAAATATGCGAACTATTTCACCTCTGTAAGTACAATTTAAGTTTAGGTTTAAAGTTTTTTATTGTCATTTAAACAAAACAAATTACAAACACAGCAAGGGCCGAAGCAATGCATTATTGGCCCTGGTAGTCAAGAATTTATATAATGTTAAGTGAAGTTGCAATGAGATTTAAGGATCAACTCGGTAATGCAGAACAGTATATAAAAATAAAAACTTACTCATTTAAAATAGTAACAATTAACTGCAGAAAACCTGCAGTCATTTCAACAATTTTCTGATTTGTCAGATACGATATTGAGCAATCACCGTATAACAAATAATTTACCCTGTCTTGCTGTCTGAGTTGACCAAACACGGTTAAATCAAAGGATGGCAGTTCCCCAAGTTCTTCCAAAAACAAGTTTCGCTGAACAATGAATAGAGGGCAGTGTAATAATAGGTGCATTGTAGACTGTGATCTAAAGCCACAATTACAACTTGGAATATCAATGTTTCTAAAATTATGTGTGAATAAATGCTGCCTAAAAATAAAGTCACATCGAGTCTTATTCAAAGTTGATTCTGTCTTCCTATCAAGATGCAATTTTGGAGTAGGTAGCTTTATTTTAGAATTTTGAATATGTTTCCTCAGGTTAAACTTAAAACAATTTCTAGATTGGATAGCTTTCAAATCAACAGGCAGTTTCTCCCATGCTGTTATACAAGATATCACTGTACCCTTTCTGATCTTGGCCTTACAGTGAGCTGGTATTCTGAAAGATCTGACTCTGCGTAACCGATTTCCATTATTCATTACAAATATGATTTCTATATAAAGAAAAGGCCTGGTTTACATAGGAAGGCATTTTGTTGTTATTTATGACGTCATAAGTAAACAATAGTTTCTTTTCATCCCTCCTGGCCCCTAGGGACCTCCAACCTAAGCATGAGGTGACTTTGGTTGCATTTGTACCTTGGGTACATCCACTGACAATCAATGCTGCCCTATACTGAATACTATCCAATTTAGAAAGTAAATTTAAGTTTGCACAATCAAAAATGATATTCCCATATTCTAAGTGAGGTAGTATAAATGCCATATAAATCTTCTCTAGATGTTGTGATCTTAAGTTATGTTTTAGTGCCATAAGTGGGTTCAACATCCTGTTACATTTAACAATTATACTGTTAATGTGTTCTTCAAAGTTTAAAGCCTTGTCTAAAATAAGTCCAAGATGTTTGTGACTATTGGTGAAAGGGATAGAGTCACCATTTAACACAATAGGAATTTGAGCAATTGGAGTTCTAGTTTTGGACTGGAAAAACACTTCCTTACTTTTACTTGTCTTAAATTTTAATTTCCAAGTCTTTGACCAGATCTCTTTTCTATTAACATCGCTTTGGAGTTTTAGATAAGTTTCATGAACTGAGTCCTCCTTTTTGACAGGTAGAAAAATTGAGCTATCATCAGCATAAAGGTACAGAGTGCTATTTAAAACTGCATCGGCTAGGTCATTGATATAAAGTAAGAAAAACAGGGGACCTAATATTGACCCTTGAGGAACCCCACAATTTATTACTCCTTTGTCAAACCCCCCTAAATTCCTTCCTCCTGTCCCTAGAATCCCTTCCATTGTCCCATCGATATTGTCATATAGAGTATCTGAATTTATTGAAGTACCATTCACCCTAACTTTTAATTTTCTGTTATTAAGGTAGGACCCTATCAGATTAATAATGTTCTCACAGATACCGTATGATTTTAGCTTATGGAGAAGTAAGTAGTGGGGGACGCCGTCAAACGCACCCTCAATATCAAGAAAGATCCCTCTAGTAGAAATATTATGGTCAAAATTTGAAGTAATCATATTTACAATAGATACAAGTTGTTTCTGAGTGTCATGCCCAGGTAAAAACCCGGATTGGTTACAATTTAAGTGCTGCAAATGATACTACAGTTATAAATATTAATAATCCCAATGGGAAATTACTTTCCAAGTGTAATAATTACCTAATGTACAAAAACACAGCACTTAATTAAAAATCAAAAATTTTACATTTGAAATTCCGTTACAGTATTTTTCGCCTGAGGCACGTCATGTTTCAACAATTAGCAATTTTATGTATTTTTTGTACACTGTATTGCCCTAGGTACATATTGCGATATTTCATGAACTAACTACACAATCAAGTGGTTGAATGGAACTATCAGTGAATCTTGAAATCATTAAAGGTGGCCAGGTAATATCATAAAGCCAAAAAATGGTCACACAACAAAGAAAAGCAACAACAATGAAAAAGAAATGGAATTGGTATAAAACCATTTTGGCATATAGTTCTGGTGTTTTATTGTTTATTACAACAATGAATATGATTTGGACATTTAACCACACAATCGAATGGATAATTTCAAAGCCACGGTCATACACAAGACATGTTCCAATGGTAATAGACAGAACACATGAGATATCTACAAATAAAGGAGCTGGTTGGATGAAATATAATTTCAAAAAGATGGAAACTAATTTTGTGAAAATACCAGAAAGAGACTTGATAGTCTGGTCGGCGTTTTACGACAATCGCAGTGTTGGTGACGTAGCATTTAAGTTTAACGACGGATCGAAAGGTGCTCTTGTACAACCGTGGAACGTCAAACATAGGCCAGTGGTTGTATTGCTTGGTTTATCAGAAAGAAAATTGAGCTCAACGTACTGTCATTTGTATTTTTCAAATACTTCATTCAGAGAGGCAAGACTAAAAAGAAAGAGAACGACCAAGGTTGTGTCAAAGATGAGAATGTTGAAATTCAGACCATTTAATATTTGGAGAAATAATTTATTCATGTGCGATGTGAATCGCCATTTTGTAGAAACAAGCAATTTAGAACTTCCAGTGTTGGTTGGCCTGTCAGCTTCAAATATTAGCCTACCAGAGAAACTCATTAAAGTTGAACCATTTTCAGGTGCTAAACCTAGGCCTGATAACTCAATCGGAGTTTGTGTGAGTACAATTTACGGCAACCTCTCCTCAGTTAATTTCGCAGAGTTTGTAGAATACTACAGAGGCATGGGAATAAACAATTTCTACTTATACGAGGCGCTCAATATAACTGAAGACTTATCTAAGTTGCTAACGTGGTACGAAAAGAAGGGTGTTTTAAAGTATATACCATGGAGATTACCCTTTGGTGATAACAGCTATCCAGAAAGGGCTTCTCAGAATTTTTTTGATAACCATGTTCACAAAGCCCAGAATATGGATTGTATATACAGGAACTATGGCCGTCATAAATGGATGTTGCACGTCGATGTTGACGAGTTTATCGTCCCAAAACTCGATATGACAATAGATCAAATGATAACCCGAGTATCAAAACAAGAAAATTATCCTCAAAAGGTGTCAAGTCTAAGATTTCTTCATGTTCAATTCTGCATCGATCAACCACCTAACAATAAAACAAACATTGACAAAAATGCAGAATTTGACTTACTGTTTGATCGGTATCAAATAAGTTCAAAACCGTGGCCGATTACGGCAGGGGGAGCTCGTACAAAGTTTTTGAGCAATCCTGCCGGGGTTGAATATGTGGGATCCCATGAAGCAAGCCTCAGATTGAAGGACTTCAAGGAGGTTAACATCGACCCAAGCATAGCTACCATGCATCATTATAGAAAGCCTTTACTTGATAAGAAACTTCCATGTGACCAGACTAATACGCATGCGCTGAAATACGTCAAAGAACTTCGACGTGGTGTAAAATTTGTGTTAGAAAGTTCGAACAAGTAGTGAGTTAGCTAAACATCAACTAAGCTAATAGATACCACGTTCTGTTTTTTCTATTTCATCATCAGAAGTTATGACATATTGTTAAAGGTTGGCGATCGTCGTCTCTAATAAATAATAGTGGAAAGAGTTTGCATTGCCCTGTTTTACTTGTAGTAATGTCACTATTTCATTTTCCATTTAAATAATAACTTACAATGACGTATACATCAAACCAGCCAACAGAGATAAGAAAAAGGTCAGATGGGACGGGAATAAGCTATACATAGACGGTGCACAAATCGATTTATTGGGCCTGGAGCAAGAGTAACACGACACAATATCACAAAACATTGAATAAACCGCTATAAATATGGCTTAATTTAAGTGTTCTTTTGTATTGTATTGTATTGTATCCTTTATTACCACAAGTGTATATTGTGAGTACATTTACAATTTTTGTTTTGCATTAACATATTTACATAAAATCACATTTGCATAAGCATATTACGCTTTGCATACATTAGGAATACAGTTTTGGCTTTTAAAATCATTGCTTCATCATTGTCTGATTTGAAAGTTTGAAATATAATGTCATCATTACCAATTCTAAATAAATTGAGAAGTGCAACTCTTTCCACATCTATGGAATTGCAGAAACGTAAAAAGTGATCCAATGTTTCTGTTTCGCCAGTATCACATATATTACATTTTCTGTCACCCCATTTTTTATTTCCATTAAGTGTTTGATTCATAAGCAGCTTGACCATTAATTTGCAATATTTTAAATCACTAGGGTATTTGAAACTGAGTGCCCACCATTTAAGTAGCTGGGCAAAGCATTTACACTTACATACAAATGTGTTGCACTTTCTATAGCACAATTAATCATAAACGTTGCATTTTGGCTTTGGCGTAGCCTACCTAAAACTAATTTTCCCCATATTTCCTTTGTTGGGTAGACACCTGTGTTTATCATATTAGTTGCAGCATCTAAAAGATTAAATCTGCTTAAAACATTCCATATTGTATTAAGTGGTGACGCAGCACCACCGTGACCATTATATTGGAATTCCGTAGCTCGATAAAGAAAGACCTGCTTATAATTATTTCTTACCGGTAGTGTTATCAACATAATGAAGAACATTAATTTATCTAAGGCGATTTTATACTCGATGTCCATCCAGCCCAGTGGATCAGTTGAAAATACATTATCAGCAAAAGGAAGACATTGAATGCGTTTTCCAATCTGCCTATGGGCTGTTTGGATTAATTCAACATCATTATTCGGATAAGAAATGATTGAACTACCGTATAGCATTGTAGGAATAGACAGCGTCCAATAAAGGCATGATGCCGTTAGAGGATTGAGTCCACCACAAGTACTCCCTAGACCAAGTAGAGAGAAACATTTCCTTTTACCAGACGTAACCGCCTTCTCAACATATTCGGAAACGCTTCCACTAGTTGATAAGGGTATACCTACATGGGTTTGATTTTGCACAATAGTCACCTGCTTGTCGCCAATTTTAAACATAGGTTGTACAGCGTGGTCATTATTTCCAAAAGTCATCACATTACATTTATCAGGATCGGCTATCATACCGCCACTGAGGCTGTGATTGTATGCCAAATTTAGCAGTGCATTCATAGATGTCGTGCTTGTAGTAATTATTGATGTATCATCGGCATAAACTGGACATGTGATATCCAACCCACCAACTAATGCACCCAACTTTAACGATTGCAATTCTAGGATTAAGTCAGCATTATATAATTGGTACATTAACATAGAATAGACCCCGCCCTGATGAACTCCTTGAAGTACATAGAAAGGAGCAGAGAGTGTATCCACACGTACCATGCACTTGTATAATGTCGCGCAAAGAGATACAGAATGTCAAATATATATCTATGTTACGCTCATCTTTGATACAAAAAACAATCATAAAACGATAAAAAACAAGATATGCTATCCTTGACGGGACGTTCTAAATTCAAATCTTGTGTAAAATGATACAATAACTTTGAAAATTTCACATTTTTGACCTCAATAAAAGACATACATGGTTCATAAAACTCATAAACTAAGAACAGTGTAATGTTGTGCTGCAGTGTGATAAAATTACTAAAAATGTCAACTTCATTAAAAAATATTTAACCTCTTTGTTACACAAACATATGAGCCATATTATACTTGGTTAAAAATCATTTTGGTAATTGGTAAAAAATACAATGCCATCCTCAATAGCTTAAATCGGATGCACTATTTTCCAATGCAATGCCATCCTCAAGGGCTTAAAATCAGATTCATTTTTTCCAATGCAATGCCATCCTCAATGGCCTAATATAAGATTCATTATTTCCAATGCAATGCTCTCCTCGATGGCTTAATATATCAGATTCATTATTTTTCAATACAATGCTAACCTCAATGGCTTACGCTTAAATGAGATTCAAATGAGATGCATTGGCACACCCAGGGGCTTTTATGAGATTCCTATGCAATGCCGCCATCAGAGGTTTAATCACCATCAGATTCATGAGTTTCCAATTGCAATATCGTCCTCAATGGCTAACGTCAGATTCATCAGTTTCCGATTCTAGTTTTTCATCTGGCACTTTTGATTCAAGATATTATTTCGGCATCGTATTGATTATGTCAACAAGACTAGACATTCTCAATGGAGTCCTTGGTTTCTTTTTTCGTATACACCTTGTAATCTCATCTTTGATGCGCTCCTCACAGAGCAGTGTATTGAATTCGACTAGTTTAGTGAGTCTATCAAATTTCTCACTGGAATACTCAAAATTGAATGTATCATAGGGTCTGCCATTTGGCCCATCAAACAGACTGAAATCCGCAAATTTCAATTCTTCGTCAGTTTCCCTCGGTACTCCTATAACGAAAATAATTTATCATAATGTCTCATTTGAATAAGTATACCCGTATTGTAATGATTATAACAATATGTGGAAATGGAAGTATGGACATATCGAGGCGCCATGGTATTGCATATGTAAACATTTATATGAAACACAGGTACGTCAGTTTATTGTGTACCAATTCGGTCTATTTCAAGACGTGTTATTTAATAGATAGCATCCATGATACATAACATTCAACAATTATAATTCAAAAATCAATTGTCCAGATACGCATTATGTTTATCAGTAATTCTTAGTGATTTGATATTAGCATTTTTCTTGCTGATCTTCCTAATAGATATTTGTTCTCTTCATTTGGGTTATACATTTACCTGGTGTCTTGAACCTTCTGAATTGCTTATTGATCAGGACAAAGTGCATGACAGTTGGACAAGCAGGATCGTTATCATCTCGGAAAACGTAACACTCCTCTGGGTTTGCCCGATCGTCATCAGTAACATCGATCTTTGGGAAAGGTACTCTGTTGATTTCTGCCCACTTCGCTGCTTTCTCAAGTTCCTGGAAAGAATGAAATTTGAGCAATAATGCAAAACATTACACTACGTTGAAATCAAACGTTATACAGTTTTTGTAGCTGTGTGTACATGTAACATGTTTTATGTAACTAATCATTAAAAGAGATATCTGTGTATAAGTAAGTTATCCAAATCTGAGAGAAAAGGTTTGGCTTAAGTTTCGTTTGTTCATCCTTTGAGGTGATATTATATTTTCTAACCCGGGGGGGGGGTAAACCATTGCTTTCAACTACAGTTTGCTTTGATCATTTGATTATTAATTGTACAAATTGCAAAATGGGCTTACACCAAATGGGTCTGATACATCGGATTCCCTCGCACTGAAGTCAAAAGACAGTATGAGGTTCACTTGTCGTTGTGGTCTCAGAACCAATGGGAAAGGGGAGTTATAGGCACAGCCGCTGTCGATCATATACAGTTTCTTTGTGTCTGTGTTTATCCCTTCTTCGAAATTACCTCCAAATTTACCTAATATTAGAAAACAGCAATGTTGCTACATTTCATGAAGCATACTGACAGATAAAACGATAACATTTTAATAATTTTATTTTGACATAACATTACTTGTACTTGTGCTTTACAGTAATCTATTGTAACTTTCCATTCTCATTAACCAAATAAGCTTATTATATCATAACTGTGTAAGTTTGCTCTCAGCCATCCATATACATATCACAATCATTAAGAAGAATTGTGATCGAATAAAGATGCTGACTGTTGATTTTCTGAGTGTAAAGCAACTGTAAAATTAATATATTTTCATTTTCATTTTCTGTTCTTATATACTCAGTCTTATTTTTATGGCGGAATGTTTCTACTATACTTTGAAGGAATATCATTTGTGTTTAGAACCTATCATCCGTCTCATCATTTGAGGGGGCAAATGGTGAGAATGCGTAAACCGTCTGGATATTAAGTCCCCTCAAAAAGCTGAAGATTTTGCCTGCTCTGCCAGATCTGATGTTCAACACTCTACTCCCCAACAAATACTCTCCCCACGTCTGTTTGGCTTTCTTTTCAGTCAAATCAGAACGCATTTTTTCTTGCATACAGGCCTTGATTTCATAGACATCCTCATCTTCGCTGTCTGTATCACTACTGCTGCTCTTGTTATCCATATCACTTCCACTATCGTACACTTTAGAATGTTTTACCTTTGTTTCCTCTTTTGGTATTCCGCTTTTGCCTGGTGTTATTTCCTTTTCTTCTGTTGATGATTTTTCACCTGAAATACAATTCAATAGAATATTCCCGGGATTTAGTTACACCGTTTTACAATTGCTAAAATTGAACATTAAAAATCCAAGAAATCAGACATAACGTTTTTCAATTGCAAATTGAAAATAAACGTATTGTTTTAATATTCCAACATAACTTTTATATTATTATTATCGTTATTATTTATTAACCAACACTACATCCAACGGCCTTTACCAAAACCCAAGTACTGACATTAGAATAACTATACTATAACTATACTAAAGATAATTCCTTTAAACATGATTTACCCTTGAGGAATCGTTTGTACATAACGTCAATGGTACTGCTCCAAGTACCTGCAAGATAAAATAAAATGTTTGTTTTGCAAAAGAGATTGGGGCGGGGTGGGATTTGCCTTTAATTAATTTGATTCTACTGAATTATGATGGTTCAAAAGATACTGGTTTTCAAATACTACTAGAATAATGATTTTGTTCGTTTCACCAAAAATATATTTTGGGTAAATGATCTTAAGTAGTATTAATGCCTGTACTTCGATTTTCGTTGTCCTCGAGGCTGTTTGCTACTCCACTGCTGCTGTTGTTATTATCTTCATCTCTTTCAGTACCATCCTTGCTTGAGGGTTTCGCGTTTGTTATTGGTTTCACTTTTAGGATTTCCCTCTTTCCTTTTGTTGTTTCCTTTTCTTCGGTGGTTGGTTTGTTATCTAAAATATAATTGCAATCAAATATTTAGTTAACTTTATTTAGCAGTGATGATGTTGCATGTTAACAATTGATGAAGCTTTAAAATCTAACAAGAATATTCTATCTAAATGGATTGTTAATACGACAATGTATAATCAAATTAAAGGTAGTATAAATGCTGTGTGGGGTTTTCACTCTAAGATGAGTACACTATTCACAGAGATAATAAAACCCGTAATGTTAATAACATGATTGATAGAGATGGGACCCAGAGTTCTACATTAGATACAAGTCAACAAGTAAAACAACATCGGAAATACCGCATATCCCATATCAAGTTGTAGTAATATTCAAAGTTTTGTATACAATCCCAAAAAATGTGTACGAGTGTAACCAATAAGTATTATATGTTTATATCGTAATAAATAAAAGGTGAACAAAACGCTATCACAAACACAACATAATCACAATTTTATTAATATATTGTACGTAACATTGATGTAAATTGGTTTGTTAAAAAGTGAAGAAAATATGAATATTTCTTCTTTTGTGGAAATGATGGGATAAGTAAAAGCTATAATGAAACCACACATCATACACGTGACTTACCTGTGAGGTACCTCTTGAACAGAATGGCAAAGGCACTGCCCCACATACCTGTAAAATAAAATCTTTGTTTTACAAAAGTTTCAGACTTTCAAATGATCAATGTTTTTTGGTTCTTTTGCTTGAATATTTCTTATTTCTCGATTCTGCACAATTCCAATTGTTTGTCTGAGTGTTGGTTTTCCATTACTATGATTTATCATCAAAATAACAGATTCAATGTTATGTAATCAAATTTATTTGGATGTTAATATGCAGGGACGTGACCAGGAGATAAGAATAGCCGAGACTTTAGATAGGTGAAGCAAAGATTGATCAGTTTTTACAGAAAAGAATGTTGAGTGAATTTTGCTGTAAATTTTGCCTCGCATGTATTATTCCTGGTCAGGCCTATGACAGGGGAGGATAACATGATAAATGGGATCAAACCATATAGGAAATGCAGAGGAGGCTCTTGGAACTCTCGTATTTATCTTCCCATGTTGAACTTGGCTCCAAACAGCTTTGGTTTCACAAAAATTCCATATTTTGGCATTCCTATCTCAAATGGTGAGAATTCGACCAATTCTAAAATCAAAGAAACTGTGAGAGTAACAAATATTCAGCTTTATAAATTGGTAAGAATTAATTGGTCGAAAAATGCAGAAATTTTAAAAACAATTGACTTATAAGCTTAGTACATTTATATATAAATAAAAAATATCATAATAACATACACTATAATAAACTTATCATATTATCCAATATTTGTATTTTTCATAACACTGAGTATCCTATATCCATAATAAATGGACACCATGGAATACTTCTGCAGATACAGTCTCTTTCACATGGACAGAAGTCATGAGAGGCATGGGTGCAACGCCATTTTTTATCTTCGCTGCAAAGTCGGAAAGAGTGGAATCCATTCTCTGGAAACAATTTAGGATACATCAGAATGAAAAATATGTTTGCTTGCTTTAACTTGTTGTATTAATGCTTTATTGCTCTTGAATATGTATTTTCTAAGAGCAATAATATGAAAAAGCTTCCAAACTACATACATCACTCATGATGATGTGCATCATAACATGTCCGTAGAAGTCTGTAAAGCTGATTGGTTGCCCTCTCTGGCGTTTTGCTAACATGTACTTTGCGGCCTCAAGGAATCTCTTCAGACTAAATTGCTGATAGTGGGTCGCATCTATACTGTTTTTCAACTCAGCTTGCTGCCTACTGAGGTCAAGAGAAGGCCAATCTTGGTGAGAGTAGAGATGTGACAGGTACCTGTAAGTAGAAATAGTACAACTACAGAGTAGAGCACAATACATATTTATGAAATAAGTGCAAGGTGTCTTTAAGACATTGATGGAACATTGCTAATGCCTGGGTCACATTTGCCCCGATCAATCGGCCGGCGCCGGGCCGATTGAGTGTTTTGTTTTCTTTCTAATGCCGTGGTCACATTTACTCCGATTTTTACTACGGCGCCCGGCCGATTGAGTACTTGTTTAAAGTTGAATACGATATTGCCGGGTGCCGTAGTAAAAATCGGAGTAATTGTGACCACGGCATTAGCAATATAAAATAATAGTCAAAATAAATTGACACTCAAAGCTCAAAATGTCACAAAATTAAATCATCGCAATTTCTTTTGAAAATTCTTCAAACTTCTGAACAGTATGTTACAATTATAATATGTATATCTATACACATTCCCACTCCAACGCTTGATTTGTATTGTGCTATACAATTTTCATAACAATAGGACTTTAGGGCTGTTTTATATTGTATTTGTTGTAGTAATAGACCTGGGAGTATGAATAAAGCTATCAGAAAAAATAAATATGTTTTGAAAAGTTGTGACGTAAACAAACTTGCCCCGCCTTTTTGTTGTTTCGGTTGCTAAAGCAACCACAACTCTGGCCAATCAAGCAGAAGACGCTTTAAATTCACAGAATAAAGGTGAAAAGATTTGCGCTACAAACTCTGAAAATTTCATCAAGGTTGGTACAATATTAAGAAAGTTACAATATCTTTTACCTTATTTATTGGACACCCTGTATATTGTATAGCACAATACAATTCAGCTTTAGTGCACTGCATGTGACAGTCAATCGTCATTTGTGCCACACTGTTTTCGGATAGCTGACAAATTGTCAATTTTTTAACAATTAAAAAAATACAAACCAAGAAGACCCTGATAATCCGCCAACATATTGTACAATGTCAATCAGTTTAGTGTCTGTTAAAGCCTTCATTGCCCCACTGCTTCCTACCATAGCTCTGTAACCACCACCAGAAAATAGCATTGCCACAGTAGGTACCTTATAAATTAGAAGCATGTATTTCAGCCTTAACATACAGTAGCATTTTAAAAGCATGTATTTGAAGAAAACCGAGTAGCATTCCGAGTGTGCATTTTAGCCTTTGCCCAGAGAGTTGTACCGTGTAAAAGATTCATATGTTATGGAAAGGCAATGATATATCGGAAGATTTGTCAGATCAGCACGGTGGCTTATTTTAGTACCTCTTTGGCGGTGCGTGGAGCATCATCGCCTAGTAAGGTCTGCATTGATTCAAACACTCTCAAACATATTTCTGTTTGAAATACCTTCTCTTCATCACAAAGTGCAAGGCTGTACGCAAGACTGGTATCCCTATTGGAATAGAATGAAAACATGCAGTAGAGTCCATTTACAGAAGAGAACATAAATAAAAAGAAAAACAACAAAAAGAACAGCTAAACAATCTGTGTGCAAAACTTCTGACATGCATGCAAATGGAGAGAATGATTAAAACAGTGATGGTTGTAAAATATTGCTTAACTAGATAATGGCAACTCCGCGGAGTAGCAAATCCCAACGAACAAAATATCAATTACCGAATTCCAATCAATTATACTCATTACTTTGGTTGAAAATGAAAAAATTAGATTTTAGAATTGCGAATTCCTGCAAAGCAGCCATTTTGAATTTTCTGAGGTACAAATCTGAAAAACAATACCATAATTGTGATCTACTCCAAAATTCCTTCAATTTGAGTATAATATAGCCATACTTTGAAGGGATCGAAAAATTATTGCGAAATCGTACATTAGACGGCCATTTTGAATTTTACGAGGCTCGAATCAGAAAAAGATACAATATTTGCAATCTACTCTTAATTGCCTTTCATTTAAGTATAATAAAGCGATACTTCAGAAAGATCTAAAAATTAGCGAAAATTTCTGTTTTCCTGTCCCCCCATACATGGCCCCTGGGGGTCAGGATGAAAAACACGGATTATATCTGAAATAGATAAATGTTATGAATACACTACCAAAATTTCAAACAATAATATTAATTACTTTGGTTTAGAATGAAAAATTTATGATTTTTGCGAAAAAGTCCCGTCATTTTTTAAGCGGCGGCCATCTTGGAAAAAATTTTTTTTGCGTAGAACAATTCACCAATATACATCTTTCCACTAAATATGAAGAAAATCTGTCAACTAGTATTTGAGTTATCTTCCGGACAGACGGACGGACTGACTGACTGACTGACTGACTGACTGACGGACTGACGGACTGACGGACAGACGGACGGACGGAGGGCTTCACTATATCCCTAACGAACTTCGTTCGTTGGGATAATTAATGACTCACTCTTCAAATAGTGTCAATTCAAGGTCTACTTCTGAACCGTTTTCAAACTTGATTGTGACCCTTTGGGTTTCACTTAAGGTCAACGTGTCAAGGTCAAATATCTCCACACCAAGTTTCTCGTGAGAGAATAGCCAATTGGAGTCCATCAGCTTTACCTCTGCAAAATATTACAATATTTGTGTCATGATTATGATAATACTTGTATATATATAGACATTATGCAGGAGTTTCTGAAGAAATAACACTATTCATTTGATTTGAAATGGAATATACCATATTACATGGTGTCATGTTAGATGCACTCGAGGCATCCTAGCCCATTGTTGCCCGCCGGATAATACTAATCCATATTAATTAAGTTTTACTTTTCAGAGGATAATAATCTCTCACAATACAATGTAATTTGGCATAAAGTAGGAATAAAATGTTGCCTTTTTGGTGAAAATTGGCTCATAATTTGGGAAAATTCATTGAAGATTATAAATGGGCCCAACGGACCAATTCATATTTTTGTTGTCACCAAACTCGAACTAAAGCTACAGATGCTGATGAAGCTTCAAATAAGGCACGTGCCTCTTTCTACCATAGTATTTCTTGAAAACTAAAATAGTCAATAACTCACCAAGCTGATGATGTAAATGTGGGGGTAGGTAAAATGTATGAGTTTCGTTCCATTCTGGGTTGGTGTTGTTCCTGATATGGGCAGTCTCTTTCTCCACAGATACTGATTCAGGTACATTGAGCCTGAGAAACGGGTCGGGTGTATCTCCTATAGAGTAATTATACTTTTGTTACTATAGCCGATCAATTAAATAACAACTGCGATCATTTGTCAATTCAAAAGCTGCATAACAGATGTATATTTTAAGCGATGTGAGCCATTCGTGCTGGCTCTTGAGAGAAATATTGGCCTCCTCGGGCGGCATACGACCCTCGCCCATTATTTCATCTAACAACCAGTACGCATGGTTTAAACTTTACTTAAATCAATGTTATAACTCAACCTACACTACAATGTCGTCAATACATTTCACACAACCTAGACAGATGAACAATACACTCAATAGAATTAGAATAAATACCCATCGAACTAAATGTTAATTCCATAGTTAATTTCTTAAGAAGGGCGTGGCATTTGGAATGATTGAAGTCAATATACAGCAGTAGCATTCTTTGGATATATGGAGCAGTTTGGCCTACAAAGGTCCACTTCTTTGTTTTACAATGAGATGTACGATATTGTTTTCATAAATATAGAAATTTTGTCCAACCCAGCTTTCGGCTTTACACTCACTTATATCCTTCCACCACGATACCTTAGTAATCTTTCTTATTCTAATGACTTTGACGCGCAAGGCATTTTCTTTGGGCAATCTGGAATGAATATTTTATATTTTAGTTTTTATTGAAATGCAATTTTCACCCTCCATCTAACAATCACATTATCTCACTAGCCATTTTAGTATGTTATCTTATTGTTTATTAGTACAAAAATAATTTCTGCAAAGATAGTACAGAAACATAATTGCCGTTTTGTGGGAATATATAACTAAACTGTTAGAACGGCATGCTAATCATATCGCAGGACATTCAGATAAAATGTCAAAAAAGCGCATCAACCGATATGCCAAATCCAACCGGTCACATGATCGATACTGTCATTAATTCCATGTGGTTGAAGATTCATGATTCACAGGTGAGCATTTCTTCATATAAATTGTAAATAGGGAGACTTACTCTTTGTAGAGCTTTATTGAAATATCAACTTCTGAAGTCTGAAATATAATATAAAAGATATACATATTAATATAATTGTTGGTTTTATAAAACTTTTTTATTCATCAGTCCATTATCACTGTAGTGTAGAACATGGGTCTCAAACATGATGAAAACGACACTTTCACTTTCAATTTGTGTGCTTGCTTTCCTTTACCAGCAGGAGACTAACTGGCCAAAACAACATCTTAGTCCGAAAAAAGTGGAGAACTGAAACACCAACAATTTCATTAGACGACCATTTAGATTCTCTCACTCTACGTTTAAATCATACATTTAAACAACAATTTCTAAATAGTGTGATCTCACCTCATTGAATTTAAGTGTTTTTTCTATAATTTTGTCTGTCGGAAGTTGAGTCAAATCAACACTTTGTGAGCCTAAATGAGTATCAGCACATACCGCATTCGCGTCTATAAGATTTATTTCTGGAAAATAATAATATTGCTTGTCACATGGTTAAACATGTTAATGAACTATTAGGTACAATAAATTACCGTCTGTAAGCTTACGTTCCTTCAGTGCTTTCTGGAAATGACTTCCACTGGCCGGATGACAAAACGATTATCTTATAATCTGATAATTATAATATTACAAAGATTTAAGAAGAATGAGTCATGGGATTACATGTAGATAGGACATGAATTTAGAAAATTTGATGAATTCGAAATCCATAAAATTTCATTTTTTATCGCATATGATATTTAACAGAAATGTGTCACAAAAGAGAGGCTAAATTGCGTTTCTCTTGAAAATATAAGTGAATAAATTTTCAAACCATTGGCTATATCATTATTATGTTATTGAATGTAAGTTGTTCATCTGTGTAACATGTGTTTGTGGGTGGTTATAGGATTATGTTGAAAAGCGTAATTGTTGCCCAATTTTTCTACGGTAAGTTACTTCTATTCTGCTTGCTAGAGTAGACCCAGGGATATATTTATTATGAATTTACGAGTGAGCACAAATGTACGGTTATCATGTGCAAAAACAGGTTGGGCCAACAATACCCAAGTTTAAAGATGAATGATGCATATTATATACCTTAAACCATGCCATGTATTATATATCATTTCAAAGATAAATTATGTCCTAACAATATGGTACAATTCGATTGAAAAACCTTTGTTTTTTGTGGAGTTAGAGGCTAAAACCCCAGGGGTGCCTTAAGCGACCACTGAATCAAAAAGTAAAACTTCCCAAAATTCCCTTCACATCACTGTCACGCTTGACTGAATCATTATACACAAATATTAGCCTAGTTTATTTAAAAGATGTGCACTAAACTTGTATAAATGTGCCTCTTTTGAAGGTGCCAAAGTTAAAATATTTTGCAAACCCTGTGGCTAGATCAGAATCAAATTGACTGGGTCCGACAGAATCATTTAAAAACTATCAACTAACGCAGCGTTGAAAAGTTACTAGGCAAAATTCTTGAAACCATTTAGGGCAAGCCTCTCCCAGACAAATTATTGAGGCTTTTTTGTCATTATTAAGGGTTCGAGTTCTGTTCATATTGACGCGACTCGCTATTTCTCTGGTTGGTACGTTGACATTCATCTTTGGTCGGATTTGGTCAGAGGACGGTTTACTTTTTCATAGAATCAGCATAGATTTGGGGTGGGAGATTCTTACATGATTTTGGACGGGGAAATCCTTACCTAATTTATGGTGACTGTCGGGAGCTATGTAGAAGTTGAAGGATTGATTCCATACTGGATTCACATTATCTTGTCTCGTCTCAGTTGTTCTGGTTCCCCTGTTAGTGACGTTGAGCTGTATATATGGATCTGGTGTATCACCTGGCAGAAAATAATATGCATTCATGTCAGGGGTCTAGCTACAGTAACTTGTGAAAACAGTTGTTAAGCAAGACTAGTGTCAGAGGGGTGCAGCCAGTATACTCACGCGTTCCTAACTTCGACCGTCAATTTGAATTTTTGACCTACCAGGTGCTTGAAAATCAAGGATTGCGAGTCTCATACTGCACTGTTTTTCTTCATACTTATACAATTAAAAGCAAAACAAATTGCCTTTCTGTCGGTGCATTACTTTATTGTAAAGAGTCACTCGTTCTAGCAGCGTTTTGGTCCCCAGTTGTTAAAAGGCCTTCTTACAGCTGGTAACCAAAATGCCGCTGGAAGTAGGGACTCTGTTGAAAAGAATAATGTACCATCAGAAAGGGATTTGTGTTATGCTTGAATGGAACAAGCTTGAAGAAAAACGGTGCAGTATGAGACTCGTTATCCTTGATTTTCAAACATCCGGTAGGTCAAAAATTCAAATTAACGGTCGAAGTTAGGACCGCGTGATACTGGCGAGGAAAAATTCAAGCCGAGGAGGACATTATACCTATAGTGTATATGTGAAAAACATTGATTCAAAAATATGTATTCGTTAAATGTGGATGAGGCAGTTGCCTCGAGATCATAAATTACGCGTACGCATGTAGATTGATTAGGGGTTCAAATTAATCATTCACAGGGGCGGATCTGGAAACCAACAAGGGGGGGGGGGCCCAAACGTCTTGTATGAGGAAAAAACTTCCGCGCTTGCACGTAAAAAAATTTTGGGCCCCAAAAACCCAAAAGTGGGCCCAAATTTTGAAAATTTGAGGCCCATTTTCTTCAAAATTTGGCCTAAAATTAAAAAACAAGGCCTTAGAAGGCCAATTTTTGACCAAAAAGGCCTACTTTTTGGGGTCTTAAGGCCTTTTTTGGCTCAAATTTTTTTTTGGGCACAATTTTTTTTTTCTGGGCCCACCCAAGGGGGAAGGGGCCGGGCCCCTGCCCCCCCCCCCCCAGATCCGCCAGTGATTCAATTGCCGGATTAGTGTTCTTTTTTACCTTCACAAGTAAAGCCACATCTTGATTGTCATCTCTCTATTCACGTACTGACCATGAGCAAAGACGTATGTACAGTAACTGAGTTACACATCAACGTTTTAAAGTATCATTCCGCATCAAGATAAGCCACTGTCAACTTCATAGGCAACTATAGTGCCAATATTGTAAAACAGAAATCGGATCATAAATACAGTTCAAACAGATCACCAGTGTCAGTGTATTATTTATTTATAGCTAACGAAAAGTTCTAAAAGCAAGCCCAATTAATCTTACTATTGAAAATGGATTCCAGCACTGAGACTCGACAAACTCGAGTTCTCTTGAGAAAATGAGGAGTTCAGCAAAGGTGTGTTGATGGGGTTGACTTTAAACCTGCATATCATAATGTACATACATGTTAGTCTCAGATACAGCGTATGTCATCAAGGGGATAGATTCAACATCCTCATTTTCTCAGAAGAACACGAGTTTATCGAATCTCAACGAGACCCTATCTGTTGCAAGACTAACGGCTGGCGTAACCGTCATTATGTTATTCGGTGTTCTTTAAGTAGCGCAAGGATCCTGCCATGACCGTGGTAATGTTATCGTGAAAGCCTGGTATAACCGCGACAATGCTGTATTATATTAAAATGCCTGCCATGACCGTGGTAGTGTAATCGTGTAAGCCTGGCGCGACCGCAACCTTTATATAACATTAATGACCCGTTGCTGTTGGTATTTTTTATGAATAGATCTTATTAATTGATCATTATAGAAAGTATATGCTTTCGAATCGAAGCTCCTTGAATGAGAGTAGAGATATAGTTTGTTCGCAAATTATTTATGAGTAAAAATTAGGTTTTCGTTGTGAAATTAATACACATTTTTAGTAGTCTTTATTTACATATTTAAGGTAGTTAAACACGAAGAAAAATTGTCATTACAGTGTTCTCATGCTACTTTAAATACAACCACGGTCATGAGAGGCCTTGCAACTATTGTCACGGTCATACGGGGCTTTAACATTACCACGGTCATGACAGGCCTTGCAATATAATATAGCATTGTCACGGTCATGACAGGCCTTGCAAGCATTGTCACGGTCATATCAGGCTTTAACATTACCACGGTCATGACAGGCCTTGCAATAATTTATGATTAGGACTGCTATAACCGTGACAATGTTTATAGCAAAGCCGGGCATGACCGTGACAATGTCATATAGTACTGCAAGGCCTGGCATGGCCGTGACCATGTAATACAGTATTGCAAGGCCTGCCATGACAGTGACAATGTAATGTTTATGATAGGACTGCCATAACCGTGACAATGTGTATTGCAAAGCCTGGCATGACCGTGACAAGGTAATATAGTACTGCAAGGCCTGGCATGACCGTGACAATGTAATATAGTATTGCAAGGCTTGGTATGACCGCCGTGGCAGTGTAATGTAGTATTGCAAGTTCAGGTATGAGAGTGGTGATGTAGGTGTTTAACTACCTTAATTATGTTAATATCAAAATTACTACTAGACATTATATTCACATTATTTCCGCATATTCTAAAATAATTAATCATTTACACAGAATAAGACAAGTTATTTGTGTCACACTAATAAACAATTTATTTAAAAGTGGATAGTAAACAAATCGCTTAACAAACAACAATAAAAAATTCTTAAATTAAACGTAAATGCTACGGCCGCGCCAGGCTTCAACGATAACACTCACGGTCATGACAGGCCTTGCAATATAATACAGCGTTGTCACGGTTATACCAGGCTTACAAAATAATACTGCCACGGTTATGGCAGGATCCTTGCGCTACTTAAAAAACACCGAATAACATGGTGACGGTTAGGCTCTTGAAGTGTGATTGGATGTTTGGATAAACTATTTATCACAAATTAGACATTGCGGATACCACATGTAAACACAGCTAATAAGATATAGCCTAAGGTTGTTTTCGCTTTATCTTATACGCCATACTGTAATCAAACTAAATTCTTTTCATCAATTGCAACCATGTTTTTAAGTTAATCGATTTCAGTTACGTGTTGAGAGGGTGCAAATTAAGACGGCGCCGGGTGCCAACCATATTTTACTACTAACTTTGGACAACTTTTAATTCTTCATTTAGCTCTTTAGTGCGCAAATAATTTTGTAAAAAGGTTAGCATTGCTGAAACTCCCCAAATTTCAAGTGCACAGATTTGCAGCACGTTTACTATTACTGTTCTAGTAATTTATCTAAAAGCAAGTTTGTTTAGAAAGTGTGGATTTTTTACATATTATTTTGCACGGTGGTCCTTCGATTGCTTATCATTTTGTTTGATAGATGTACATTTACATTACGATGTACGTACAGATATCTTGAAGCCTGCTTCCCTTGGATATGTTGCGTCCCTCTTTTACCTTTACGCTTAGTAGTGCGCATGTTCTACACTGCACTTGGAACACGTGGAAAGGGTCAAACCTACAATATATGAGAAATCACTCCGTTTGGTAGAATGTAAAATATATTTTCTAAGTACTAGTATCCCCTATTCATGAAAGAACTGGTTGTAACAAGCAAAACTCAAGAGCGAATAACTCGTTTTTGAAAGTCAGGGTTTCATTTTTATATACAAAATCGTATTTCGCGGCAAATTGTTTGAACCAAACACGCGTGACGTAAAATTTCTGCTCTGAAAATGAAATCAGTTTTTTCCAGCTGAGCCTAAAGGAAATTTTCTTTGGTTTACCTGTTCAAGAGACGGTCTTTTGCATACTCCCATTTTGTAATGTTATCCATGTGATGAAGCAACTCTGGTTTCACGGATTGTTTTTCTGTACAATTGACCATATTGGTCTCATCTTCACTACACATGTTGTCTACTTCAAGCATATTGTTTTTCTGTGCATCTTCTTGTTTTACATTTTGGCTTTTGATGTTAAATAACGCATTCTCTTTATTATTTCCATTTGTATCTGATTTGCCATTTGCATGTTCGCTAGCGTGTTTATTATTTTCAGGCTCCATATTGTTGTCTTGTTTTAAGCTGGAGCTTGTCACGGTAGTTGCTTTTAGATTGCCATTGGTATCACCTTCATTCATGATTGAACGATATATTTCTATATTTGCCACTACCTAGTATGTATCCAACAGACTGACAGAAGTCAGTCTGTTATGATGTACTACTTTCCTGTGGAAATTGCAGTGAAATTTTTTGCACAAAATTATCAATTGGAGGAAACATTTTTTCAATAAAATAAACATTACAAAATTTCAATTAAATAGTAAGGTACAATTAAATGCAATAAAAAGTAACACAGCATATTGTCTAGTGGAAATAAAGCTAGCTGAAGTAGCAAATGTGCAAATTAATTTTACCCAATCGGCCATTTTGAATAGCACTTCCTATGTAAACAAATGTTTGGAATTACCAAACTTTAACATAGGTGCCTTATAGTCTGAATATAATTCAGACTAAATAGGATATAGTCTATGCCACTACCCAGTACCCACACCGCTTTGTGACTACATGAATGACTCACGACCTTCGAGTGGCAATGGTTCGAGTTCATTTAATTTTACGTGAGATGAGATTTGATTGGCTCATTGGTCGATTAACTCTTGCCATTCTTAAAATGTTTGTATTTTTATAACACTTTACATATAAAGGTAATTAAAACCACGTGAATTAGCTTGTTATTGTATCTGTTAAGTAAATTGTTTGACATGACTGTATAGTAGCTTGGTTCTCATTAGATTAGGTACAAGTAGATTAGCTTAATTAATTAAGAATACCAGTATTGAGCCAAACTTTTCATTCTCGTCGTAAAAAGTGACAGTGCTGACATTTTTTGCATTCACGAATACAACTTTCGGCTGTCGGCTACCGGATTAAGGTAACGGTAAAGTTAATCAAAAGTACAACAAGACACACAGTGATAAATATCGCACTTTGAAGAGCAAACTGGCCAACATGCAATTTACCCAGCATGGCCAAAACCTAATCAGACCTTGGCACTAGTCTGCTCTTGCATCTGTAAACATTTCAAGTTGACAAGGTTAGCGGTTTTCCTGCAATTTTGATGACAAGAATTTATTTGTAGTCTTGAACTTTGGGAAAATTTAGATAACATTGTTTGTGACCTAATTTGATGACCTTCGACCTTGAAAATTTCACTTTTTCAGACCTCAGTAGGTCTTTTTTAATTAAGCTGACCTAAATTTAAATCCAAAATATCAATTTAGAAAATCAAATTTTTGACCTTTTCAAGGCCACTGAAGGTGAACGAAAGGTCAAATCTGAAATCTAAGGTCAGATGTTTTTGTAGATGTTTTTTAAAAAAAAAATTGGTCAATTTGGAGCAAGTTGAAAAATTCAAAATGGCCGCCAAATTGAAAAATTCAAAATGGTAACGATGATGATTTGTTGAAAAATTCAAAATGGCCGCCACGTAGTTTACCCAGCATGCCCTTAACCTAATCAGATCTTGGCACTAGTCTGCTATTGCATGTGTAAAAATTTCAAGTTGAACAGGTTAGCGGTTTTCTTGGAATTTTGATGACAAGAATTGATTTGTAGTCTCAAACTTTGAGAAACTTGGATAACATCATTTGTGACCTAGTTTAATGACCTTGACCTTCGACCTTGAAAATTTCACTTTTTCAGACCTCAGTAGGTGTTTTGTAATTAAGCTGACCTAAATTTAAATCCAAAATATCAATTTAGAAAATCAACTTTTTTTTACCTTTTCAAGGCCACTGAAGGTGAACGAAAGGTTAAATCTGAAATCTAAGGTCAAATTTGAACTTCTGAGAACTTGTAGATGTTTTTAAAAAAAATTTGGTCAATTTGGAGCAAGTTGAAAAATTCAAAATAGCCGCAAAATTGAAAAATTCAAAATGGCCACCATGTAATTCAGCAAGCATACCCAAAACCTAATCAGATCTTGGCAATAGTCTGCTCTTGCATCTGTAAAAATTTCATTTGGTTTTCCTGGAATTTTGATGACAAGATTTGTTGAAAAATTCAAAATGGCCGCCACGTAGTTTACCCAGCATGCCCTTAACCTAATCAGATCTTGGTACTAGTCTGCTCTTGCATCTGTAAAAATTTCAAGTTGAACAGGTAAGCAGTTATCCTGGAAATTTGATGACAAGATTTGGTTTATGTGCCGCCCGCCCGCACGCCCGCCCGCCCGCCCAAAAGCAAAAGACGACGACGACAATATAGCACTTTTTCAAAGTGCGATAAAAAATGGCACCCATATTTTTTGACTAGGTCACAAGATTTTGTGTTCTGTTTTCCTTATATGTGAATGCACTACAATTACAAAAAAGATTATTCCATGTAATTATGCAAAAATGATTGTGAGAAAATGTCTGCAGTTGTCCCAGGAAATATAATAGCATAGCTCCAATACCTTCACGTAGACAGGGGATGTGTATGCTATGGGGTTGTGTGAGGTGTAGAGAAAAGATTAACGCCAGACAAATGAAACAAGACTTGTGTTATTAACACAATTTTTCATTTCACCAAAATTAATCCGTCAGATTCCGCTGTTAAACAGACAGCCTGTTCTTGAGACTAATTAAAGTTTCCTGGGACAACTGCAGACATTTTCTCACAATCATTTTTTGCATAATTACATGGAATAATCTTTTTTGTAACTGTAGTTATGAAGGTACATGTACACTGGTTTTTGTGAAGTGTCAATATAAGGTGTATACAAATACATGTACATGTAGTGTAGGTCATACAAAATTGGTTCCATGTAGGTTAATGCAAACTATTCTTTTGCATCAGTCTAACAAGTGATCAGTCAGGGCAATGATGTAACTTGGAAAATGTCCTTTAAATGATTTAACCGATTTCTGAGTAACAAAGTTTTCCTTAACTGCTTAAGGTGGCATATAACCCTGTGTATTTTTTTTCGTGAAGCCACTCAGTAAAATTATTATTTCTCTGCACCCTGATGTCCAATCAAGAACATTCGAGTATCAATGTGTTCCTGACACGTTTGGGCATCCGGAAATGACAACGTCTACCCAAATTTTGCACGCCATATTGACGTAATCTAATCGGAGTGAAATCGGAAAAACAAAATAGTGTCTTTCAAGATTGCTCATAATAACTATTAACAAAAATGTTCTCGAGACACAAATCTATTTAGGTGAGGGTTTGTTTTAAAGTGTGCGCCAAAGTTTAAAACTGCGCAGGCGCAGCGCTCTCGCTAACCTATATAAAGAGATTACAAGGTACAGGCTTCAGAGGTAAGCCAGGGAGGTGAACAATCTTCGTCCCGTGATGATTTCCCGTATTATCGTAACCAGGCAAGTTTCACCATTGAAATTGAAAATTACTATAAGATATACTTTGTAGATATTATTTATGAAGCTATTATGCATCAATCAAATGGCTCATTTTGAACATATAAAAAAGTATTTGTGTTTTGTTTCCCAGGGAACTGTATTCCCATGTAGTACACACATAAATAGTGTACATTATGTAGTACTTGAATAGCCTGGTTTATATAATATTGAAGGGCCTGCTGATTGTACACACGAGTACATGCATGAATGCCTAATATTGATATAACTTGCATACCTAAATAAAAAATAAACTCTTCTAATCCCCTTATGTAAACACGGCGGTATACGTAGCTCGATTTATCGGGGACTTTAAAGTCAGAAAGCCCCAATGAGACAATACAAACCCAGAGAAAAGGCTTTGTATAAAAAACCTCCTACCTCATACCCACCTACCCACGTACGTGGGACATGATACGGTCTTTGAAGGGTTCAATTTTAGCTTATGATGAATTAAAGATGCATTTGTAACGACACTTGATAGCAAGTTGCTACTACATCCCAGATGGGTTCGATTCCAACTCGGGGCATCGAATTTAGCACACTTTCTTTCAATTTCCTTATCTGGCTTGTTGGACCTATGCTCGCGGTCGTTAGTTATTTGTTCCCCTGGGACGCCCTCGGGTCATTACACATTAAAATGCATCCATATGCCTTTATTTATGGATCTGTCATCTGTCTACTCATAAAATAAAGGCAGAATTGTAGAAATGTTAATAATTTGAGCTATTTTGAGATTTAATAATCTTTAAAGTTGAACCCTTCAATGACTGTATCATGTTCCACGTACGTGGTTAGGTTTTTTATACAAAGCCCAGAGAAAACCCGGAAGACTGCAGATTTCATGCAATGTTTTACGTTCATGTAAACAAGAAAAGTACATCTAATCCCCATATAGAACACTGGCCTACGTGACATGTACTAACACGTTCAAACTGAATTATAGAACCTTTTCAATATGGCATTTGCTTCCGTGTTCTGTATATCCCTCTACCTGCTTAATAAGGCAATGTATCTTCAAATAAAATCTTAGCCAAGTAGATTAGAGTCTATGGAACACTTTCAGGGTGCAGAAAAATCGTAATTTTACTGAGTGGCTTCACAAAAAAATAAATAGGGTTATAAGCCACGTTAACAGGGCATCAAGAATCTTTGAATTGTTTGCATGCAAGTATGCAATAACATATCACATTTAAACCGTCTTCTGGCAGGAAGGAACTAAGTGGATGACGTCTGGAACCCTGCGTTCGGAGGATGAATGTATTGAACCCATGTGAAACATGTAAATAGACCTTGTTTATAACCCCTAAACTGCTATGAGGTAAATACTTCGATCCTACATGACAAATCTGATTGTAAATCGTTAATGGGTAGAAGTCTACTTTTGGGCATAGTATTTTGCGCAACGTTTATTTGGAGAAAATGACAGACTACCCAACACTGACTTGTCCAGTTTTACGATATAGTGATCGAGTATCCATTAAAAACAACAAAAATAGAAGAACAAAATCTTATTTCATGATCAATTCTTAGGTTTATTGCTAAACATTTTATTTGATCAAGTTAATACACCACTTCTCAAGAGGTAATATCATTTAGTTGTATCACGCGGTACTAACTCATCGGGGCGTATCGAAACCAAAACGCCCCGCAAAACCGTTAATTTGAATTTAAAATCTAGACTGTCTTAAAAACTCAATTTTTGTGAGTCTCATACTCCGCCGTTTTTCTTCAAACTTGTTCCACTAAAACCTTCACAGAAACACCTTTCAGTCGAGACATTGCTTTTGTTTACAAAGTCTCTCGTTTTAGCGGCGTTTTGGTCCCCAGATGTGAGAAGTTGCAAATCCTCAGAGATTTCAACCACACTCCTTGATATCTCGCCAGTTCTTCTATCACTCTCCCCCATATTCTGCGCAAAGACTCACATTACAACCCTCCATCGCTGCATCAACATATTTATTACATGAAACGCAGCAAAAGTCCTACGCAACTGCATCTGAGTCTATGACTACTGATAAGATGTATAGATCCAACGGGGCGTTTTGGTCAATTTCGAACAGATGCGTAGGACTTTTGGAAATTGCTGATATGGTTTTCATTCATTCATTCTATCGCTATGCTCGCTCATAGCATCTCTCTCTCTCGAGGGTAGAGATGGAGAGGACGTGGCTTACCGCTCAACCTGCAGATATAATATCAATGCATGGATACAAATCATATCACTGATCTTGTAAAAATTAGGATATCATTCAGATTTCTTTTAGTATCTACATTGTGAATTGTCTGTTACTTACAGAATAATTATTTTTGTGCCAGTGGACTTTTCTCAGTTGCCATCTTGATTCACATAGTTTCAGTTGCTCTATGGTCTTTCAAGAGAAGGGTATGCAACTCTGTGTTATAATCATGAGAACTTCAAAAGAGCAGTGCCATGCTTCCCTTTTTGATAATATTTCAAATGTTTTAGATAAATGTATTTGTTTTAGTATTATCTTGAAGAAAAATCAATTTTGAATATGATTAAAGCATAAAACATGTTTAATCTCATTTAAAATTAAACAAAAAGAGCCACTAAGAAAAGGAAGTATCAAAATGATCTCTTCGAATGTTACATTGTGGGTAATTATTCAAGAACACACTCCAATTAAAATATATGGGAGAATATGTGGGAGAATGTTCACTTTCAATATTGCCTTAATTATGACGAATTCCATTTTATGTTAAATTATCAACATATATATGTAGATAATCATGTTTTTATTTTTTATTTTTGAGTTATTTATTTAAATCATACACGAAAAGTACAAAATAAGATTTTTCTTGGAATGTGTACAGGAAGTATTTTATCTCCAATTTTGAGAACCCAAGGCAATACTTATGCATGAAATATGGAAAGTTGCATACCCTTCTGTTGAAAGCCCATGGTTGCTCCAACTTCACGTGTTATCATCTTGGAAGTCGAAGATGCAGCTGTCAACATTCTTTCAGAATAAAATCCATGTCTACCATAAATCAAATGTGTGCTTGCATTGTTGTATTAATTCTTAATGGCTTATTACCTAGCACATATAAAATGTTGTTGAGCAACTGAACAACACTGTAAATGTAATGCACACCTACAACATGTTTGAAACATACAAATATGGTGGGTAATATGCGATCATATTTTATTCCACAAAGAAATTCAGACAAAGTTACCCATACCATTATTTTTCAAGTTTTATAAAAGAGGTCAATATATTTCAGATTTTTGTTTATTCCAGAAAAGTAAAATGTATTTATTAGTAAGTAATTTTGAACTTAGTTGAAACTATAAATAAAATCAAAATTTACCTGAATAAAGTACATGTATTCATCTTCTACTGGAAAATAAGGAAAATACTAAATGCAATATGCTGGGGTAGTGCTTAACTATTTATCAATGTGATATGAAACCCAAATAATTAAGACCTAGATTCAGATGATGGCACATGCTGCTGAAATTCAACACAGGCCAGTTTAATCATATTGTTCTGAATAAGTTCAATTGATTTAATCAGTCTATCTTTTTAATTCAAAACGTGGATGAACCCATTTCAATAGTCAAACATTGAATCAACTAACAATCAACCTCGTTCAGGTTTGAATCAATGCAAGGGGAATGGAATTCAGGCCTGAATCACCCATTATATACTGATTCAGGCCCAAATCAACCCATGGTCTTGATTCAAACTTTAATCAGCCCATTCTTCACATCTTTGCTGTTACCACTAACACACTTAAACTTAAAGGATGAAATCTGTATCATAAATGGACCATACAAACAGCAGCAAGAATTCCTGACCACTAACGGATGTATCTATGCATGAGAATGGGTCTGTTGGAAGTTTCTTGAGGCAGCAGCGAATCCTAATTTACGTAAATAACAGTCCAATCAAAGGTCACGTGAAATGGGCGTGGCATTATGAAATTGAGATTTTGCTCCATGGCTGGCTGTAATGGATCAGCAACGTTTATATAGCAATATTGAGTGATCCCATTTACTCTGGATTACATACAAGCTAAGTACATGAATCAAATCTAGATCCTCAACCACATTTAAGAAAGCTGCAATTTTCATCCTTAATAACTCTAAAAAACCTTTCAATTCATAATGATACAGGACTAACCTTCTCTGTTTTTATTGAAAACAGAGAAAAAACTGCCAATGTAATAAAGCATCGATTAATTTTAAAATATGTTAGTTTATCATTAATGTGAATAGAAAATATTTAGGGTTATAATGGATGAATAGTATACATATCTAGAACATTTAATGTACTAGTATTTTTTCTAGATAAGATCCATCCTGACATAGATCAGATACTTATTGAAACATTTACCTCTAGTTTACGATGCATTCTATTCATGGCTGATGGATCTGTCTCACAGATTTATTGGATCCACATCAAGCGATTCAGGCATGTAGCGGATCGTTGTTTGACATGTTCATGTTTTACTGCACTAAGGTGTGAAAGTGAATCAATTGTCTTTATTAGAAGCAATATTAGATATTGTGAGAAACCCTTTCCTATCAGTTTTTATTTTTAACATGGTAAAAACTATATAAAGCAGGGTCTTGCACAGAATGCCAATTTTCAGTTATTAATTAAAGTAGGATCCTGTGCAGAAATTAAAAATGTTTAGCTTACTAATGGTCCTGCACAGAATGCCAATTTTCAGTTTATTAAAGCAACGTCCTGCACAGAAATTGCTAAACTTTAGACTGAAACTCTGATACTAAAGATGCCCGGGTTCCTTCTATTTTATAAGATTTATATCCTCGTCTATCAAAGTGTCAATTTCAGGTTTTAACAATTTTACTTCACTTGAGTTCTTTAAAATCTAAAGGTTGAGTCCCTTTAAATGAAAGGGATCTGATACCATGAATTGTCACAACTCAAGAGTGAAATCAAACACAGAATATTTCCCATCTTATCTGTGACTAATTTATTCCACAATACAGAACTGCTACAGTGAGTAAACATGCAAATACGTCTGAAGAATAAAACGTTCGTCTAAATCACAGAGTGATAAATGTCCTATACTCAATCGTTTAATGACAGGACATTTTTCTTTCTGTGTAAACATGTATATAATAATAATAGACATTAAAAATAAAAGCAATTTACAATTTTGCAATCTAAATATTACACCATTCTTATATTACTAGACCATACAAGGAATAATATTGCAAAATTGTTTTAAAATAAGCGTTAGAACAAATAAAAATACAAAAATACAAGATCTGGGAGAGTTACATTTCTCAAAAAATTGATTTAGCCTGTATACAACATGTGTGTATAAAGAAATATGAACACTCCAGACCAGGGAAATCATTGGTTTCTAAAACAGTTATATGTCTCAATTAATTCATTCATTAAAGTTGGTCAACACTGACAGTTCACTGTTTTTGATTTGCTCTGTTCTTAAAATGTAAAATACTTATAAATTCATCCACCATTTTCACGATTCAATTCTGAATATGTATATAATATATACATTTTAAAAACATTTCACAATTAAAGTATAATATTTCATAGTACAATTACGCCAATAATTTACATACATGGTGATAATAAAGAGTATCAATGACTTGTGGGCCATTTTATTAATGAGTTGTAATTAAAGGCGTAGAAAATGTAAATGATTATGAACTTCCTGTATATGGTAGCCTCTCTTTGGATTGCTCATTGCTCATTGGTTAGTTAATCCCAACAGGATATTTATAAAATCTGAGCATAAAGGAAAGAGGAGAGTTCAAATATCACCAAGGACCATTCAAAATGTCAAAAACTGTCTGCCATACAGTTCAACACATGATTTCAATTTTGAACGGTTCGCTGAAAAGGAATGTTCAGGTTTATATCCATATATGGTATCATGTCTGTTCGTCACTGGGTTATCCATTATTAAAATCAGCCGGATACAAACATGATATATTGTGAAGTTCTTTATGCCTATGTATGACTTCTGTTGTACGATAACGAAGCTCCATTGTCAACGCCATAAGCATAAAGCAGCCAATGGTGGACAATAATGTAATCAGAGATTAATATAACACCAACGAGGAAAGCAGCTTATGCCAAAACATCCAACTCCATTTTTTCATCTTGCTCATGAATTTTAGGGCATAAACTTAGAACTTTACGCCTTTGAGTGTCAACTTGTTTCAACCACTAATAAGATTTCTTCTAGGCGTAAAATTTCCTGGTTAACTCACCAATGCTGAATGTATAGTAGTAGTGCTCTTGGTAACAGATAGGTGGCAGAATATCCATTAATTCAATATGGCCACCCATACCAAAATTCAAAATGGCTACCAATTCCAAAATGGTCGCCATATTGATCCAGAAACTTACCAGTCACAGCTAAGATCAGACCTCAAACCTAAAACATGATACCATCATCCGGTTTCCCAGCCATTAACATATCAATAGAGTCATGATCAAATGCCACTGCAGCTGCAACTGGATTCGGTGGTGGCTTGTAGTCTGCAGGGGGTGCCGGAGCTAGCGACTGCTCGTAACGAATTAACCAGTTTATCCTCTGCTTCAGCACGTAGTCATTCACTTGAGTAATATAGTTGCGGAACTCTTCAACTAAAACACAAACTCAGTCATTTATAAAGAATCAAGAGATCTCTCCAGACTTGGAGCTAAAAAATTCTTAACACGGAATTGGAATTGTAGACATTATGCAAGAAAAGCAACACTCATATGTAAACAATATTAGTTACAACAATAACGTGTTGATATTGTTTATTCAGAGATATTTTCGTGACATTTTTGGTTTTTTTTCAATGTTCACCCATGTATTCTCTATGTGTGTTTTCTAATTTGTCCTCATGTTCTCCTACTGTCCCTCATTTATTCAAATATACATTCTACCATCTCCCATGTATTCCAAATACATGTACCTCCAAAAATTCCCCTTGCATATTTTGGATTACCCCGATGTATTCTATTCTAAACCCCTTTCTCATTTTTCTATTCATTCTTGAACGTATCTTTTTAATTAATTTTTTCTCATTTTAATTCTTCATCATGATTTTCAATCTTTTTTTTATATTACAATCCTGAACATACACTGTACCTGATAGTATATCCTTGGTTGGTATGAACTCTAACAAATCTCCATTCTCTTCCTTTGCATGCTGATGCAGTTCACTGTGAACTTTCGTCAAGTAGCTCAAGATCTCTGGGGTGACACCTCGAAATCCTGTCCCCACGAGGAACATGTGTTTTGGCAGAATGTTATCAGTGAGAAATTGATGGAGAGCGATCTGTAAATTACGACGAAACAATATTACTTTAATGAACAGGGAATATGTAATTTTGTTTTAATTAATCAAAATTTAAATCAATTAATTTTATGCTCTTGGAAGGCAGGGGTTTCATCATTGGCAGTAAGCAATCTTCTGCTGTTTTTTTCCAAAATTGCCTGTTCTTTGGATCAATTTTGTTTCCATGTTAAAATTATAATTTCTAGAACATTTCTAGACAAGGTCATGTTGACCTTTTCTCCAAAATTCTAATGATACCCCTGGTAGGAATTAATACAGCATGCAAGGTATATACCATTTAAAAGCATCACATACCTTTTGAAAGCATCTATAGAGAATGTAGACACATGCTGCAGTGAATCTGGAGAGGCAGTGGTGAATACGGAACACCAGCATATCTCCTGACTTCAGAGCCTAAGTTAATGAAGAAAAATAAATAAAATCCATTGTTGGTAAAGTGGGGGGGGGGGGTAAAATAGGCTAAAGGTTGCTACAATATATTAGAACATGTATTTGATTTCAATGTTACTGGGGTCATATTCAAGTATTAAAACATAAATCTGAATTTAAAAAAATGTTGAATTTTTTCATTGAAGAGTTAATTTTTAATTCAAATAGAAATTAACTCATCCGGTGAATAATATCTCATTTTGAAAACATTATGAATGTTGCAGAAATTGGGAAAATGGTGGAACTTCACAATACCAATATTTTTGGAAGGATTTATATAATCAATTAAAAATATTGATAAAGTATCCATCATTATCAATTTATTTTCTCGAATGATAATACACTGACAAAAATAAAAAATATGTATAAGCAAAAATAAGAAAAAGAACATCACGACGATGTTCAGCCTCCAGTGAGGATCGAACTCACGACCGCTGGTTTACAAGACCAGCGCTCTGCCACTGAGCTATAGAGGCTAACATGCACGATGTGATAACTTCTTCATACATATTATAATGATATAAGTGTAATTACTTTCGGATCAAAATCATGTTAAACTAGATTTATAAATATTAGTTCAACATGTTTTTATCGATATTTTAGTTATTTGAAGAGAATAATGGCTAATATACAAGTTTATTGACTCATTTATTTGATCGCTTTATGTTGAACTTTGACCTTGGCAGTTTGCCATACTTTACACTGGAATAAAAACCAACGTAAATACCCGGGAATTTAATTTAAATCAATACAATCATGTTCAATTTCTCCATTCTTTACAATACAATTTATGGTGAATTATGTACCTGTAGTCCTTGATATGGGTTTAAAAGATGAGGTCATGCCCAAAGGCATCTTAAATATATTGAATGTACACAATCTTGAAATTGGAAGTCAGTCATAAACTCAAAGTCATGAAGACCATGTCCATCTGGGATTGGGAATGTCAACCTTTTTGCATTGATTGACCAAATAAGGTTTTCATTCATTTGTCCATTATTTCTGAGCATTATTTTAATTGACAACCAGTGGACTTTTTAGAACAGTCTCCAGCCGAAATTCTGCAATTTTGAATGTTCATGAACAATGAACATTCATTGGCTCACACAATTGCTATGGTAGAAAACAACTTACTTTTTTCTCCATTGAGATACATGTAAATAAAATTGACAAAGTTCAAATTATAATTTCACAATAACAAATCTCAAAGAATAACCCTGCCATGTGACTTCCTAGCTAGCCGTTCAATAACCATATTTTACTGATGATTCAATCCACCATATTAAATAGCAGCCAAAATTTCAAACTTTGCCCAATCCGCCAAATTAAAGGTTGTATGTAACTATTAAAGTGATTTTCACTCCTTTTTAAAGCCTTAATATAGCATGTTGCTGTGTATATATCATATTGGTTTTGTTTTTGTTTACACATTTGGAGTTAATAGTTAATACTCATCTTTCATTCCATAAAGAAAACAGAAATTGATATAATATTGATGGAGTGGGAGCTGTTACAACGACCCCTGCTTTTAGCAATTCATTGTGACATTTGTTTTGGGGTTCCTAACAACAACCAAATACTTTTACTTTCGTTATTAGAGCACTTTCACATCTGATTAGAAAGTAAAAACGTATTTGCTGCATTTAATTGATGAAAATGAATCTAATTGATGATATTCATTTTTACTGTTTTCTAAGCACTTGATAGTTATATACATGCTTTGAAAAGTGAATAGTGCCACATTAAAGCAATTTATAGTACTTTATTTGAGGGGTTCATTAGTGATTTAAGTCATGAACTCAGTGCATTGTAGACTGATCATTCCACAAACTTCATTGAGTGCTAAGTTTAGGAAACAACATCTGAGTGGAATAAATCAGCCATAATGCATTGAGTTCAGGGGCAGGGCTAAATACTTTTCACTCATTGCAAAATATTTTATACGATATCACTTAAGAGATACAAAATAACTTAATATAATATATTTACAGGGAAATGTTTTGCAAGGGTCAAGACACCTGGACAATAATTCAACATTTACCACTTGACCTGCATAAGCACTTGGCTTGTATACTATTTATAGATTTTTTCTCTATAATAAAATTGATCAGCTTAGTGGTTTCATTAGTTACACAAGAATCTAAAAATGACCTTTGGTTCATTAAACTAGTATTTTGCAATGCAATTACTGTACTCGGTATTTTTCGTGTGATTTTGTTTCGCGCTAATCGCAATTCCGTTAATAATCGCGAAAAATAATCGTTGCAAAATTCGCAAATTAAATCCCCGGTGATTTTTTATAACCGATGCATTTCATTTTGTGTAAAACGTTCGTCCAGTGTTATTGGGAGATAAATGGGATATAGCAACGATGTCTCTTACACTGGCTTATTTTATTAATTAGACCAAAAATGACAATGTAATAGAGGTTGGGGTGCAGCGTACTGTTCTCCAAGATCTAGTAATTATTTTCATCCAAATATCACACTGGGTTGGATGTAACTACTGTACTTGTATAAAAGGTAACTTAGTTTACAAAACTTGAGGATTCAGTGAATAATGAAATTTGAACTTGTGAACTTGTGGAAATTGGAGATACCTGCTTAGTACATATCACATGTTTACAGTAGTAATTTCAGCATGGAAGACAGGCCTAGGAACTTTTCATTGAATGAGCCCTTGCAAAAACTTGAAGACTTCAACTCAACCAGGAAATAACCCAGGACCTTATAGATCAGAGAAAGACATACAGTCACCTGGGTCACCTGGGTTGGCCTGGGTTGTATTTTTTGCATTACTGGTCAAATTATCTTAGTTCTCCTTCAATTCTATGCTGTTTCTCAGAATGTATCACTATCACTTGATATATGGAACACTTCACACTACATGTATAGTGTCTTGCTCTTTTGGTATTTCCAGTGATCTCCCATCTCACAGGTAGCACATGGTTGGTCAATGGTCCTTTTTCCATTTAGCTTTGAAATCTAGTTAAAGTCTCATTTTTAACCATTAAAGGGTTCCGATAAGCTTCCCGTATAAAAACAATATGGCGGCTCCTGGATCAGTCCATTTTTAAGAAATAAGGGGAGTTCTGTAAAATCCAGTTTATTGAAATTGTCTTTGAGATAAAGTAATCCGTTTATAATGATTTTGAAAACGTTATCCATAGAGTGATTGCGTTCAAAGAATATGTACAACAGGCAATATAAATCCTTGTATTAGAACTGCTTTGTTTCATTTGTAGGATATTTCATATGCCAAGCTGTGTGCTATTACGTTATGGGGAAATTTAGATGTCAATTTTTCCTTATTATACACAAATAGACGATCCTGAAACTTCACCCATAAATGTGGAATTGATTTATCAAAATAAAAATCACCCTTTTATAAATGTGTGACGATCTATAATATACTTATGCTATATAACAGTTAGAGGTGTTGACACAACGACCTCGAGCCTGTGAACCCTTGAGTATTATTCCGGGATCGGGCCTTTTATACTAAACGGTGAGCAACACCAGAAACGAGCGTTCGATTTGCTAAACGATATGCGTCACCCTTTAAAGACTAAGATTTTCTTCCATTTGATGGCATATTTGAATTCCCTGTATAATTTTCTATCAAAACAACTTTGATTTGCACTGTTATTCACCTTTACTAAAATTCTAATGATTTTCTAGTTGTCTAAAAAAGGCCGGGCTAAATCCCCATTGACACAATGCTGAAAAACCTTTAAAATTTTATTTACTCTTACAAGGATCACAATTTCAATGTGAAATCACAATCCACATGTCAATAAGATCATATAATTATATTCCATTGATGTTTTAAGTTTATCCAAATGGAATTACTTTTTAAATCAAGAAATTAAGTGACTCTAGCAATACATTTACATGTATCCTAGCCCTACCATAGCCCTACCAATACCCATGATACCATCTATTTTCCATTTATATGGAAAAAAGGTCAATTGCTGGAGAGATCATTAATTTTGTATACAACATATAATTAAGGAATAAAGACTAAGGTTTTATGATTTATGGTGTAATATATGACGGAAAATTTTATTCTGTTCATTGTTAAAAGACCGAAATCGCGTAGCGATTGAGGTCTTTGGCAATGGCCAGAATAAAATTTGAGGTCATATATTTGACATAAATCATAAAATCGCAGTCTTTGTTACGATTCTAATATGATAAACAGACAAGAAAAACAACGTTTTGCATTAAAGAATTTTAGTGGTCATACATACTCCAGTATAGACCAGTAAATCAATTGTTCTAGCTATTGTGACGTCACGTATCATATTAGAATAATGAATATTGAACAGATGACATACATGAAACTGAGTCTAGTCTAATGTGTATCAACATTTACCTACCTTTAAAGCTTTGATGATGTGACTGAGAAGTTCAGGTTTTGCCGCATACTCTGATGCAACCAAGTCAAACTCTGTTGGTTTAAGGTCAGCAAATGCTGTGTATCTCTTGCCCTGGTCTTTATTCATCTCAACCTCCTGGATTGTGTGAACCTAAAACATGAAATTACTTATTGTAATTGGAAGATCTGATAAGACACGAGCATGAACATGACGAAATGTCACTAGCTGATTCAAACTAAACCAAAACAAATATCTATGAGTATGTTTCAAGATTTAAAGAATCAGTGTTCGAAATGTCAACAACGAAAATAACAACGGTCATGATGTACAAAATTCTGGAAAAGCAGTATATACCTTGACATTTGTAGGGTCATCTTTCTTCAGCTGAGATAGAATGTCTTGTTTTTTCCTACTGATGTCGATCATATTCAATTCCTCGTCCCAGTTGTCAAGGTGACAACGCAGAATGTTCATAACCTCCTGAGAATCCTTCTGGGGAACTCCGAACTTAATCCCAGATTTCTGAAATATTCAAGTACACATTAAATATTCTATACACAAGGCATTAACATGCAAAATGGCACCACCTGCCATTTGATACAGGCACCAATTGCCGAACCCAATTTATAACATACGCTTCTGTAGGTGACATAAAAAATTGTTCAATATAATAAAGATGACACAAGTATGTATGACATCAATCCTGAATCCCCATTTCATGTTACTCAGAAGTTCAGACCTTGACATAGGACTTGAACCAAAATGTGTCATGTATGAGTATACTTATCAGCAAACAAAGAGTGAAATTACTTATTATCAATTGCACTTCAATTTTGTTTAAAAACCCAAATGAAAATATAAACATCCTCGACAATTGTTCACTTAGATCCCTTTGGTCTGAACATAGTGAAGACAGAGTGTGGGAAAATAAATATAAAGTAAAAATGTGGCAACTGCTACTCTATAGCACATTTTTGCAAGTGTCAACTCATTAATGAAATACTTTTCCCTTGTGTTACTCTCAAATTTGTCAACAACCCGATATGTTTTAGGACATGTACATGCAATAAATATACAAGTTTTTCACGGATCTTTGTTGTGTTATGTTGCAATTCTTTTTATTATTTTCCTATAGGAGTTATTACGTATTACCAACTTACGTTCATATTTCCCCAGACTTCATTGAATTGTTCCAGTATAGTATTTGTGCAGAATCTTGAGTTCATCAACTTGGTGTACTTCTTGCCGAGACATGGCTTCCAGTCAGTCATTCGCTCTGGTTCTAAGGGGCCCATACTCTGAAAATAGGTTAACATTTCATTCTGATTTGATCTCAGAAATATAGTCAACATTATTGTCAGCATGATTAATAGACTGAGCATTAAACGTCCTCTTTTAAAGGAAGCTATCCATTAAAGATGCAGTATATCATTGGTTTCTCACCCAGACAATCAATGATACATCCCTTTATTATTGCTCATATATCTCAAATACCATAGATTTATCTTGAGAATAAATTATGGGTATGTTATTGCCGAAATATTGAAATAATCAACAGAACAATCCAGAATTAAACACAATCAATTCCTCAGCTAGAGATTGGAATTCCCGTTGAGTCACACAAGCGCCTTGAACCAGGCAGCCAATCAGGTTCATGATAAACAAATTCAACAAAATTAACACTGAAAGCTGGGGATTTGGGACTTCTTCCTTAGTGAGTAGATAGATGAATATGTGGTGAAACTCAATATGCAAAAAGGTCCAGAAGGGTCTTGATTGTGCTATCCTATGGTATAGAGTTGCTTTAAGTGCATCTCCCTAAATTCAAGTCAGGGAACACAGTTTTCATTTTGCAGTCCTGTGCCCTTTAATGTATAAAATCATGAGTTTGGAATTTTCAAGTGAGTAAAAATGCATATTCAAGTGAGTACACACATTCCTATTTTTGACAATATCATTTGGGAACAGCGCACCCACTTGCTTCAATATTGGAGAGATCGCTGCCTCTCCATTCATAATCATATACAGTAAAATCTGTCATGTACACGGAGACCAGCCAAGTGTTCAGATTGGTTGGTGTTCTTATTTCAATTTTTTTAACATGGAAGCAAATAGCAGACACAAAAAGGATCCAAAAGTGTTCAAATTGAGAGGTTTTCAGATAAGGGGGGTGTTTGGATACACAGATTAAAATGTATGATAAAATTCACCTGAAGCCAATTTGTGTTTGTTATATTCTGTATATTGAATGTCTTCATTTTCCAGACACGTTCTTTCCATGGAATAGCCAGGAATTCCATCCTCTCTTTGAAAGTACCGTCCATGAATCGTCTGCGAGACTTTGGAGGCTCTTGGATATCCATTTCTGCACGTCGTTTCCTCTGGAGAGAAAAAATTATAGTCTTATAGAGTTGAAATCATGTTGAATTTGTGTTACAGTACTTAATTTCAGAATGTACATCTTTAGAATGTGTATAAACTTTTGAATAGAATATAGAGAAAACTTTGCTCAGTCTTGTGTTGTACAAGTCACTTAATGATGATATAATATTTATTATCTACTCTAAGATACATGTAACATTGGACTGAGGGATGGACATCTCATTAAGATAAACAACAAAACAAAAAAACATGTACATGTATTATATCTAATTCAAACAGAGCAACACAAGACTCAAACAGTCAATATGGTACAATGAAAATGGGACTTCTGCGCATGTTAAAATTTTTCGTCAAAACTCAACTTTTGTTCAAGTTGATACGATTGTCTTTTGAACTAGAGACTTACCTCATTCGAAAGATCATAAAAGACTTTATCTATACTGAAAATCTTAGATCCAAACATAGTAGAATACGCCGTCAGTCCGCATTTGATTTTTTGAAGTGAGTTTCGTAGATCGTCAGATTTCTCCGACTGATATCGGGTTATCTCAAACTGGTTCGTTTATAAATACGAATTTCTTTACCGTTGTAAGGCGCATGCGCAAAATTGATTTATAAACGTTATTGGTTGATGGTTTTTCTCCTGCGCATGCGTGAAGTCTGATGAACACTTATGACGAAGACCGGAGCAAACATTACTAGCTCTCGAACGAAATTCCAAGATTCAGGTCATTTCGCCGTGTTTGCTAAGCGTGTACACGTGAATGACAAGCTGTTTTGAGTAGATCAGGTACCTGTTTTAGACACAACATTGATTTAGCTTGACATTGATGTGCACATTGGCACTTTTGAGCATGTTAATACAAGTTTTTACACTCTTAGCACGAGACGGGTTTTCGAAAAATCTGTTATCTGATTCACTCGATTATCGTATGGATATGTATTTCTGCTGACATTTCAACACCACATCACATAGAATTACGATGCAGAATGATAATAAAACAGAAAACAACTACTAAATTCCACTTGTTATTTCACAGGAGGTAAAAATGCAAACTGCCTAGATTCTTTGTAAGGGTCATCAGACATCGGATTGGCCGCCATATTTGAAATGAAAATATCACTAAATAGAGGTCTGCGCATGTATCAACATTTCGACTGCAAAGAGACAACACTGTACTTACAACAAACGGAAGATGGACGACTTTTTCCTCAAATGCTAAATGCTGAATCTTGAACTTATCCATGAACTTTGTGCCGCATATATACTTCTGCTGACCAATCACAGCCCTCATTTCTGGTGTCATATTGCCATGGAGTTCAAGGTTGCGGTTTATGGATGCAATTTGGCGATCAATTATTGATTTACATAATTTTATGTGCTGGAGGAGAAATGTGCTTGGAATCTGGTCCTTGCGGAACATGGCATTTTTCAGAGGTTTTGGACCTGTAAAATAATTCAGAGAATTTTGGTTTGAAAAAAGAACGTAGTACCTTTATATCAAATATGTATCAAGAGTATTTTAATCATTTTTGCACATTTTAACCAGACAAATACAAATTAACTCTTATCTCTCTGTCACCTTATTGGCTTTTTCCTAATGATGTCTTCTGACAAGTACATATTTAAAACATATGTAACTGAAAATAGCACACCACAGATTTGTGAAATCACCAGACTGTACACATTTGTTCAAATCAGTAAATCATAAAAACTAAAATTGTAACTTGTTTCAATTCTGCTTTACTTACTGATAAGGTGGTTGGATATTCAGTATGAGAGAACTTATTATTATAGCATAACATATTAAGAATATATACATAGCATATATTTGCAAAATTAGTAACCGAGTGTATTTCCTCACCAAAATGTGTGGCCATTTTGTCCAAGTATTTTTTCTCAATACCAATAAAATCAAGACAGACAAGGTATATCTCAGAATTGCCTCCCTTGCTACAGACAGGCTTCATAATATGCACCTAGAAAACAGCAAAATAATATACATTAAGCAAAGCCCTTAATTAAAAGGGCTCAGACCTTAAAATACCCCTCCATGAAAAAGTTGTCTTATTATAGTTGAACCATTTTGATGAGACAATAGACAATTTAATAGGCAATTTATTGACAATTTAATTATCTACTGCAAACTAGGAATGTATCACAAACAGAAAAGATTACCTCTTTGAAAACACAGTTTAGCAGATAGCATGTGTTAACAGAGGAGCTCTCCAAAAGAGTAAACATCTTCAGTATAAAGTTTCCCCCTACTGCAAGGGTCTTCAGGGCAACATAGACCTCAGCAAAGTGTAGAGGAGCAATCGTGCCCTCCTGCTCAGCTGGGTTGTTTTGACAGGCGACACTTCCATCTGCAGTTACCTAGATTTTACAAATAAAACTCTTTAAATTTGTGCATCAAGTAAAAATATGGTGCCATATAACATATACACATAACATTGACCATGAAACACAAAACGAGGTGTTAATCATTTAGTGCATCAGGAATAAGACAAAGTATTTATTGACTGATGTGGCACAGGACAAATAAAAAGCATGTACAGGGGTTTCATTAGCAGCAGGCAACAGGCGATTTTCACCGGATGTTTTCACAAAATAGCATGTTGTTTTAGGGACTTTTCAACCTTTCCATGTTAAAATGGTTTCCATTAAATTTGTGTGTTATTTTCATTTAATCAGCCTGTTGTGAGAAATTCTATTGAAACCCCTTGTGTATTATATTCATCTATTCTGTGTAATAAAGCAATTAGTCCTGTGCAACATGTAGAGTTGAGCACTCACCAAAGTCACTTTGTCAACAGCTTTAATGAGGCTATCAGCTGTTTTCTTGTTCATCATGTCACCAATACTGTCATCTCCAAAGTGCCAATTAGGGACAGTATCCTTTAATAACCTGTCATCGTCAATCATGATTCCTAGATCTGTGCCCTCGTACCACGGGTTCAATGTTGAGGCTAACCATGTCCAATCAAGATTACGCTCTGCATGGAAGGTAAGATTTGTAGGAACTCAGTAGCATGGATGGTATGTATTATTTTCAAATATATACTTTTCATATATTATATGATATTATGTTATCTCATATATAATATTATATTAAATTATATCATAATACATAATAAAAATTAATTTTTATAAAACTTCACAAATTTGTTCTTGACGCAAATCTGTAATCTGTATACAGTGCAATCTGCAGATGTAAAAGAGACAAATTGTGACATTTGTAAAAACAATAGTTCCATGTATAAATGCATAACATTGAGCACAAACAAAAAGTTCCATGATTCCTCGAATCTAATATTTCCATATATATGGAGAGGAGTCACAAAATACCTTTTTACTCACTGATTGGGAGTCCAGATTCATCCCCAGATGTCTTCCAGAATTGATTCAGGGCGCACACAAATGCCCCTGGGGCTTCGCAGAGATGCAATGTTTTGAACTCTCCTTCTTTTGGCACGAGACACTCAAATGTGGCTAGAATCTCATAGAATTTGCACCATGCTTGAGTGCACATTTCAGGATGTTTGTAACGTCTCACAATAAACATGCACTGGAAAATATATACATTGGAACACATCAATATCTATATGTTATATAAAAAAAAAAATACTGCTTCCCCTCCAGCATTGAAAGATAAGTACATAATTAAACACTAAATGGTTTATAGTGAGTCTTGCAATTTCAAAAGCACCCTGGGTGCTTATTATGGCGAATACGGTACTTATATTTCATAGGTCTTAAAACAACTATTAACGTCACATCGAAGAAAGGTGACAGAGAATGAATATTTTAACAAAATTTAATAAGCTAGGGAGCACAAATTGAGGTGGTCTGTTAAAACACATAATAGCATTCTTTTAAAACTCACATTTCCACTCAAGTTGCTTGCACGAGTATGACTATTCCAGTCAGGCAGATTTTGGTCACTAAGTTTTTCTTTTACATCATTGAGTTCTTTCTTCTGGTTCTGAAGTGTAGGATCATTCCACGCTGGCTTTGTAAACATGGTTCCAACAGTAGGGAGAACCCACGATGTACCAGCATTCTGTCGTTCGTATGTGTATTTAATATCAAACAGTGCATCTACTTCAGCCTTTTGTTCCTCAGTTAGTTCGACTGCAGGATCTCGCGATTCACGATCCCTTGGTGTTTGGTAATGCCTGTGGTATCCTCCACGTCGTCGAAACCATGGTCTTGAATAGCTCATCTTTGATCTAATATAAAATCAATTGAATGATTAATCAATCCTAAACATATGTAGTGTATGCAATGACGATGACAACCAGGCCTGTCAGGGGGGTTCGAGCAAATCCCCCTGGCCAAAAAATTGTTCAAAATCATGCAGTTTTTCACCATTCTGAGCACTTTTTAGTTATTGTCACAAGTGAACCCCCCTGGAATTTTTCAAAAAGTGAACCCCCTTGGCAAATCCTGGCTACGGGCCAGACAACTGTATATGGATTGCAATGCGAAAACTCAGATTTGGAATGTAATAATATAAACACTCAGATTTGGAATGCAAATTGCAATATTTGGATTCAAATGAAAATTGGGTAAAAATGCATGCGAATTTTAATTGTGATTTATGACTCGCATTCGACAACGATCTTGAAGAGAAACAATTAAATAAAATCTACATAATCACTCCAGCATGCATACTTACCTAATTTATGAAACACACTGACTAAAATAGAGTAACCGTCAATGTTTAGAACAATGTTTTCAAGTACAAATGCATGTGAGATGAGACCCCTTGTACGCTAGATAAGTTTGGAATTCATTTTCGAATATAATATTTATTCGATATCAATTTGATCTAACATGATACCATCGGTGCTAATTGAAAAGCTAAATGTAAGTAAATGTAAATTAAGATTCACTTTTGAGGTGAAATACGATTATTATAATTTAATTTAGCAGCATAGTCCACTTTGCTGAAGAGGTCTTCATCCGGGAACTCTCAAAATGTCAGCCCCCGTTAAAAATATTTCTAAACAGTTAAAATTGGGAAAATTTCTCTGATATGTGCTCTAATGTAAGCCAGTAAGGTGAGTCCACTTTGTTAAGAAATGTGTCAATTTCACCCTTAAGTATTGTGTACCAGGATCTATTCAGTAATGAACAATATGAATATGAACACGAACTTCGACAGATTTTTAGATCCTCTATCCATTTCACTGCTTCATTTCGTCAGTAGAACGGCAAAAATAAGAGATTGGGAGACCACTGTGCAATAATATATGGAAAAGTATATTCATAATGTACATGAATGACATTTGTATATTTCAGATTTTTTAGTTTTTTGTACAATAAGCCTGTGCCGTCTTGTAATTTGAAGAATTTCAACCATGTTAATCTTATTGAAAATAACATGGCAGCGAAACATCCAAATATAAGAGGCCAAACACTTTATAAGCCAAACTAGAAGCAATCCAAGATATACAAATGTCATTCATGTACATTATGAATATACTTTTCCATATATTATTGCACAGTGGTCTCCCAATTTCTTATTTTTGCCATTCTACTGACGAAATGAAGCAGTGAAATGGACTCTAGGCCTACTCTGTAGATCATGATCTGATGATTATCATGATAATAGTCAGAGAAGCCCCCCATGTCATCTATGGGTTAAGGTGCCGTGGTACTTAACAGTAAATGACAAAACAGGAAGTGACAAAACATGTGGCATATTTTGCTTTACTGGACATATTTTCATTAGACTCTAGTAGTAGTATAAGTATCAGATTCATAATTAAGGGTTGATCCACTTAAATTGATAATATTCAAGTTTAAGGGAACTTTCTGATATACCTGCCATGTTAATTGACCCGAATCATCCACCTGGTGGTGAAACTGGTCTACTTACTTGCATTTGGGTAATTATCCCAACGAACGAAGTTCGGTAGGGATATAGTGAAGCTCTCCGTCCGTCTGTCAGTCCGTCTGTCAGTCCGTCTGTCAGTCCGGAAGATAACTCAAATATAAGTTGACGGATTTTCTTCATATTTGGTGGAAAGATGTATAATTGATAAATAGTTTTACGCAAAAAAAATTTTTTCAAGATGGCCGCCGCTTTAAAAATGCAACATCTATCTATTTCACATATATTCCGTGTTTATCATCCTGACCCCCAGGGGCTGTGTATGTGGGTCAGGAAAACAGAAATTTTCGCTAATTTTTAGATCTTTCTGAAGTATAGCTTTATTATACTCAAATGAAAGGCAATAGTCCTATTCGCGTTAGGAAATTACTGGTCATTAACATAAATATTTCCCGCAATGCAACACGATAAAATGGACAATTTTCTATTGGTCCACAAAACACAACGTCATAGGCATTATCCCGATCCAACATTAGTACATATGTATAATAATATTCTATAATCCAGACAATAATTAGAAAAGAAGATGGAAATTCAATTTGCTTCGATCATTTTTTCTATGGCGTCTGAGCAAGTTCCGGGAACTGAGCAACTTCCGGGAAATCTGTGACGTCACTTGAATTTTAAACTTAGGATTTTGACGATTCTGGTGAATATATTTTTTAAAAACTTGTCAAATGTCTTTATAATGATCATATCTATCGTATGTGCAAATATAATTCATGATAAACCTCTAATAAAGTCACAATGCGTCATTGAAAAACACAGCCAATGTTATTCCAATGGGAAAGTGCCCGGATGTTGAGAAAGTTGTACCACGAAACTGAACTCTCCAACGCGGAGATAAGAATATTTCGCACGTTAAAAGTTAGCGCGTATAGGTATATTAAGAGTAGATTGCAAATATTGTATATTTTTTCTGATTCGAGCCTCGTAAAATTCAAAATGGCCGTCTAATGTACGATTTCGCAATAATTTTTCGATCCCTTCATAGTATGGCTATATAATACTCAAATTGAAGGAATTTTGGAGTAGATCACAATTATGGTATTATTTTTCAGATTTGTACCTCAGAAAATTCAAAATGGCTGCTTTGCAGGAATTCGCAATTCTAAAATCTAAATTTTTCAATTTTAACCAAAGTAATGAGTATAATTGATTGGAATTCGGTAATTGATGTTTTGTTCATTGGGATTTGCTACTCCGCGGAGTTGCGGTTATCTAGTTAAACTGACTGGAGGTCAAAACAGAACTCTGTTATCTTGGTTCAAAAAATGTTTGAAATCCAGCATGGTTTTGTCACTTCCTGTTTTCGTGTTTTGTCATTTCCTGTTAAGTACCACGGCACCTTAAGCACCAAGTGTGGAAAGAAGTTTGAAAAAAAGAAAAAATAGGTTAGTCTAAGATCTAAATAAAAAAAGATATACTGTAAAACGGGTAATTTGGACACCGGGAAATTTTAGCGATTTTTCAATTTTAGGGGGTCTTAGCGCGGGAAATTTTAGCGAAATGAAGATAAGTCTTTAAAAAATCAAATAAGCAAAATGCATTTGCTCACTTACAGTATGGTACGGGAGAATTTAAGCAATATCATTGGTTGTTGAACCGTGTTCAATTAAGACCTTTTTATATCTTTATATTTACTACTAATACTATTTCACTGATGGGTGGCTATTAATCCTTCAGATATTGAAAGAAACATACGATTTAAAAAGATTTACCTTTTTCAAATTACAAACCGGAAGTCGAGCACTGAACGAAAAGCATCTTAAATACTAGTATTCATGAAGTTTCCCGGGAATTTGCAAATTTTAGCGCCCGGTTTATTTTAGCGAAGTGAATTTTTAGTGAAACTATAGTGATCGCTAACAATCGCTAACAATTACAGGCCTGTCAACTGTCCCGCAATTTGCGTATTTGTCACGCATTTGCTGAAGAATTTGAAGTCACGCTAGTTTTTTTTGCGTGACAGAAAATGTCACGCAAATACGCATTTTACCTGGTAATAGTCACGCAAAAATATTTCTGTAGAAAATTTTTCGAAATATGTTTACGAAACGGTAAAAATACGAACGTCGGAAAAAACCGAACGCAATTTGTTCGGATTTGTCACGCGAATCCCGTATATGTCACGCATGTTCATTGGAATTTTTCGTACCTACCCCCCCCCCCCCCCCCCCCCCCCCCCCGTTGACGATAACGCGAGCGTAGCGAGCGCGAAAAATTTGAGGTGATCAAAGTTTGGCAAAGGTGCTCAAACTTTGGCCAAAGGTGTTCAAAAGTTGGGCAAAGGTGTTCAAAATTTGGACAAAAGTGTTCAGATTTGGACTTAGGTGTCCAACATTTTGAAGTCACTCATATTAGGTGGTCCCAAGTTGACAGCCCTGCAATTACCCCTCGCTAACAATACCCGTTTTACAGTATAAAGATATTTCACTTCAGGGAAAAATATGACGCTTTCAAAATGTACATTTGTTTCACTTTTTGATTCCCCTGTTAGGCTACAGCTTTCTCTTAGATTATTCTTGGTTCTTGTTATGAAACTATTATATTCTGCTATGATCTTTATCAGGCATACAGCCAGCAATTGTCAAGAGGGGCAATTTATTTGGTTTGCATATGGGCTTTCAGCCCATGGTTTGCATCACTGCAAGAAAAGCAAAGAGAGACCCCAAGAGGGGTACGAGGGTTCACCCCTGGAAAGTTTTTAGAATTCACATTGTATATGGTGTATTCTAATCATTTCAAACTATAATCTGTCAATGTTTTTTCAACAATAAAAATTTTACAAAATTGCTTTTTTGTGGGGGTGGTAAATTGCATGCTGGGTAAATTTACCTAGTGAGATCCCGGGCCTGAGATCCGGTATAATGAAAATTCAAATTCCTTGTGTTGTATACCATTACCACTTTGTGTATCATCTAGCATGTTGGCTTACCTTTCTCAAACTGCTTGAAGTTGTAAGTTGACCTCAAGAATTAATTAGAAACTTTGTTTCACACACTTGGCAGTGATCTCCATAGGATTTTTTCTCAAGTGGGTGCAAAATCCTCATTTTCACAATTCAGATAAAAATTCGTCAAAATATGCCTATTTTTCATGATTTTTCTCATTTTCATTTTTCAAGTGGGTGCAAATGGATTTTCAGGTGGGTGCAAGCCTATTTTCAAAATCTCAAGTGGGTGTTGCGCCAACTTGCTTTAATGATCGGGAGATCACTACAGTACTTGATAATTCTTGATTGCCTGGGTCCATATTCATTCACTCTTTCTCTTTCTTGATGTAAATTGACTCTTACCCAACATTTATTTCTATAACCTTCATTGGTTAATGAAGGTTACAGAAAAACAACTTAATGGTTTGTTTGAAGCACATGATCAGTGACTACTGATTTCCCATACATTGACTGGGCTACTTTCCTAACACGTCTTTTGCCTTTCCTAACACTCTGCCCCTGCGCGCAGTCTAGTTATAACCTAATCTCTGCCTGGTATAGACTATATTACAGTTTAGCAACCCCACCCCCACGACTGGTGCCCATGACAAGTCGAATCATAAACCTTTTTCTCTACCAATCAGCAAAGTGGAAGGAACACATGCTAAATGCATGCACAATAATTATGCGATTACGTCAGAGAAAATGACCATATATAGAAAGTCGTCCTTATTCCAACGACAAACTCCGATTAGCTCGGTGAATTCAGAGATTTATTGAAAACTGAAAGAGTGAAGACGAAGCTCTCTTTTGAGAAGTGAAGTCGAACGAATGCAAAGGGTATGCCAACTCACAATCAGAGACATCTTTATTATGTTTTGATAATCTTTCTGCTTGTTTGTCCCATATAAATGTATAAATACTTATACTCCCAATTATACCCCAAAAATGCGTTACAGGGTTTACACTCAGATATTTCTGAAAAGTAACATGGTGCATTCTAAGCATTTCAGACTATAATTTGTTAATGGTTTTTGTTTGTTTTAATTTTTTGAATACTTTTTGGGAAATCAACCAAAATTTCCTTTGTACAGTACAACTATAATATTGGGGAGTCTAAGAAAATGTTGTATATGCTATTTCGCCTCGGAAAGATATTTTATTTCATTCTCAAGAAATGGGAAAAAGGAACAAAAAACTATTGCACTAAAAAACAAAAAATGTTAACAAAAACAGTTATATAAAATATATATAAATTATTTTCGCATTAAATTGTCGTCAATCAGTCAACATTACATAAAGGACCGTGTTTCTTACAGAATGTTTTCAATAATTGGGTTAAGAGAAAAACATTATTGAATTCAGTTCTCCATATCGATACCAATCCTTTTACAAAATTGCTTTTTTTTGTTGTGGGGGTGTGGGAGTGCACCCATCACCCCCCCCCCCCCTCCTGGCTATACCCATGTATTTATATACATTCAGTTTTTTATCCCAGTGGTATGGTAGAATTGAATTGACTGTATTACACATTACACTTGGTGATAAATGTAACAATTAAAACATATTTCATATTTGTTTTTCTCTCGTTTGCAGAAATGTACCTTGCACTAACTGACAAGTAAGATAGGAAAGTCCAAAGTCCTCAGTTACAACAAAAAAACATAATATGAGTTATGACCATAATATTATGAACTTCACGTCCTTCGCACAATTTTATTGATGCTTCTAATTTTCCTGTGAAGGTAAGGTTTAGTTTATTTCTTGATACTTGAATTAGTGAGTGTTACACAATTTAATATATTATAATGTGTGTTATTTTGAATAATATGGAACTGTAAAGATCTTGTTTCAAAGGTCATACTAATCTCCAATATTCAATATTTTGATTTGAACATATTCAAACATCCTCATACTTTTCAATGCAAGATTGTAGGTTTTTAAGAATTTAAAGTGCAACATTAGGGTTTTGAATTTTGCATCATTTTGGGAACTTGGAATTTTTAGGGCGACATCTTGGGATTTAAAAAAAACATAACCTTATTGCGTGAGTGTATGTGCTAGCTGTACTTAAATTAGTCATCTTAAAATTATTGAATTGGGTTTACCGGCCCATGGCAGGGGGGGGGGGGCAAAAACTCTTTCATAATCATGCAGTTTTTCACCATTCTGAGGTATTTACATTTAACATTGTGGTTAAGATATATACATCAATTTAGGTTCAAATACATTTGTTTCAATGAAATGTACCTTGAGTAAATAAAAAGATCTGACCAGATGAAAGACGATGCAAATTGAAATAATCATTATGACATTTGTTCAGTTAGTTCTCCATTATATTATAGAATTAGTCTACTGTTCTGATAATACTAAAATTGCATAATGAACCCTTGCATAAAATCACCCTTGGTAAATTCATAGATTATAATTTCGCAATGAACTGACAGATTCCGTCATTTTTATGAAAATCACAAGGTTTAAGTAACTAATATTCAGGATTCTTTTATGTATGTCACAAGTTTTTGGCAGTCTCTTGGTAATCAGCTCTATGTTGAATGGTCAAATAAATGTTCCTACAATTGTTAATTCTATATTGGAAAAATATGATTGCTTCATTTAGTGGAAGATAAACATCATTGGTAGCAAATAACATTTAGAAACTGACAGCTGAATCAGTAGATGCAAGGAACTGGTATTTAAGGAACATGCGGTCAACCTTGGTGAACTAATAAAGGAGTAAAAGGGCACTGTTGAGGTTAAATATAACAATCGGGGACCCTGAGGGTTACCTACAATATGGTATCCCAGGGGTATGGTATCCCAGGGGTACCTAGAATCGGCACCCTAAACTTGGATTGTATCGTCCCAACTATACTTACTTAAGTGCATCAAGAAAACAGCTTGGCGGATACCATAAACTTTCTCTCAAAATTTGTGATTGGCGATTAATTTCTACACTTAGCTGTATTCAAAAGGATATCACAATAACTCAGGAATTGTAAGTGGAATCATACAGTGGAACCTGCAAATGGAACACCTCCTTAAGTGGAACACATCAGAGTCGTATGACCAAATGACTTAAATGTTAAATGAACTTCTTAGTCCAATACCTCCCAAGTTGAAAACTTTTTAGAGGTACCAGAGGTGTTCTCCTTGCAAAGGTTTTACTGTAGGTAGTAGAGGTGTCATGGATACCCGATTTTGTTCCGATCCACGGAATTATGCCCTCGGAACGGAACACAGAACACAAATTGAGAATTTCGGTTCAGTTCCGGAACAAGAACATTTTACCCTTTCACAACTTTAGGCCCTTAAATTGCCACAAAACAGCATTTTACTTTCAACATTATGCACCAAAAGAGGTTCATTCTTTTCATTCCTTCTCATTGAAGGGTTTTGAAGAACCAAATAGACCTAGATGATCAACTTATTTTCATCTTATACACACAGTCACTCTGTTCCGAACCGTTCCGAAATTGTTCCGTTCCGAAGCAAAATGTTCCGAACCGTTCCGATTTTTTTTTGTTCCGTGACATCTCTAGTAGATAGGTAATATTAATGACATTTCTTGCAAGAGTGGGTTGATTAAAGTGGCAGCAAAGATGTAAAATATCAGAGGCAATCTTTAAAGTTCATGTTCTAGTAATTATTAATAATTATTGTTTTAGTCCTGATTTTTCTAATGGACATCAATATAAATTTTGAATTTTCAAAGTAGACATTTTTAATGTGGTGAAATGTTGCACATTATGTTGAAGAAAATTTGAAATAAAAATTGTATATCTGAAATAGAATTGCAAGAATTGACCATATTTTATAAGAAAGGGTTATCCTGGAATAAAGTTACAACCATTTAACCTTCCAGAAAATTGACAAAATGTTAAATAATGAGAGCAAAAACTATTGTAAATATGACAATTTAAGGAAAGCTACTCTCAACCCTTTGGACTTATTCGTATTAATGGTATCATACACGTGTAGTGTTAATACCAAAATGGTATGTCATATTCATAGAATAAAAAAACACTAAGAGACCTATTGCCATTGATGCACAGGTTGTCGTAAAACATACTTGGTTTCAAATGAATTTGACTCATAAATATAGCTTTATATATATCCACAAGTCATGCAACACAATTTCTCAGAAACAATTACCCTGTCAGCTGACAAGTGGGTTCATACTCTCAGTCTGTGGCTATAAGACAAAGAGGTACCCTTTGCAATAGTTTTTACTTCTTTAAACAAAGATCCATCTGCCTTCTTTGAAAGAGATACTCTTTTAATTTTGACTCTTTCTGTCACCCAAGTACAGGCATTGGAACAGCTAATTGAGTTATCCAGAAAAGAAAATACCCCCCCCCCCCTCCTCCCACTATGTGTACAAAGAAAAATAGATTATCAGAGAAACAAAGTAAAAGCAATAACCTTGCTCTTCTCACTTGTACTGTAGCTATTGATTCTTAGTGTAATTCAAGGAAACTGACATGTTTCTCGAGAATTATCTAATGCATCAGGTGGTTACCACAAAAATAATCAAATGACATTATGGTACGTCATAATATTAACCGCAAGAAGAAACAAGAGAAGGGTAGGTAATAGAAATGATAATTGAAAAACAGAGATTTTCGATGAGATGAATTAAGATTAGGTTTTAATAAAGGGACTTAATTTTCTGTAAATCAGGCTCACCATTTGGTACCAATGAGTGTGCAGGAGCTACCAAAGCTGACCGAAGTCAAACAAAAAACCATTGGGAACCTTTAACCTTTTATGTAATTGTTGCCTATTGAGACTGAGAGTCTACACTATTTGCTCTTAATAGTATATATAACTGGATTTTCATTAGATTTTGTATTAGTGCTAGAAATCTACAACCCTTTTACCAGTGTAGTGCTTTTAGATTAACAAGGAATAACACTCCAATTGTTGGATTATAAAACTAGCAAAATATACTACGGTACTGTACAAGAAAACATTTGGAATATTTCTTATTCTAATTATTGGATTATCTTCGCAAAATATACGACAAGCTACAGAAGGTACTGTACAAGATATAAAAAAAGAAAAACATTTGGAATATATTTGTAGTTTGATGAGATAATTAATTTACCTTTTACAAAGTAGGCTCAAAAGTTGTATAATTCAGCATGTTACATTGATTACAATTATAGTGCATTTTGTACATGGAGAAGTAGGCCTTAGATAATATGTTTGAAATATGAAGATTTTTGACAAGTTATATTTCTAATATATTTTTCAGATTATTCTTGGCATGAAACCTTTCCAATTTGTTTAATAACATGGGCAGTATTTTTTCAGTACTGTATAATAAAGGCTTTCATTGATATGAAAAACTAATTCAATATCCTGCAGAGGGAAAATAATTAGTACTCTCCCCAAGCCCTTTCAATCTATCTGGCACCTCACTACTATTATTTGTGCAATCCTTTAAAATAATAACAAATTGAATAGAATTTGACCCCCTAATCCTGGATAAAAAGTTCTAAACCTGGAAAAAATCAACGAAAACCAGAACAACGGCAACGCCAAAGCGTAGCGAATCCCATCGAACAGCCATGGATGGCATTTTTACAAACAAAGTATAAAGCAAAAATGGCAGCCGTTTTCAAAATGACCTAATGTGCCATGCTTATAGTATTCATATACCAAATATGAACAAAATCGCTCCACTACTTTTCAAGTTATAGTAAAAAACGTTAAAATGGTGGCCATTTTTCAAAATGGCCACCTTCTACAAAAAATGCCATAAGACAGTGTGCCGTGCTTATAGTATTTACTTACCAAATATAAACAAAATTGCTCCACTACTTTTCGAGTTATAGTAAAATACGTTAAAATGGCGGCCAATTTGAAAAATGACCGCCTTTTACCAAAAGTGTCATTAGACAGTGTGCCATGCTGATGCTTATAGTATTCACATACCAAATATGAACAAAATCGCTTCACTACTTTTCGAGTTATAGTAAAATACGTTAAAATGTCGGCATTTTTCAAAATTTTTTTTCAAAATGGCCACCTTCTTTCAGAAGTGTCATAGGACAGTGTGTCATGCTCATAGTATTCACATACCAAATATGAACAAAATCGCTCCACTACTTTTCGAGTTATAGTAAAATACGTTAAAATGGTGGCCATTTTGAAAAATGGCCGCCTTCTACCAAAAGTGTCATTAGACAGTGTGCCATGCCTATAGTATTCACATACCAAATATGAACAAAATCGCTTCACTACTTTTCGAGTTATAGTAAAATACGTTAAAATGGCGGCCATTTTTCAAAATTTTTTCAAAATGGCCGCCTTCTACCAAAAGTGTCATTAGACAGTGTGCCATGCCTATAGTATTCACATACCAAATATGAACAAAATCGCTCCACTACTTTTCGAGTTATAGTAAAATACGTTAAAATGGTGGCCATTTTGAAAAATGGCGGCCATTTTTCAAAATGGCCGCCTTCTACTAAAAGTGTCTTTAGACAGTGTGCAATGTTTATAGTATTCACATACCAAATATGAACAAAATCGCTTCACTACTTTTCGAGTTACAGCAAAAATCGTAAAATAACGAGTAAAGGCCGCCATTTTTCAAGATGGCTGCCATGTGCTTCTTTAATATCTACATTTCTAGCTTTATTAATGTCCTATATAATTTTTTTACATCTAAAACATATTGCTATTACAGTTTTACATATTGCACCTAAATTACTGTAAATTCGGCACTAAAATGGCCGCCATTTTAAAATGAGCGGCTATTTTGAAAATCGGCTTTCGAGCAGAACTTCTACTCCCATAGGGTATATGCAGGCCTGTCAACTGTCCCGCAATTTGCGTATTTGTCACGCATTTGCTGAAGAATTTGAAGTCACGCCAGTTTTTTTTGCGTGACAGAAAATGTCACGCAAATACGCATTTTACCTGGTAATTGTCACGCGAAAATATTTCTGTAGAATTTTTTTCGAAATATGTTTATGATACGGTAAAAATACGAACGTCGGAAAAAAACCGAACGCAATTTGTTCGGATTTGTCACGCGAATCCCGTATATGTCACGCATGTTCATTGGAAATTTTCGTACCTTTTTCGTAAAATTTTTTATCTCAATTATTTTATTATTATTTTCAGATTCCATAATGGCTGATGGTCAAGATTCTGCCAGTTTAGATGACTTGGAGGAACCAAGCTGGTTTGTCACTAAAAGAATCAGAGAGGGATTATATCTAACGCAGGAGCCCTATTTCTTTGAAGGCAATAGGTGCAACATATGGCTGATTAAGGGTCCACATAAAGATGTGGTTATTGATACTGGGATCGGTGTACAGAACTTACGCAAGCATCTTGAAAAGGAGGCTCTGATTGATCCAATAGATGGCACTAGGGAGTGCATTGCAGTGCTGTCACATGTACATTTTGATCATAGCGGAGGTGCCAAAGATTTTACGAATGTTTTGATTCACGAATTGGAAGTTGAGGCTTTACGTGGTGCAGTATCAACGGAAACTCTTAACTATGTAAAGGCAAGTCATTTCCACAAAGAGCCTTATAAAGGGTTCAATGTTAATAAATATAAAGTGGTGCCAACTGAATGCCAATCTGTTCAGGATGGTGACAAGATTGATCTTGGACAGGGGGAATATCTCCAAGTGATTCATGTGCCTGGTCACACTGGGGGCAGTATAATCATCTACTACCCCAAATATTCAGAACTTTACGTTGGCGATTTTGTGTATGAATGCACCAATGGGAGCAATCTATTAGACTGGGCACCGAATTCCTGTATGTCCCATTACTTGGATAGCGCACGTAAAATAGCACAATGGATATCTAGTAATCACATTCAGAAAGTTTATCCGGGGCATTTCGAGATCATCTCACCGACGAGAACAACCCAGCTCTTGGAGCAGTACATAGAGTCCCGTGCTGGAGTGTGCTCCAGATGCTGTACTGGTTGTTTAAAACCTCTTGTCAAAATGTATTTTGCTCTTGGGTGCTTCAAAATGAAATGTTGCCCTTGAAAAACGTTAATGATTGAACAGCATTTTTAAAAATGAAATCATCTAATTTAAAATACAAGTGAAACCTCTCTGAGTGGAACACCTTGGTAAATGGGACATTTTTCATTCCAATGACCAATTGACTCAATATTAGATGAGGGTAAGTTGAACACATCCAAGTGGAACTCTTTTTATTAGAGGTACTAAATGTGCTTTTAGGATTACTTAAATTGGACAGGATATACTGTTAATTTAACTGTACATGTATGTAGTATTAACCAAGAGCTTGCTAAAGAATAATGGGCATATTCAGGAAAACATATTTAATATGTACATTGTACCCCATAGTGCTTTTACAAGTCATTACAGTCAATACAAGAGTCCCTGATTTCCTGAACATATACATATTATATGATATCAATGGTAATTAGTACTAAGTATTATTTTGATAAAAGGATAAATGTTCCTGTTGTTCCAGAAATCTGTTAATATTCGAGGGTTCATTTTAAGGTAAATGCTTATTGTATTGTAATAACCTTAAAATTGTAACTTACCGTATACATATTTTATACCATACAAAATGCAGTTTAATAATGATATGTGTTACCTTTAAGAAATGCTTATATAACATGAAATCATTCCACATTTTAGCATAATCTGAATAATAGGTCAGTTTGATTGTATTTTTGGGTAATTTTATATGTTTCAGATTATTATATAGGGTAGGATATAGAAAAGACATATCTATAGATAGTAGTGCTAATTCCATATAATTGATTGATTTTATAAATGCAGAACGTTACAAAATATATATTTTGATTGGTGCAAATATTTTTTACAAATATAAAGTACATATATATTTAGCTTTCTTAGGCTTATCTTATCTTGCTTTAAAGGCTCATTTTGGTTATCAACTGAGGTTAATTCTTGGACATTCTCATAATTTGACTGTGACTCTCATATTAATGATCCTGTTCACAATGCTGAATAAATCTATATTTACTCATAGGCAATTTATCATTGAGATTCTTACTTTATTGGAAACATCATGAAAAATAAAATCATTTGTTTAGTCATAAATGTTGAGAATTAAAACCAGGTGGTTGTGATCTAGAATGATTGTTTTTATGTCACCTCTACTATCAGATGTGGTGACATATTGTTATAGTCTTAAACATCTGATATTTTCATTTCATATTATTTGATAACTTAAATTTATCATATTTCATTTTATGTGAAAATTAACAATTGATCATGTGTTGTTAACCTTAGGTTCATTTATTGTATTTTTCTGTCTTTTTACATGAATAATTTAGGACCAGTTAACAAATATTTGTTATCAGCACCAGTGATCTCCCCAGCATTAAAGCAAGTGGGCACAGCACCCACCTGAGATTCTGAAAGTAGGCCTGCACCCACCTGAAAATCCATTTGCACCCACTTAGAATGAGAAAAATTATAAAGAAATTGGCATATTTTGACCAATTTTTGTTTGAATTGTGGAAATGAGAATTTTGCACCCACCTGAGAAAAAATCCTGGGGAGATCACTGAGCACTATACTTGATGTAGGTTTTATGTTTTCCTATATTTTATGACAGTTTATGATGACATTATCAACGTGTACACGTATTTTATAGTTTATTGCCATATGAATGTATGTGGTACTTATGAATATGTTGGAACTCAGTGGTTGGTATGCTGTATGCCGAGGTGTTGACTAACTTCAGTTGCTTGACTCACTGAGGTGTTTAACTCACTAATATAATATGATGGAACTCAGTGGTTGGTATTCTGAGGTATTGACTAACTTAGGTGCTCAACTCACTGAGGTGTTTGACTCACTTTAGGTGTTTGACTTGTGCAAATCAAACACCTAAAGAATTGCCTGAAGATGACCTCACTAACGTGTTTGACTTGGTGAGGTGTTTGACTTTCTTTAGGTGCTTAACTAAGTGGTTTTTAACTCATTGAGGTGTTTGACTTACTGATTGTTCTGATTTGTTTCATTCTCATATCTGAGATAGTCATGATGCCCGATGGCTAATTAAAATAAAAAGAGCTACTTATTCTAATTTTTTAAATTTTTATGACAGATGTATATCTCTTAATATGACACATGGTATGCTTCCAGTGTGATTAAATAGGAAATCTCATTTGGAATAAGCAAAACATGTAAAATGTCATCCCAAGAGATAAGATTGTCATGAGTATATAACTCTGCTTCTCAATAGACTAGATGCGAGTAGAAATGATCTTGATTTACGTCATTAAATATTCAAAATTCAGTCAAAGTGATGTCATATTTGAAATCTACATGTAAAAATACTTCTAAAAATATGGTTTCGAAAATTGTTCATCAACTTTGAAAATTTAATCTTTTTGAAAATGTGACTTCTAGTTCGGGTTGATTTCCCATAGACTCCATATTAAAAAATCACAAAAAGTGAAATATCTTTTCTTGTATTGGACATTTAACATTTTCTTTTACTGGACATACTTTAATTTGCATAACTATTCGATACATAAGGGCTATATGAAAATTGAACCACTAAAACAATTTAAATTAAAGGGAACTTTCTACTATACCCGCCATGCTATCTGACCCGAGCGAGCCACCTGGTGGTGAAACTGGTAACTACCTACTCGCATTTGCGTTATTGACAACTTAGAGGATGTTTTCTCAAGAAAAGGCCTCTATGCTGTTGCAAGTACTAAGTCTGTATATATAATAGTGAAAATGTCTACATACTGTAACATGTATTTTTATTAGGTCAGGGTAATTTGTAAATGCTTGCTTCTTGTGCCAATGCTAAGTATGTTATTTATGCTATGTTATCAAATTATATTTATTTTTATGAATCAATGTACATTGAAAGGGAGATTTAATCAGTTTACTACACATCGTTAAGAATTGCCATACCCCAAAATGTCATTGATTAATTTTCTGTCTCGAGGTTCATAAAGTTGAGAATTCCTAAATCAGTTGATGTAACCATGGGCATAATTACATCATAGTAAGAAAACAACAATTAACTTAAGGAGCTCTTAACTTCAATGTTCTGTTAATCAGTGGCCTTCTGGGGTTTATGTTTTATTACTGTGTATTAAACTGAGTGTTTGATGTAGTCTGGTTTTATTTTTTATGATTCAGGAATTATAGACTGTATAGAGATAAATGCCTGATACGGGCAGTCTTAAAGGGCACATCCACAAGAAAATATCATCAATTTGAGCCATTTCTTGTGGATGTGAGTTAAACTGTGCTGCTGTTATCACAGTGGTATTGCTTTTGTGTTTATATGATGATATATGTTCATGGTTAGTGTTCTAGCATAATAAAAATAAACTGAAGGGATTGAATAGGGATAGAGACATGGGAGCAATTATTACATGTAGTTTCAAAAAATTGTGACAATTTTACAAAACTTTGCGATCTCATCAATCTATGCGATGCCTTTTTTCCTAAAAAGTCCCATAAAGGTTTAGCTTTATCTAGCATTGTCCTAGGACTGTTAGGGAAACATTGCCACGGTTATTTGAAATTTGCTTTCAACTTTTTACGCTCTCTTTCCCTTTTAATTCCTTTAATTGGATTCTAATTAATGTTTGTATCAGAATTTGAAATAAATAATGATAAAAAATCTCAAGTTGATTAGTCCTGATGTTTTGCTATATACAACATACTGTAGCTATGGTGATCTGTCAATCAACTATCAGTTCTTCAATGACAGCTTTGACATTCAAATAAAATTAATAATTGTTATCCCTAGTTAGTTATCTATGGGCAACTCCAATGGCAGTGTCTTCATCTTATAGACTCTGGGCCAGGCAAATGGAAAATCAAAATCTGACAAAATTAGCCGGTTATTTATTATACTTAACATGTTCAAAATTCACCCTTAAATTCAATGCTGTCATTTGAAAATCAAGATATAATTTCCTTAATGAGATCCTTTTTCTTACCCATCACTAAAACTGAATACAACTTGATTTGAATTTATCCTGGAGTATGTACAATAACATTACTGGGTAGAGGATTACATGAATGCATTGCTTATGAAAACCATTGGCCACTCCATGCATGAAGATGGTTTTCATTGGTTTATGATTTGACATTGGTAATTTGTTCACTAAAAAGATAATCATCACCTACTGAAAAAAATTTACTAAATGGAAAAATTGAATACATTGTGACATGTTAAATTCTTTTGTTTTCTAGCTTTAAAAATTAAATCAACTTAAGAAAAAAATTTGAGTTACAAATTCATTCGGGACAGAGGCATTCTGTTCGCAACATATTGCTGTTTTGTGAATAAATTTTTATTGCAAATTATATGCTTATTTGCACTGACTTAAACTTAATTATAACATTGCTCAGATTTTTCAGTTTATCCAACAATTCAACTTTATTCCAAAGTAATATGTCGAGCAGTTCAATACAAACATAAACATGTATGTAATAAATACTGAATAATCCAATTTTGTTGAATGGTAACAACTACATATATAATCATTAATGAAGATGTTGAATGTGTGAAAATTACTGACTCCTATGACCCTCAAGACTAATTAGGTCTAAATGAGTCATAATTGAAGGTTGTCTACTGGAACATACATGTACATATACAAGGTAAATATCAGTTGATGCAAAATCTTAGTTTCATTCACTCTCAGGTGATCCAGCATGGGTATCATGTATTCAAGAAATAGCAATAGTATGGACCATACTCTTAGTTAAGGTATGGTACGGTACACTTCACCCCTGATTGGGAGTTGATCTTTGACTTCTCCAATCAGCAAGATTAATATCATAAGTATAGGATTATCCAGGCTATAATTATGCCGAAGATGATAAAAACCACTGCGACCTGTCTGATTCAATTATGGAGAATTGAATTTCACACTGTACACATTTTCAATTGCACAAAAATTGCAATAATATGACTGTAAACTAAAGATGAAGTGTGGCGATTCATCTCATTTTGGATTACATAACACTATCAATCTTTTGGTTCACTTCCTGCATTGATGCATGAAATCCAATAAACAGTGCATGACTCCATTGTGCACTCAGTATATGTACATGACTTGTGCATTGTATACACACAGTACATCGAATATACATGTACAGTTACCTTCATCTAATGCTTCCACTGTATGGCTAGAGATTCGAATAAATGTACAGGACTTGTGCAGTGTACACACAGTGTGCAGCAAATCTTGGCAACTTATGGCACTTAGTGTATGATACATATGTGGCATATTTATACATCTCTGAGACTTCTATTTATGACATTGATGCACTGTCACAGAATACGAACATCACCGTCACTTATGACATCTTCAGATGCTGATTCATATTCATCATTCTCATCATCGGTTTCATCATCGTCGCTAACATTGTCTCTGAGACTGAGAGTTCTAAGTTCACTTATTTCATCTGCCTGGATGCTGGCATAGTGATGGAACATCATTTTTACTCCAGTGATTACTGAGAGCTTTAGTCTCAAATTATATCTGAATGAGTTATTTTTCTTTCTTTCAGCTCTTTTGTACCTCACTTCAATTTCTCGTATCTTTTGATCTAAGAGTATTATTTGGTCACAGGCCTTGTCAAACTTTAGTCGGGCCATCGATATTCTGTCCCTCCAATCTTTAAGATCCATATCGACATATGAGGTGTATTTAATGAAATAGGCTATTATGAAAATATGATATTTTTGAAAAATTTTAAAACCCGGAAGTAAGGTACATCTCGCGAGAGTATGGCCGAGATCTCGTGCAACTCGTCATGACAACATATACAAGATGGAGTATACTGGAAGTAGCTACGATGGCGAATACAAGAATGGAAGGTAAATTTAAGCAGTTCATACTCTAGACATTTCATTATAGACTAAAAATAAGTATAGAAAACATACTTGACTATATAAATAGCATAAATAAAATCTGTGGTCAATCTAGGCTAGTGCCTGTGCCTAAGCAAATCAGTTTTGTTATTTTCTTCCTTTGGCCTAGCCAAAACGGATTTGATCTGATCTAGTCCTTTTGTAACTGCAATAACTGTGATTGATATGGATTTGTGAACTAAGAAATGTCATTTCAAATCAATGAAGCAAACAGGCAAATCGTGTAGATTCATCACAGGCCCAGGAAATCTCCCCCTCCCTCCCCCCCCCACTGTGTAATGTTTATTATCTAAATCAAACATGAGTGGGGGATGGGGTTCAATCTTCTTCTTGGGCCTGTGCGTAGATTAGAACAGGCTATACCAATGCCATGGACCCAAGCTTATAATGGACCAATTAAGTGATCTGATATTAATGCGAAGTATCATTTCACGGCAGTCAAAATCACATCATAATTCTCTAGCTATTGTCTGATACTATTTAACTAAATTTGTTATCGAACAGATGGGAGATAACAAATTACTACATTTGATCAAAACCACATTCTTTATTTTGGCTTATATTATTATATATTTGATCTTATATTTTCTTGTAAATTCTTCTACATTGTAAATGTACACAGATCCAACCTGAAGGTATTGTACCTTGTCAAATATATAGATCTCCTGTTTATCTAATAGTTCTAACATTTTTACTTCTGGCCAGTCTGTTTATACAATTATACATGTAGATATGACAAATGCACCTTTATGTACTGTACATGTTTACAATTGCAATTTAGCTAATTTTGATAAGATTGCTTTAAAAAAGTAAATGTACTGTAACTGCCCCATTTCACTGCTTTATGACATCAGTAGAACCCCAAAAATAAGAAATCAGTAGACCATATTGTGCCATATGATAATATATGGAAAAGTTTATTCATATTGTACATTTCAGATTATTTTGTTTTTTTGTGTGATAAGCCTACAATGTACATGTATGCCCTCTTGTAATTTAAAAAATTTCAGCCATGTTAATCTTTTTGAAAATACCATGGCAGGGAAGCATCACAATATTAAACTAATATCCTCTAGTCTGAATATTTTTGAAACTTGGATATTCAGTCTATTGGATATAGACTAATCAAAATATAAGAGGCCACATACTTTTATCAGCCAAACTAGAAGCAATTCAAGATATAATAATGTTATTTATGTACAATAGGAATATATTTTCCATATATTATTGCACAATGATCTTTTGATTTCTTATTTTTTAGGTTTTACGAACAAAATCAAACAATGAAATGGGTTGTATATACTTACACCTCTGGTTTGACTGACGTTTTGGATGACTCCTTGATCATAGTTGTCTGAAGTTCCACATTAGGTCTTGTGTTTTTCTCCTTTTGTGGTTCTTGCTTCACAGGCAATGTGCCATTATCCTCAGTTTTGATACTCATCATTTTGATCATTTGGATTTTTACGACAGCTTAGACTTTGCACAATTCTTAGTCTTTGTGCCGATAAAGTCCATGTATTCTATAGTTGTCAACAGTGACCATGAACCACAAATGGGTGTACATACTAGACTATACTGTATGCTTGTAAAAGCAGGACAATATAGAAAGAAATCTCTAACTAACTTACATATTCTCCTTTGTATTTCCATCTTTCTCATTGGTTATATTTGAAATGGCCAATTAATTGTGATGCAGTTTGTATGAATTGGCCTTGGGAAGAGAATAATTGGCAGCTTGTTATTTGACTTCATTGACCATTTTAACTACATGTATCTTGCATGAAGGGACAGTATTACTATACTGTACATGACTACAGAGATAAATGTAAAAACCTAAACTTTGTTATTTGTTGGCACTCTCTTTTATGGGCAGGCAAAATTGGCTAATGAGAGGGGGGAAAAGTTAAAATTAAGGTAGTCCACACATTTAGAAATTTTAACAGCTTCCTTAATTTGAGTCCTGTGCTAATCTTAGGTACTCATACTGTAGTGTTCCATACATGGTTTTCAACTTTCAGTTTTGCTCAAAAATGCATTCTAGTATATAAATTGAGCATGAATGAATATTCTTGATATTTAAAGAAGGAAGAGATTCAGTGGCTTACATTTTTCTAAAACTCTAAGTTTCTCTCATTGGAAAAAATATTAATCCCTGACTAAAAATAGTCATGTGGGTACTTAAGTTAAAGGTGCAATAATTAGTGCAGAGGGGTCATTCAACAATCATGGACCAGTGTCAAAATATATTTAAGTTTAGATATTTCATCAAGACTAACATCTATTTTTATTATCTACAAAGAAACCCCCCAGATAAACATTATTTTAGCTGATATTCCTCTTGAAACATGGTGGATCTTAAAAATATAAAAGTGGAAGTCCCCTTTTTGAAGCTTTGAACTGGATTTACACTTCTTAATGCTGAAATTGATAATTTATCCATACATTTTAAGAAAATAGGTATGTCAAAGAAGATGTTAAACCAAATGTTGCCTTGATAGCTCAGAAAAAATGAAAAAACTTTCCTATTTTCTCTACAGTCCTTATTGCCCCTTTAATGTGTTTGTACTCTGTGTGCAAATCTGAAAGATGAAGAGTGTACACAGTGTAAATTGACTGAAAATAACATAGAACTCTAATTGGATGCCACTAAAATTTCTTAACATATATCAAACTGTACATGTATCGTAGCCTACCTTAAATATTGCCAAATTACCAATTTACAGTATAATCACTCTACTATACCTAACACCTAGAAATGCATAAGATACTTTGTTTGTCTAATTGTATTGTTTAGTATATTTTTGAAAGTGCCTTAGTAACATCTAACATTCAACTGATAAACCATTAATAAGGAACAGGCAAATATTTAACAAATACATAATCATTACTAATAAGCCAAATGGGTTGCTCATGAACTCCAAATGCAAGGTATAGTAGAGTGGTAACGGCACAGTAAAGATACATGCATGTTTCCACTATTTTCAGGTTAGAGGGAAAGGGGAAATATAATTTCCCAACTGAGACGAAGTATGATGGTGAACTAAAAGATGGTGAATTCCATGGTAAAGGCACTCTCCATTTCCCTAATGGGAGCAAATATGATGCAACATGGGAAAATGGAATAGCAACTGAGGTGAGCAAAAGTCAAGTATTGCACTATAAGAATATGAGTTGCACCTTTCACTGGCGGATCCAGAAGTTAACAGGGGAGGGCAGATATCAAGTCAGCAAAAAATGCCTCGCTTGTGCGGTAAGAATTTTTGGTCCCATAAAACCAAAAATTGGGCCCAAATTTTGACAATTTAAGGCCCATCTTTTGATAATTTGGTCCAAAAAGGCCCTAAAAAATTTCTGGGCCAATCCAAGGGGATGGGAGCTGGATCCGCCAGTGCCTTTTAAAAGTGAGCTTCACATACAGATACAGCTACATACATAATTTTTACTACATGTACTTACATCTGAGACTGAGGACACAAACTGCTTGGTCATCTGTAAGGTGAAGATGCTGATATAATCATGTATGTAGTTCTTTATGGGTAATCTCATCAAATTTGATCTCACCTATTCCTTTATATTCCTTATACACATCTGCTTAATAAATTTAATAAATTATTCATTCTACACAGCTAATTAAAATTCATTTGCGAAAATCATATTTTTAAACAAAAAAATTGGATCGAAAATATTTGAAAATACCTACTTTTAATCAAGCTAATAAACCTTAACCCGTACATGAAGACTTACATGTACATGTATATTACATACTGGCATCATGCGCATAGCTGTTCAAAATTCATCTCACAAATCCCACCTTGAAAATACCGCCTCATGCCCACCTTAATCCTTAATGTTTTAGGGGAAGTATACATTTGCTGATGGACTGCAGTATGAAGAAGAAGATTGGGAATATTGTGATGGCTATGATAGGAGGTTCTACACAGAGATATGTGATAATCTAAAGCCTGCAGGTATGCATTGTTTTAGAATCTATTGTATGAATCATAATTTACATCTTTCATGGTTTGACCTAGCCTTGGCCAAGTCTGGATTTTTTTACTTATTTGATCCTGAATTATTACCATAATAAAAATCAAGATAAGTAAAAGAGACTGACTTGAGCAATGCAAGATTTGACCTACTTCACTGGACTTTGCATTGTGATGCCATGTGAATGCATGTAAAATGTACATAGGTAAATAATGGATATACTTCTTAGCAAATTATAAAACACCTGAACATTGTTATACCTCTATAGCATTTGTAACTGGACGGATTGGTTAAAATGATTCTCAGATTTATTGGATTATTTCATGGATTGGTGACGATTTCTGTTGACTTATTACAGGACGATCCCAGCTTACCAACAGAATTCCACCCAGGGATATCCCAGAAGGCTGCTATGATTGTGGGGATGGTTTCTACAATCCAAAGACAAGAGTTGTTGTAGATTACAAACATAAATTCCTAAGGAATGCAGGTATGACGTCTTTACAAATAGCCTATCTATTTCCTTACAATTGTTGCATTTTAAACAATAATTGCATATGTTCTTGCAATTTTTGCATTTCCTTACACTTGTTGCAATTGTAACAAAAATTGCATAGGTCCTTAAAATATTTGCATTTTCTTTCAACTCTTGAATTTCTAAAAACACTTGCCTAATTATTGAATTTCGTTAAAATATTGCATAGCTTTTATTGACAAACACTGCACACAAATACATGTACCTCATAAATGTTTTTGATTGTTTTTTTGCAGATGACGATGAACACAAATGGATAGTGGAAACGTGCAGAAAAGGTTGGGATGAAATTGTAGGATACCAAAAACCAACTGTGCCAGTTGACTAGCAGACTTTTTATTACATAATGAGACTCATTCAATTTATTTATTACATCAATTTCATTTACACAATCTGAAGTAATCAACTGTGACTTCATAAAGATATGAGAATTATCTTAGCTACTATAATGAACAGTACCATATATGGTTGGAATTATGGTAAGAATAATCTCAAAAAAGCCAGACAGATACGACCATTATGAAGAAGAGATCACTGTAATATTGGACTTGAGATGGTACATCTATACAGAGGTGTTTTATATGTCTCTGATCTATATATGTTATTGTCACATTGACCAGGGGTAGTCACTACTGGCATTGGAAGTATTAGAGACAGAGAACATGATGCATGTACCAAAATGTTTTTAGAAGAGCCGGTGAGAAACATCAACTTTTTTTACAGAAACCATTCAACTCTAATTGAAAGCCCATGCAGAAACTTAGGTTAATAACTGACATAATAAAGCAAGTAATTCCTCCAATACCGAAAAAATTGGCAGATACAATTGATGTAAACGTCTGTCTTTGTAACCCCTTTAACAATGTTCATAATGAATAAAAAAAGTTATATTTTTTCATACATCTGTAATTACTGTTTCCATCCTAAACAGGGTGAGCCAAAAAATGTTACTGATTTTAAAATGTAAGAACTTATTTATTATTAGCATGACTGATTGGTCTCAAACTTTCTGTGACTGGACGTCGTAAAAACTTGATATATAAAAACTTGACAGATCAAAAATATTTTTAGGATTTATTGTAAGCTTTAAGATGTGGCAAAGTGATTCAATACACTATTCCGACCAATCATTGGGCTTGATCTTAAACAAAATTGACCAATCACAGAGCTTGATCCTCGTGTAAAGCGTCATTGTCAACATGTGATCAAGACTGTCCAATCATGTTGTACATTGTAGGAAGGTTCACATTGACTCGTTTTTCTGACTTTTTATTTTTTTTATCTTCTTTTCCGATCTGCGCGATCGAAGGCGCAAATCAGCGTTTTTAGTACCACCATGGTCTCTCAACGTCAACTGATTTGAGAAACGTAATGTGATATGATAAATGTAAAGGGGGCCAACAATTTTTTTCGTTTGGGCCCCCACACAGGAACGAATAGACAAAGCATTTTCGAACAAAAATCATGAACGAACACACGAACGAACGCAAAAAGCATTTACAAACAAAAAACGAACAAACCCTTGCACAGACCCACGCAAGCACGCACGAATGAACAAATAAATGAACCGACTGCCAGACGATCGCGCGCAAAAACGGCCGGACGCAGCCACGAACGAACGGACAATCGGACGAAAGCAAGTACGAACGGATGGTGGGAAAACGCATGAACGAACGGACGGTCGAACGAACGCAAGCATGCACGAACGAACGGCCGGACGATCGCACGCACGACGAACGGACGGTCGAACGAACGCATGCATGCGCTAACGTTCGGACGGACGAACGGCCGTTGGGACGATCATACGAATGGACGGTTGGACGAACGCAGGCATGCGCTAACGTCCGGAAAGACGCACACCCGAACGAACGGTGGGACCAACAAACGCACGAACGAACGAATGGATTGTTTGACGCACGCACGAACGGAAGACGAATGCACGCACGATCGAACAAACCGTCAGGCGAACGCACGCATGAACGAATGAATTTTGTGCGAACGCATCCATGAAAGACTGGAAGGTCGGACGAACGCAGGACGCTGACAGATGCATCAAACTGCCTGAAGTTGCAGCAGAAATATTTGCGATGTTGCCATAGAATGATATGTAATGTGATTGGCACGTTCGTGTACGTCCATACAAAGAAGGTCAATATCTTCATGGAATAACAATGAAGCTTTCCTCGCGATCGAGGCGGGTAGCCGTGGAATTTGCTCGTGTTTTCAGCAAGGCCTCTGGAACACTATTAATGATGTATTTCGACCCCTAAATTTTCAATGCACATCTTTCCAAACAATGATCGAGCTCATCAAAATATTATCCTTGCAATAAAACAGTTTTTTTTGTAAGTTTATAGACATTGAAGTTTGACATCAAACATTAAACATAAAAACTCAAACAGCAAGTCTAGACCGCTATGTTCATTATGTCTTTTATCAAATACGTTCCATACAAATATAATATATTGTTTTGATCATTTTCTCTATAATGGGGTCTTCACAACCTAAGGTTTAGCTCGAAAAGTGAGTTCAGTACATTTTACAAGGTACCATAACCTTTAAGCACATTACTGTATATGTCATCATGTATATGCCCATTCCAGTTGTCAGTACTCGATCACCCAATAACTACTTATTTTATTACAAACAACGAATTAAATTTTCAATTTCAACAATCAAATACGAAGCGTTATATGGATATTAAATTATAGTTAACAATAGGATCCACGCTCTCTATTGTATGGTTTCTGTTAATGTGTCTGGGGCAATGAAACAAATCGTATTTCATCGAAATTGTTTTAAATGGTTTTGATAATCTTACAATAAAAAATCAAACGACTGCCGATGAAGATTTTTGATAGATTTGTATAAATACCCCCCCCCCCTTCATAACTATGATTTCAAAGCAAACGTTTCATTTTCAACGAAAACGATTTAGCTGAGGATTTTGGATAGTTAGTTCGAATAGGGAATTCGTTTGTGAGGTTGTCAGAGAAGCGTTTCGACATTAGTGAATGAAACGTACAGGGTGACCAAATAAAAACAGAACTCTCCAAAAATGAAAAAAATTCTTTATACATATTTAATCAGCAGATCTGAATCAGCTTCATTTTTCATGTACAGAAACCACAATCTATGGATGATAATGTGACACCAAATTCTTTACATAACATTTGATATTCTGTATTATGGTCAAAATGTGCCCACTTTTGAAAGAAAAGAAAAGTTGAGAATTTCGTGTCAACCAAAGGGTTACACATCGTTTGTTCAAACTCATCACATTTTTTGGCTTCTTGTCGAGCTGCATTTTGAGAGTACAGAGGTCGAGAACATTAATGAGGAAGTGTCTCAGCAACCTTTAAGTCATCTTTAGGTATGGATGAACCCTCGGAGTGATATTTTGGAAGCACGGTCAATGAAATCACACACAGTGCTTTCAGGTGTTCTCATACCCCCATTCTAAGTAACCTCCCTGAATAGGTGAACTGATCATTTTTTCCATTGAGATGTTAAACAGTTCTCCTTTCTTCCTCTTCCAACTCATTATAAAATATTTGACTTTGATATCACATGTCATGCTTTGCGTTTGACTGATCATTCTGATGTCTTAATGATTTTTTGAGAATTCATCCAATGGAATTTCGTACAGTGTTAGAGGTGTTCTTGCTCAGAGGCCAGGAATTTTAGTCATGTGTTTTTTTCTAGGTGTTTTAGCATTATAGTATTAAATGAGACTTTGATTTTGCATCATCTTTGGAATTTCCTTCTGAATTTCTCATAAAATTTCATGATATGATTTCGTCTCGATGTTGATTTTCCGAAAATTGGACACATTCTAAAATCATCCATGGTTTCAGAAATGATCAACTTGTTGTAACAAACTTGATATCATATTATCATCCATAGATTCTAGTTTATGTACATCAAAATTGGTTTGATTGGATAGGTATTGAAGACATTATAGAACTTTTGGAGTATTCTGTTTTTTGGGGTCACCATGTAGTTTTAAGGAGTAAATGAAACACATGAAACGGCTTATACATTGTTTTTCGAATTGACTAATAAAACTTTATGGGTTATGACAATGATATGGTTTCTGACAATGATGTGATATGTTTATTGATATTTCACGAAGTCTTTCAATTTATCCCATTCAGGTTTAAAACTTTATATTTCACTGGTAATAATTGATACCATTAATGGCATGTTGCAATGTGATCGATATGAATCAGATCATGTACGCAGATTACCAATTGGGGTATATATTACCATAATCTCGCCATCACCTTCGTCTGTTGCTGGAACACATCCACAGGTAAGTTTGATTAGTTAAAGAGATATTCGATATCATAACTGTACTTCTCAACATGAATAACTCTAAAATATTTTAATTCATGGTTGTAGTGATCTTCTTTATAATCATCGAAAACATCGTTCGTATGGCTAGAGAATGAATTAATTGCATTTTAAAATTCAAATAAAGACACAAGGTATTCATTCAATTAATTGGAATCTTCTCCAAGCCATGATACTGTATTTATGGTAATTTTGCCTAATCATTTGATTTGCCTATTGCCTAATTTTGCCACTTAATAAATTATTTTCAGAAAAATGAAGGTTATATCAAAGTTTATGGATTGTGCAAGTTATAAATTATTATAGATTAAATACATTTCGGGTATACTAGCTATAGTATACTATATTATATAGTGTATATTATATAATTATATAGTATATTTGGATCAGAATCATAGACAACAGCCATTGATAGAAAAGAAACTACAGCATTTTGTAGATAAAACAATCATCACAATTTAACTAAAAAATTGTTAAAAAAGAATAACATTAAAAGTAAGTAAGGAGGGTGTCAATGGAATATCCTGGATGTCCAAATTGTTTTCGCTAAATAGACGTTTTAGGCTTTTTATTACTGTATTTGCTTTGATTTCATTTCATGCATTTTTCTATAATTGTTCGATAGCTATACATGTAGCGGGGTAAAAAGGAGCAAGGGAACGAAGCCATCCTTCAAGATCGATCCTTCACTGCTTTCATAGCAGATAAATGCAATGAATTACTCTTGGGCCAAGGATGAACGAAGCACTTCTCTCGATTTTACGTTGATATGTTAATTTTTGCACCAATTCGATTATTAGCTTATTATAGTGACCAATGCTACAATAATTGCTACAGCCGCAGTTTTTTTGTTTGGCTTGGATTTTTATTATATGGTATCACAAAGAAAAGGCGTTCGGCTTGCAAATTGTTACATTTTTGTATTAACAACCAGGCATTCCTTTAATTTGGTTTATTCTGACTTTTAATTGTCTGAGGGCATCCATTTTTGCATTAATTAAGACAATACTACTTGAACTTTTATGATACATGTGTAAAATTGAGTCACTCTTTGTTTGCGATTTACAATGGCATCAACATGAAATAATGCTTTCTTGAAATATTTCGTTAGAGGTGCCTGCTTGGAATCGATTGATGCCTCTATCAGTAACCGATACAAACATCGAAGAGATTATATACAATTTAATTTGCCTAAGTGACTTGGGCAAAGGTACATGTAGTATTCGGGTATGACTTTCCTTTATCTAACTTTAATAAGGATTTTGACTAACATCAATATCATTTGGATAAATCCCAGCCCATGGTATTTTTGAAAGAGGCGAGGCGTTATCACGAACTGGTTTGGAATCTCTTGAAATAATTAATTTTTAATTTAGGTGTAAAATGCAGATGTCTCCAATTGTTGCTGTTTGTTTGGTATTTCTTAGTCTGGGGCTTGTACCACAGACTTTGTATGGCATACCCTTTAATGAACTAAAAGACACCTTTAATCTTGCTCCGAATGCAAGCACTATTGAGCTGTATAAGGCACTCTTACAAAAACAAACCGCAAGACTGGGAAGAGCTGGAGTGATTAATCTTCCACCAAATTTCTTCGATGTAAATTGTCTCACAGAAGATGGACTATGTCACTCAGGTAAGAAGGAGGCCTTTCGGACTTCATTTTTGTTGTTAAGAGCTGGTGACTATCAAAGTAGCCAGACATGAGACAGGAGAGGCAATTGCCCTATCAACGTTTCAAGAAATATATTTCTTCAAATTATATTAAATAAAGTGAGTCCAAATGTATATACCTTCTTAGCCGAAATTGCCTCGCCTTGCTTTGATTCTTGCTGTGGAAATTAATGTCACTTTGAAAATGTCAACATTTACGTTAAGACAAAATGTCATCTGAGTTATAGACAGTAACACATGTGTTTTAGATCATAGTCGAACAGACCTGTGCTTCATTGTTCAGATTTCGTGTAATATTGGTAAGAACGAGTTAAAAAACGTGGAGAAAGACATTAAAAAAATCCTCAGCAGTGTCGGAGACCAAGGCCTCTATAGAATCGTTAGGTATAGCAAGACAGCCAAAGAATTAAACAAAAAATGGACAACGGTCGAAACAGCACCAGGCAAAAAAGAAAAATTAAAACCCGGGAAGAAATGTGACGATTGTCAAGCTCAACTTCCCCTGGCGCTTGATTGGTGTAAAAGCCAATTCAACGAGTTAAACACCGATGATCCGACAAGAGGAGTAGTTCCCGATGTGATTGTTTCCTATACGGATGGTTTGAGCTTCAGCTCAAAGTTTGACGAAACCTATGAAAATACAGTCATAGAAAAGTTGCTAGAATGTGGACAGCGCAACAATACAGCAGGTCGAGCTTTCAAATTAGGAGACCCCACGTATGAATCCGACGAATGGCCTCTCCTGGAGTTTACGAACACAGGCATCGGTACCTTCGAAATCTCCGTAAAGCCACTAAAGATCGACCCAAAAGCTACAGACATACCAGCGGTTGAAGGGTTGGATGAGAATAATGATCCGTTTACATGTCGTGAGTAAAACTTTAACGGTGTCTCTGTAAAGAATCAGATCTAGTAAGCAGCATTTGCAAAATTGTTTCCAGTTAAGGATAATTTAGTTCATATTATTCCTTCACTATTCTTTTTTATGAGTAAGCATCAAGGTTTTTACTCTTGCACACTTAAATTCATCGGAGGTGTATACACTGGCAGGCAAAATGCTCGAAATGGGGGCGAAAAGGCCGCATTGCTTGAATTGAAGGATTGGAGGATGGCGTAACAAATACAATGCTGCAAATGCAAAATGTAATTAGTGACAGAATTGAAAATTGAAAGGAAAAAACAGATTAAACTTAATGACATCATAGTGACGATGCACACGTTTTGTATAGGGGTGACAAAATTACAAGCAACATGTACGATTGACGGCTACAAATCCATTAATTACAATCTCAAATACAATATCTCCAAAAAGATTCACGATATTTTGTAAATTGGTGAAGTAATTACGGATTCGAAGTGTAAAAATGGGTGAAAATGTTTAAATTCTCCCAATAATAAGAATGGTAACCATTCTTATAGAAAAATAATACAATATTGTAAAAATCTTAAGTTTTCCTGAGATAAACTTTGCACTTTGGAGATTTTTAGAAAATAGACATGACAAGGAATGACATGATCGTCAGAAATATTCTAAAATTGAAACAATGTTTTGTTGGCCTGCTCGCTAGATCTGATTTAATATGCATGTGTTAAAACACCTGTACTGTGTAAGAGGCCCTAGATATATCGTACATATGAACATCACAAAGAATACACCCCCCCCCCGTCCTTCTTCAAAGGACATCATTTATGCTTAAATTCGTACATGAAATACTAAACTCTTGCTACAAGGATGATATATCCCAGGCCCAGGCAATACTATCTATTAGCCCCGTGATTATATAAATGAATTTAACGAGGAATTAAAATTGGTGATGATTTGTTTTTGTAGCACATTGTTGTAATGCCGATGTTGTCGTTGTGGTAGATCGATCAAACAGCATTAAGGTACCAGACCTGACAAATGTTCTAGAATTCTTTAGTGAATTTATTGATGCGCAAGAACATATACTGGATCCTACCTTGGGCTTAAGTCCCGAAGAACCTGGTTTAAGATTTGGATTCTTAACATACAACTGTCCTGTAACTGTTCACTGCGACCTTGGGGAGCAAAATCAAGCGGGTTTGATAGCATGTGTTGACAACATCCCCCGTACAACAGGCAAATTCACCAATACAGTAGAAGCATTGAAAAGGGCTAAAGAACAGCTTGACACTTTTGGTAGGAAGTTGCCGGATGTTCGGGAAATAGTTGTTTTGGTTACCGATGGTCGAACGTGGAATTGCAATGCGCCACAAGTCGCCGATCCTGCAGCAACTGAAGCCGAAGCAGATAAGCTTAAAGCTGCTGGAGCTGAATTATATGTATTTGGTAAGCTTATTTGTCCATTTTTCACAAAGTATTGGGCTACTTTACCATTGGCAATTGAGGAGGTACAAATAAACTAACTGACTACGCAATGTTTATTCAGTAATTTCGTTAATTTCAAAGTCTGGATCAAAATATAAATATTCTTCTGAAAATGTCTAGATATTTAGCTTTTTAGGTGTAAGACCCGATTACTATAGTAGCTCCGCCTCTTTAACCATATATTGAGGACGTGGACGAGCAGCATATCAAATAGACTCTTGAAGTTAACCCTCTAATTCCCTAGAATAACTGAACTTAAGCTTTGGGTCCTACGCCAGATTAAATTTTAATTGAATACTTTGTATGATAACTGTTGATGTTGATTATAAAATTGAAAATGTTCATATTTTATGATGTTAATCACAAAATTCACTTGGTATTGATTTGTAAATGTCTCTAAATTTGTTACCGTGATGGTCATCTCTTTCACCTAAACTACGACTAATACTATAGCAAGCATTAGCGAATGACAGTCTGCACTTAAGTTTTCAAAGGGGGTGATCGTACAAATAAGAATAGTAAATTCAATGTTCATTGCGAAATTCTGATTCCGTCTGTGTATAATATTTTGACCAGACAAGTACATATAGGCTAGGAACATACTATATACAAATAGGAAGGTCACGTATTGAAGGCAATTCAAATAATTTAATGTCTTTAATTCAAATTCTATTTCTTAGGACTCCCGAACCACCTGGGTAAAACTGATGGTTGTGAAAGAGAATGGCTCCCCGTTGCAAGTGAACCCAAAGCTTGTCACGTTATTGACTTCACCAATGCAACATATTCTCCCAGTGATCTATCGCATGCAGGACTACATCTTACAAAGGAAATATGTACACAAGGTGTGTATTGTTCATCTTATACTATTCCATTTATCCGGAAATCAAAGATGTTAATGCACTTACATGCACGAGGTGAAAGTCTACCCGTGTATATACAACCTACCGCCGAGCAAAGACCCGAAGATGTCTGAAAATGTAGGGAATAAGTTAATAAACTCCTGTTTTATATTGAATTTCTCAATATGAGAAATAGATAAAACACAGAATTGTTTGTAACCGATATAGTTGTTGTTCCAGGCACTCATGTTTAGAGAATAATGAGGGTAACTGGTCAACTCAACCCCAAGTCAACTCAACCCAAGTCAACTCAACCCTTAGTCAACTCGACCCCAAAACAAGTCAACCCTTAGTCAAATCGACCCCAAGTCATATCAACCGTCAACTAGACCCCTAGTCATCTCAACCCTTGGTCAACGATATAATCTGATCTCAACAGATTTTACTCAAGTTATAATATTACTCGTCGATCACATCGGGTCCGATGTCCGATAATATCGGATCTTTTAGGACAAAATTTATTTGAAGATTTTGCTGTTCAAAAGTGCTATTTTGACCTAATATTTTGACCCTTAATATATTATGCATATGACATACATTTACCGACCCAAGTATGTCTTATGTATGGCTCATGATCAATTAAAGCGAGTATGAATGAGAAAAACAAATCGAAACCCATTATACGTTTAACTTATCTCTTAATTTGGACATAACAAATATATTTCAACTATGATTCTAGGCCAATTCCGCCTGCTAGAACATCTTAGTAACAATTCTAACCATCCAAGGGAATTGATAGTGATATTACATTACCTTTATTGTCCATTTTCCTACGAGATGTACCTTACCAAACATTGGATTGGCGGTATATGCGTGTCTTACTCGGCGGTAGGTTGTACACGTATATACGCGGGTAGACTACCCTGCGTGCAGAGTCTAGTTAAAAGACGGAGCTCTCTTTTAAGAAGTGAAGTCAAACGAATGCAAAGGGTACGGGTAGACTTTCCCATGGTGTACATGTATTGCACTACTATCATTATGAACACTGTAAAGAACATTGGAAACTTAAGCTTGAGAAAAAAGTCCAATTGAAGATTGTGAAACATGTTTCGAGGAATGGTATACGTCATAAAAGTTCATTCAAAATTTCCGAAAATGGAAAATATTGTAAAAAATAATTTCATTGCATTTCTCGCCATCTATTGACCATCCTAGTGTGTTAATGCTCATGAAATATGACTTACAGGCGAAGACCACCCGTGCCCATTTAAGGAAGTGTGCCATTTTACAACCATGAAATAGGAATCGATCGTGACGAATATTGTCCAGATAACCACAAAAAAGAACAGACACTAACCCTATAGTTATGACTATTATCCGGAATAACACAGACCAAGTATAGCCATTGTGTAATTAATAAGCTATACTTTACGGCAACATAGAAATACAAACGTAATGACGTGCAGTGTTACTGTAAGGCCGTGAATTCATCCAATCCCAAAAGTTCTGGAAAAAATTATCTCAGAATATTAACCGTTTTTGTTGAACTCGTTTATCATGATTAACTGGAATAACAAAGACCAGAGTGCAGCTATTGGTTCTCTATACTCTATCTTGATCATTTCTGTTCATAACAAGATAAAAAAAATTAATTATATATTGTATCCAAATAGATTTGAATAAATTCAATGGAAAAGAAAAATGTTGTAGTTTGTAAAATTTTGAAGTTCATTATTTGTGGCAAATCTGGACTTAAGTTTGAAAAATCTTGACTATAGTATCAAGAATTTCGGAACACATTAATTCCATGAAGAAACAGGTGATTTCTCTATACATTCAAGTCAATTGACTACTTCACTTACTGGTTTCACCTGAGTTTCATGTGAACGTGTACCATGCGTGTTTGTGGCAAACGACACAGACAATCGCTCACACTATTTTTCTTGCTTTCAATATATTTGAATTCATAATCATACCCAGCTAGTGTGACTGCCCACCTTTGAATACGACCACAACACTGGGGATCCGCTGTGGGTATACTTTTTTGGTGGACGCCCTGTAGTATACAGTATAGGTTAAAACCTCTGTTTACTGCTACAGATATAATCTTTTTTATTCAAATGACTTTATTTCCTTCGGTGTAACAATTACATTTACAAAAGGAAGATATGATAAATAAATGTTTGTTGTGTTGTCCTACAGTCATATACAGTTATAATCTTGATATACACTGAATGAATAAATTTTGAAAATTCCTGGGAGGGGTGAATAGAATCTGATATACACAGCAAGTGGAAATCGACTGATCTATTCTAAGATAAGATGAGATCCGTTTGTGACCAATCATTGTTTCATTGCTAACCTACACGTAGTGATCCTTATCATCAAAGAATGTGCTCTTGCTATATATACACTACAATGTAATATGTAATGTGGTGTAAACTACACAGTATACGCCCAGCGTCTTGTGCAAGCCTTGTTATTCAAATTGTAATAATTATAATATGAAAATAAATATAACATAACATAACAATCATCCAACTGCAAGCTTAGCAGTGATATAATGATTCAAAATGTTTTGCAGCTGGAGCTGATGACGCACTAGTCCAGATCAAGCACTTCGGCACTTCTCTATAAAGAAATATTACATTAAATAAACAGAGTACTCTAAATTCAAAGGTGCAGCAAGCTGAGTTTTAAAAGCATCAAGTCTCTAGACAACCCCATCGTGCAACTCTTCCTTCTTTATTTGAAACATATGACAGAAATTTGAACTATCTACACAGTGTAGATGGTTCAAATTCTGTTCTCTTGCTTTTGTCCATTTCCTCATACATAACATTTTGATATCACACCTTTTGTCAAAAAAGGTCCATTTCAATTCCTGTTCTTCTTATGATATGTTCAGGCATGCAGAATACTGGATTAACAGGCTTAATGTCTTTGTTTCCTAGCAATGACAGGCCACATATTCCAAATAAAGTGTGGAATGGGTCAACCTGAAATTATAAATGACCATTACACTCAAGTTGAGAAATCTTAAAGAAGACAATATATTGATCATTGTGGCAAAACCCCTTTAGAAGACCATAGAGCAAAATAAAGAATATTAATCTATTTTTATGAAAAATATTTTCAGAAAGGTCTATAAGATCTATTGGTCTCTTAGCAGATTGAAATATTACCATATCTCCTGGCCTGTCAGCAAACCCTCCTGTCTCTTCATCTTGAGTTGCAAGGATAAATCTCACCAATTTATCCTACAGTAATCAATAAACAAGCAAAAATCAATAAAAATAAGATCAACAACATGTATAACAAGTGTTCATTATAAATACAAATTCTATGTAAAAGTTGAGAATTATCACAAAGTTAATAAACTTAAATGTAGGGGCATCAACATTCATAATCAATTGTGCATTAAATGAAACACTAATTTTGAATGAAATTGAGAAATGATGAGGTTAAAAAATTAATAAACAGAGATGTAAGGGAATCAACATTTATAATCAATTATTCATTACATAATAAAAAAAGTGAGAATAATGACAAAAGTTAAAAAGTTTTATGCATGAAGGTCAGTTACTAAGGTACATGTAGTACACATTAATGAAAAATTTAGTTGTGTATGTTGAAGTGAAGGAAACATTGTTTAACTTGTTGTCATTCTCTGCTCAAAATTATTTGTCAGGGGCCGTCCCCAGACAGATCTCCAGATTTGACATCACAATATTATTCAGATTCCTGGATGTGCATAATGCAAGGTCTCTCATGTATGGACAATTATCGACTATATCGACTTGCTGCGTTCTAATTGGTTGAGAAATTCAATTGACCCTTTTCCATATAAATGGAAAATAGATGGCATCATGGGTATTGGTAGGGCTAGGGTAGGGCTAGAATACATGTAAATGCATTGCCAGAGTCACTTAATTTCTTGATTTGAGAAGTAATTCCATTTGGATCAACTTAAAACACCATTGGAATGTAACAATATGATCTTAATGACATGTGGATTGTGATTTCACATTAAAATTGTGATCCTTGTAAGAGTAAATGGACTTTTAAAGGTTTTTCAGCATTGTGTCAATGGGGATTTAGCCCGACCTTTTTTAGACAACAAGAAAATCATTAGAATTTGAATAAAGGTAAATAACGGTGCAAATCAAAGTTGTTTTGATAGAACATTACACACAGAATTCAAATATGCCATCAAATAGAAGAAAATGTTAGTCTTTAATGGTTAAAAATGCAGATCTCCTAAAATCTAATTAAAAAGAGACGTAAATTTCTACTTCTGTTGGTCAAAAGGCATCAGAAAGCTTTGTTCTGCTTAAATATTTGAAAATGAAACTTTTTGTACAGGTTATTCTGAGTTTAAAGTGTTAATGTATCTTAGGATCTGAAAGAGGCACTTCCAACATTGATCCATCATTTGGGAGTCAAATTCTTTGGTTGCCAAATCATAACAAACAAATCATATCTAATAAAGAACACTTTTAAGACTCCAAAGGAGAATAATGGCTCCCAGGGGATGCAACATGATATTTTTCCAAAAAGAGAATATCAGAATGTAATTATATTTTGAAGTCATAGCTCCGACAATAAATTCATAATCAACTTTCAAAAGATTCGAACCAATATCTGAATCACTTCTTGTGTGTTGTTTGAATCTTTATATAAGACTGAAACTCACGATTCAATTTTTGAAGTAACAAAATGGCAGCTATTTGAATTTGAATTTTGTAATCATGACATCTCCATATATGGCAGAATATTGAGTTGGAAGCCTGGGATCCAATCCTCCTTGTCAGTATCCTGTCAATGCATGAACTCCTGAGAAGAGTGAATCAAAATTAGACGATCATGAAACAATTCAATGAACAAGCAAATAAAATATCATCAGGATAGTGAGGGTATCCAGGGTTCATCCAGGATTTATAAAATCTAAATAGATTGAATTATAACAAAATTATTATGTGGGTCCTTTCAAAAGTATAATCAAAGTGCAATAAGAGAAAAACATTTATTGGCAATTATGTTGTAATTCATTTATAAAAGCGCAACATTTGTCACCATGCAGTTAGTTTCACTTTTGCAACTAGACAAGAAAGATGTTGATGAATATACTTTACTTTGCTGTGCTTCTGTTTGTACCAGTGAATGCAGGTGAGTACAAGTAAAACCATTCATAATATAATAAATTATTATTTTTTAATGTTATTTAAAAAATCTGGAAATGCTTTGTTGTTTTAGTTGGTTTATTTTTAATGTTATTGATTATTAGTGGTGTGTTTGTTTTTCTTTCTATCTGTTAAAAAACACACACAAGATATACAACTTGAATATCAACAGTAGATTCATCATCAATACATAGTTACCATGAACAATCCAAATGAACATACTATTATATTAGTACTAATATAATAGTAGTGTATGTTCATTGTACAAGGTAACTATGTATTCATAGCTATATGAAGCTATATTTCTAAGTAGTACACCCACCACAGGAACAGTAGTTGAGCAAAGCAAAAAACGAGCGTTTAGGGGGGTTCTCCCAAAGGAAAATTTTGAAATTTAGTTGTATTTACCATCTAGTACGGCTTTGCGTACCCTGCGTACCGGGCGCTACGCCTATGGTATTGATGATAATGTTGCAAATTTTGTTGCAAATTTTAGCTGCTGGTGCAGTTGGCATTTGTGACTATCTTGTGCAAGTAATCCCCAAATTCAAGGATAATATGGATAGTGGAAAAAGTCTCTGTGAGGCACAACAGGTTAGAATTTTTAAATTACATAAAAAAAATTAACAGATACCGGAATTTGTAAAAAATAGAAAATGACAGAAGTTGCACTTTGATTTTTGATTATCAAAAATTGATGGTCAGCTAAACACTGTCCTCCCTCATTACAATGTAAGTAGAATCTCTTTCAAAGAATTTAAACACAGCATTCACCATGTAAAATTGTCCCTATGCAGTCCATTGAAGGTCAGTAGATCGATGTAGTAAGGTACTACTACTGAATAGGGACACTTGAACATGATTGGTTTTATATTTCTAAGAAGTTCCACTTTGATGAGCAATCTTCACTTACATCTGTATGTGGAGGAAATAAAGATACTGAACTGAACACAAAAATAAAAAAAAATCAATCTTTAATGTACTGCACAACCCAACAGCATGATATATCTCTTTCAAAGTCACTAAGGTGTATAAAGTATGGTACCTACAAAAATGCATGTTTTCTCATTAATAATTAGCTAGATTCCCTCAAGGGTCTGTCTTAAGACCTGTTCTATTCATCTTTTACATAAATGATACATTTTATGCTTTTAATGTTTCCTAACATAAAATAAAAATTAGTAATTTTTTCTGATGACACAAATATTTCTCTAGAAATTAACATTTAATGAAAACAACTCTTTATAAAGGCATTATTATTATTATTATTAACTGCTTGAAAAAATTATTTTTACTGCATGTATAAACCTTTATTAGTAAAAGTCTTAAAAATTTCCGAGATCCATAAGTTATAAAAAAAATCAAAATTCGAAATTCATGTTTGATTATTTCTGTTAAAGAAACATTAAAATATTCGGCCATATCTTTTATGTAAAACATATTATAAAGGCATAGATAAATGCACTGTATTTTTCCAACATGTACAAGTAATATCACGAAATAAACTAAATTAAACTAAATTATTAATTTTTCTTAGATGACCTATGATTTCTTTACTGACAATTCACCAGATGATGTAACTATGTGTCAGCTGCAGATAGCTATGAGAATAGAGGTTACTGAAGTGCTGTTTGATAGGATAAATGAGCCTGAATGTGACATAGATTCATCAGGTATAGAGGGCCTTCTCACTCCAGGTAAGAGCATTCTCAAAGGGTGATAATAATAAGTAAAACCTATGATGTTAAGATTAAAATGACTCACAAGAGGTGTCATCAAAACTGTACATTGTTACAGATACTTAAACTTGACTTATCAAAATCTGATGTATTAAACTAAGATATTTCAGAATTTGAATCTGTATTTTTGTAATCACTTAATATTGGGACTGTGGTATCAACATTGTACATGTAAAACTAATAAATATTTTTTTCATTTCAGAAAGTCGTACAATGGTTGAGAAGATAAGAGATGCTCTTAACGGTAAATTTTTGTTTAAATACTTGTTCTGTTCTATCTTAGCACTTTTACGGACTAGTGCTTTTATAGACTATTGCTTAAACTTAAACATATATATGAGGTATATGATGCAAATCATGATAAAGATCACGACATCATCATGATGTAATTACAGTTTATCCTACTGTTGGAATGATAAAAATTAGCCACGTATTATATATGCATGTCTGTAAAAACTGTTGAACAGGTTGATACGTTTATATATGCAGTTTTATGCAATTCAGGCCTAACACCCGATGAGCAAAAGTGCGAAGATTTCACCCCAAGACGCATGTGGAAGAGAGTTTATGAGCATTTGAAGACCAGTGGCACAAGCTCAAAGATCCCATGTGATATCATGAAATCTGAGCCAATAAATGGTGAGCTGGCCTTTGTGGATTGCCTACAGGAGAAAAATGCAGACAAAGCAAAGGAATTTTCAGATATTCTGCAATATTACGTGAATGATATCAAAGCAAGAAATGAATATTTTAAACTATATTCAATGTGTGATTAATATTGAGCAACCTGAGTTTACTCAACCATAGTTTAGTAAAATTGACAAGAAAGTAGTCAATTCAATGATTTAAAAAATTTGAATGAAAAGAATAATGAAATATGCACATATAACAATAGATTCCTGAAATGATCTACAAAATTGAACACTTATATTGTAAATACTAGTTACTACCCTGATAACTGCACCCCATATATAGTTTATTGTAATAACAAAACTACTAATAAAATAGATATTGTTAAATTATTGTTATTATTTTTTAATGATAATTTCACTATACTGAATAATGAATTTATTGTAATAACAAAAATACTAGCATTAGTAGAAAACTAAATAAAAATATATTCTAATCATGATATGAACAAAAAACTTGACTTAAACTGATTTTATTTCTTGAGCCCCCCTCCCCCTGTATTATATGCTTAGATACTCGGGATCTTTCATTGTTGAATATGGATAATAGGGCCAGCTCTTATATGAAATCACACCTGAAAGGCATGTTTTTCAGTCTCATGTGATGAATCCACACCTGAAAGGCATGTTTTTCAGTCTCATGTGATGAATTCACACCTGAAAGACATGTTTTTCAGTCTCATGTGATGAATTCACACCAAATAGGCATGTTTTTCAGTCACATGTGATGAATTCACACCTGAAAGACATGTTTTTCAGTCTCATGTGATGAATTCACACCTGAAAGGCATGTTTTTCAGTCTCATGTGATGAATTCACACCTGAAAGACATGTTTTTCAGTCTCATGTGATGAATTCACACCTGAAAGACATGTTTTTCAGTCTCATGTGATGAATCCACACCTGAAAGGCATGTTTTTCAGTCTCATGTGATGAATTCACACCTGAAAGACAGGTTTTCTGTCTCATGTGATGAATTCACACCTGAAAGTGAAAGGCATGTTGTTCAGTCTCATGTGATGAATTCACACCTGAAAGGCATGATGTTCAGTCTCATGCGATGAATTCACACTTGAAAGACATGTTTTTCAGTCTCATGTGATGAATTCACACCTGAAAGGCATGTTTTTTAGTCTCATGTGATGAATTCACACCTGAAAGACATGTTTTTTAGTCTCATGTGATGAATTCACACCTGAAAGTGAAAGGCACGTTGTTCAGTCTCATGTGATGAATTCACACCTGAAAGGCATGATGTTCAGTCTCATGTGATGAATTCACACCTGAAAGGCATGATGTTCAGTCTCATGTGATGAATTCACACCTGAAAGGCATGTTTTTCAGTCTCATGTGATGAATTCACACCTGAAAGACATGTTTTTCAGTCTCATGCGATGAATTCACACCTAAAAGACATGTTTTTCAGTCTCATGTGTGTCAGACTTTACAAATCTAAAGGAGGTAAAGGTACCTTATCAATCCAATGCAATTTGCCAATTATTTTCAGTGATGCTAGAACCCACCAAGAATAACAAACATCTGGCAGCTTTTCTGGTCGCCCTGTAAATAGAAATGTTATGCTTCATCAACACATTGCAGCTTCTTGCAGATACATGCCCTAAAATGCTGTAGATGTGATGATCATATTAATTACTTTACTTTATCACTTCATACTTTTGTCTGTTTGTCATTCATGTTTGTCCATCAAGATTGCCGTGCAAATTCACAAGAATTTGTTAAACAAGAACACAAATGTGTACAAAATGTCCCCACCAAGTGGTGATCCCGTCAAATGGTTATCTTGAAAATGAGTAGACAAGACTTTACCAACACAATTTGAGGACGGAAAATCCAAAGTGGCCACCTTAAAATTTACCCAGAATGCCAAAAATTTCTAGATTTTCATACTAAGAACCACCCCTGAAAATTTGAAATTGATCCGTCACACAGTTAACCAGAAAACATGTAAACAAGACTTTACAGACAAGATTTCAGGATGGTAAATCCAAAATGGCTGCCTTGACATTTACCCAGAATGTCAAAAAACTAATCTGTTTGTAGATTTTCATACTAAGAATCATCCCTGAAAATATGAAATTGATCTACCAAACGGTTCACCTGAAAACAGGAAGACAAGACTTTATAGACAAGATTTTAGGACAGAAAATCCAAAATGGCTGCCTTAACATTTACGCAGAATGCAAAAAAAACTAATCAGATGTAGATTTTGATACAAAGAATCATCCCTGAAAATTTGAAATTGATCTATCAAACCGTTCACCTAAAAACGCGTAGACAAGACTTTACAGGCAAGATTTTAAGACGGAAAATCCAAAATGGCTGCCTTGACATTTACCCAGAATGCAAAAAACTAATCAGTTCTAGATTTTCATACTAAGAATCATTCCTGAAAATTTGAAATTGATCTACCAAACAGTTCACCTGAAAACGAGTAGACAAGACTTTACAGACAAGATTTTAGGACGGAAAATCCAAAATGGCTGCCTTAACATTTACCCAGAATGCCCAAAAACTAATCAGATCTAGATTTTTATACTAAGAATCATCCCTGAAAATTTGAAATTGATCCACCAAACGGTTCACCTGAAAACGCGCAGACAAGACTTCACAGACAAGATTTTAGGACCGAAAAATCCAAAATGGCCGACAATAAAAAAGTCCTTATGAATTTTTGCTGATTTCTTTTTACAAAATTATCACATATAACTACTGTTAATAATAAAGTAGGCTTTTACAACAAAGTACATCTGAAATTATTTATAAAGCTACTAAATAGTTAAAGTATGAAAACTCAAAAACACCATTCAATATGATACAAAGTATTATCGCGCGCTAACTTTTCTTAAGACATTCAAAATGGCTGACATGACTGAGCTAGCAGGTCCAAAACCTAATCAGATCTAGAATGAAGTGAGCTGAATAAGATGTTAAAGTTTTAAAAGCAACTGTGAAGCAGTTTTTCTTAAAGTTTGCAGACAAGGATTTTAGCATTTGACTTCAAAATGGCCGACAGGAAGTAGGTTTCGAGTTAAATTTTTTTCATCCACATCTATAGGCACTCATAAGTTATCCCTGAAAATTTGAAGGTGATATCTGTAGCGGTTTTGGAGAAAACTCCCGGACGTACGGACGGACAGACAGACGGACGGACAGACGGACGGACGGACAGACGGACGCGCCTAGGCCGACAATATGGCCCCACACTATGTGGTGGGGACATAATAAAAAGTGGGACTTCAGGGAAGTCCTCATGAACAAAGTCAATAGGATGTGATTGATATGTACCTGTTAAAATATGCAATTCCTTTGTGTTTATAAACCTTTTTCCAAATTTTGACATAAAAAATTGATCAATCCATTAAAAGTGTAAAAAGTTAATAAGCCACACTCACGGTGTATAACCCAAACGCTCCTACATGCACGACGGAGCGTTTCATTACTGAAATTAAACAAAGAAACGCTCCGGAGTAGGAAAACTGTCTGGCGGGAATGATGAGCCGTCTGACAAGTTCCCCAATAATGGAAATAAGAGGTATGAGTTACATATTTCGAGTATACCATTCGATGGGTGTGATATTCATGTTGTACGTGGCTGGCTGTTGACGTTTGAAGCAATTAGGAAGAGCTGTACGAAGCAGTATAGTTATCAAAATTCAAAAACGTATTTGTCATTCTACCGGTCAAAACCCCTTTTGTCGATACATGTGATTAGTTGAGCCAAGATTAGAGCACCAACGTATATTTTAGTCAAATTCCAATGCTTCAACGCACCATACATTATCCTAATAGTGATTTGATGACCGAAAATCCAGTCTTAAAAATGATGACATTCTCATATTCAAGAAACGCTCCGATCTGGTTAACACAGTGAATTGGAAATGCTCCGGTAGTCTAGATCAGTTAAGGAAATATATAGCTTGCCTTTCCTTTTCAGGAAGAGAAAGAAAAGATCTATTATACCCCTTGGCATCAATAGAAGAAAGATTAATTCACATATAACTTTTCGTTTTTTCTATAGTTTTATGATTTAGCACATATGTAGGCATGACATCATCTAATGTATAGGCTTTAATCAGCTAGTTGCACGTTTAGCACCACCCGGTTCAGATGTTTCAATTTGCCTAACAAGTACAACACGTTTTTGAGAGATAGACTCGATTCGGAACTCTTCTCTAATAATCTGAAAATGATATCAAAACAAAATGGTAAGAGCGTTTCTAAAATTGTGGTTTAAATCGACGGAGCGTTTCTAGGAAAACAAGCGATTTCTCGAGAACAAGTAATGGATTTGGACTGGGATTTTAGGAAATGAGAATATTTGAGTTTGTGATCTACTACTTAAACAGAAAGATTAACGTTTTCATAGAAATACTAGTTTAATTCGTAATTTGTGGTCAAATCGTCATCTTCAGATTCGTTCGATCTACACTACGGAGCTTTGATCAAGCAAATAACAGTTTACCACCAGAAGTTGAATAAATAAGATCTTTGCTCACGGTATTGTTCATCGAATGGTACATAATATTTCACAATGACATATGATATGTAAGAGAAACGAGAGAAACAATACTTACGGTCATAGTAGAATCTTCATTAGCCGCCATTTTATTTCGCTCCGGAGCGTTTCCGCGTAAATGTAACGCTCCGTCGTGCATGTAGGAGCGTTTGGGTTATACACCGTGACACTGTGAACAGAATCGCACCCTTGAACAGAATACACTTTTTGGGATGGAAAATCCAAAATGGCAACCTTAACATTTACCCAGAATGCCGAAAAACGAATGAGTTATGAACTTTCATAAGTAGAAACATACCTGAGAATTTCAAATGAATCCCTCAAACGGTTTGGCTGGAAACCTGTAGACAAGCCTTCACAGACACGATTTTAGGAAGAAAAATCCAAAATGGCCGCCGTTACATTTATCAAGAATGCCGAAAAATTAATCATTTCTAAACTTATATAGGTAGAAACATCCCTGAGACGGTTTGGCTGGAAACCTGTACACAAGCCTTGACAGACAAGATTTTAGGACGGAAAATCCAAAATTGCCGCCTTAACATTTACCCAGAATGCCAAAAAACTAAGCAGTTCTAAACTTTTTTAGGTAGAAACATCCCTGAGAATTTCAAATGAATCCCTGAAAAGGTTTGGCTGGAAACCTGTAGACAAGCCTTGACGGACAAGATTTTAGGACAGAAAATCCAAAATGGCCGCCTTAACATTTACCCAGAATGCCGAAAAACTAATCAGTTCTAAACTTTCATAGGTAGAAACATCCCTGAGAATTTCAAATGAATCCCTCAAACGGTTTGGCTGGAAACCTGTAGACAAACCTTGACAGACAAGATTTTAGGGTGGAAAATCCAAAATTGCCGCCTTAACATTTACCCAGAATGCCGAAAAACTAATCAGTTCTAAACTTTCATAGGTAGAAACATCCCTGAGAATTTCAAATGAATCCCTCAAACGGTTTGGCTGGAAACCTGTAGACAAGCCTTGACAGACAAGATTTTAGGACGGAAAATCCAAAATGGCAACCTTAACATTTACCCAGAATGCCGAAAAACTAATCAGTTCTAAACTTTCATAGGTAGAAACATCCATGAGAATTTCAAATGAATCCCTCAAACGGTTTGGCTGGAAACCTGTAGACAAGATTATTCGGGACGCCTGCCCAACCGCCCAACTGCCCGGCAAACTGATTACAATATAGCACCTTAGGGTGCGATAAAAACTACCAAACATACTCAGTTGCTATGTACAATGGGTCTTGTCTTTAAATAAAATAAAATATTTTTTCTGAGCAATTTAGATCTTTAGCTACAGTATATTCATAATTTGCTCCAATATATGATGAATTCAATTCAACTGTTCTATTTACTGTTATATAATTCATAGTTCATATAATCCAATGATTTTAGTGATAACATTTTTATCCAAAATAGATGGTACCATGAACCTACCATTTAGACCCCCAGATGGCAGCTGTCTCTCACAAAGCCACCAACCAAGCATGTCTGCATTGATATGGTGTAGTCCCCCCACTAAAGCCAGGAATCCAACACAGCAGTAGATCTATAATGGAAACTCACAATGACATGGTGTGCTTTTTCCCTATGTTTGAAATGCAAACGGCACAAGGGGCCAGGTTACAAGCAGAATACATAATACACTGAAAAGTCTTTCTGTCACCCACAGACTTTTTAAAAGCATTTTCTCATCTTCTTATGCATCAGAACAAAGTAAGATTTTTTTATTTTGAGATTCCAATGAGCCTCAAGTCATAAAAATATAATCAATACAAATAGTTTTACCTGCCCAGAGTGTGTTTCACTCCCAGGTCTACAGCCGAATCCTCCATCAAAGTTCATACATGAAAGTACAAACTGAGTTGCTTTGTCTATGTTAACAGCATCCAGTCGTTTCTGAAACAGATTCCAAATTCATTTTAATTTACTCAACATATTTTGAGAAAACAAAAATAAATCTAATCCATGATCTTTAATGGTTACTTGTTGGTCTTGGTAAATGGTGAAATTAATACTGAGAGAAGGTTGCCCAAAATTGATGTTATGGTCCTTTTCCTTTGTTACTTGAGCTTATTTGCAATGAACAATGACATCAAATTAAAATCTTTATGAAGCAGGTTGGTTGGAAAACTAAAAAATACAACCTAAATACAACAATGTTGATTGACAATTATAGGATAACCAAATATCAAATATACATACCAGTAAGGCCAAACAGGCTATTGCACAGAAGGAAAATCTTGTATCCACCTCCCCTAAAAACAAATACAATAAAGCTCATTAAGAGAAACACACTTGGGTCCATGGAAAATTTACTGTAAATTGCTTTAAGGCTATATTTAACTTGGCAGAACAGGCAAAATTTGAAATTTTGGCTGCTCTATTCAGTTTGGTGGATTCAATCGTATTTCACACTTCACAGCTCGCCACCAATAATGCAATTTTATCTCCTGATTTCAGATTGTTTTATGTAAACCAGCAGGGACTTTGTTGATCTAGGAAAGTATAGTATAAATTGACATTAAAGTTTTATCATTCAAGGTAACACATGGAAAGAGCAATGAACAAAATTCCCCAGGAATTCGGTTTTCAAAAAATTGGTGGAGACTTGATTTGACATTTTTTATCAATCCACCAAATGAAAACTGCTGTCAAATTAAAGCATTTCCAGACCCTTATTGATTACATAGTTCGATACAACATCAAAGATGTGATTTCTAAGTACGAAGTCACTTTGGCCCCATTAGACAGAAGAATGAGGCTTTTCATACAGTGAGGCTTACACTATAAATAATTTGCGAGTGGAAATGCTCCACAATTTATTTATATAATCATAAGCCTGCACAGGTGTAGAACCATTAGATAGAAGAAGAAAAGAGCTTTAAAATATTTTTATATTTGAAGTCCTGATTGAAAACAGATTTTTTCAGCGATCAACCCCCCCCCCCCCCCCTTACCCAGACTGACTAAACCCATGAGCCTTATTAAGTTTCACTTACCCCATTTGTCACCACAAAAACTGCCATCTGGCTGCTGCAGTGCAGATATAAACAACACCACTTTGTTAACATTGATTGTGTCTGTCGCATCATATATTGTCAGAATCTTGAGAATTAAATACATAATATTGCAAAAGATAAATTTTAAATGTCAAACCATTTAAACAAGACACATAATGCAGTGATACGTAAATATAGAACTTGAAGAGCAAAATGTCCACCTTTTACATAACTCTGCAAGGTAAGCCAAAAACCTAATAAGTTCCTATAGGCACTACTCTAGTGTTGCATCTAGATAAACTGCAAGATAAATACATTAATAGTTTTCTTGGTATCTACATCTAATAATTTACAAGAGATTAATAAACCAATGATTAAAATTACTTTGGCAATTGAATTACCCCAAAAGAAAAAGTGTATTGTATACCTGTATTGCACTGAGAGTATATAGGAGATGTGGGTCGTGGCCAATACTGGCACTAATTCCACCACATTCTTGCTGGCAATCTTTGACAAATTTCAACACTTCATCCTTATCCATTTGGTCTAAACTGTGCATGAGGTCCATTACTGTAAGCCCCCAGTACACGCCACTCATTCTCAGGTACTCTGTCATGCAATATTCCTGCAAGAATGTATAGATGTTACAGTGATAAAAATTCTCTACATGTCCATTTAGGCTGGAATTGAAGTGTCTCTGAGGTCCATTACTATAAGGCCCCAGTAAACACCAGTCATTCTCAGGTACTCTGTCATGCAATATTCCTGCAAGAATGTATAGATGTTACAGTGATAAAAATTCTTTACATGTCCATTTAGGCAGGAATTGAAGTGTCTCTGAGGTCCATGACTGTAAGCCCCCAGTACACGCCACTCATTCTCAGGTACTGTCATGCAATGTTCCTGCAAGAATGTATAGATGTTACAGTGATAAAAATTCTCTACATGTCCATTTAGGCAGGAATTGAAGTGTCTCTAGGGTCCATGACTGTAAGCCCCCTGTGCACATAACTCATTCTCAGGTACTCTGTCATGCAATATTCCTGCAAGAATGTATAGACAGTGATAGAAATTCTCTACATGTCCATTTAGGCAGGAATTGAAGTGTCTCTGAGGTCCATGACTGTAAGCCCCCTGTGCACATAACTCATTCTCAGGTACTCTGTCATGCAATATTCCTGCAAGAATGTATAGATGTTACAGTGATAAAAATTCTTTACATGTCCATTTAGGCAGAAATTGAAGTGTCTCTGGGGTCCATTACTATAAGACCCTAGTAAACACCAGTCATTCTCAGGTACTCTGTCATGCAATATTCCTGCAAGAATGTATAGATGTTACAGTGATAAAAATTCTTTACATGTCCATTTAGGCAGAAATTGAAGTGTCTCTGGGGTCCATTACTATAAGACCCCAGTAAACACCAGTCATTCTCAGGTACTCTGTCATGCAATATTCCTGCAAGAATGTATAGATGTTACAGTGATAAAAATTCTTTACATGTCCATTTAGGCAGAAATTGAAGTGTCTCTGGGGTCCATTACTATAAGACCCCAGTAAACACCAGTCATTCTCAGGTACTCTGTCATGCAATATTCCTGCAAGAATGTATAGATGTTACAGTGATAAAAATTCTTTACATGTCCATTTAGGCAGGAATTGAAGTGTCTCTGAGGTCCATGGCTGTAAGGCCCCAGTAAACACCAGTCATTCTCAGGTACTCTGTAATAGAATAAGTTGAGGAGGAAATCAAATACAAAGATAACAATTAATTTTATCTCATGATCACTTTGGATGTAGGACGTACTTACTAGACATTGACAAATGATATTTAACCTGGATGCAAAAATAGGCTTATGATAGAAACAAATAAACATGATAAATTCACACTATGTATACTTTACTTACATAATCATCTTTCTTTTTGCTGTAGGCGGAGATATAACTGACATGTTTTGCTAACATCAGCTCATTAGAAGAAGAATCGCTGATCACACAATCCTTTATAGGTCCTGCCTGAAAATTAAGTTTCCTGTCAAGTTAGAAAGTGCTGGATTTCATTTGGGTAATTATTGAAAGATCTCACATTTTTCAAAACATGACACTTTTTTTACACATGACCGCGCAGGCCAAAGTTTATGAAAGTTTTATACTCTAGCATTGTGACAAAGTCCATAGCTTGAACATAGTTTTGTTTCATTAGTATTAAAAGCATACACAGTGTTAAGAACCCTCTCTCATCTTTCAAAACCAATTTCAGATTAAACAACCAATCCAGTCATTGTCATAACCATGGGCTTTCTTGTTCTAGATAGTCAGATGAATCATAGAAAATCATTTTACTACAAGGTGTACCAACAAAACTGATCCCTTTTTCTTTCTAGAGTCTAGAATAGGAAGGAAGAATTTAAGTAAATGTAAAGCATTCTACAAATAAAGTGTATGAAAGGAGATTCAATATCAAAATCAAACATATTTCAATGGGAAATTATTCTAAGTAATGATGCTACTAACCATATTGATGATTTTAGCCAGAAATTCACAACTGCAAAATCATGGACAAGAAGACATCTCACTCACATCTGCAATAGAATTAACAATCTCCTAGCCTTCGTTCAGTGCAGTCTGTGCCTCCTCTACCCTACCTCATTCCAGCAAAATTTATCCTTCTAAAGATTTTGACCTGCTTTTAAAAAATATATATCTTTGCATTTGTTACCAATTTAATTCACCATATTTCATGAGATGTTTATTTCTAATGTAATAAGAATTCATTCCTAAGAAAAATGTTAAGTAATTCATCAGAAAAAACTGTTAGAAATAAGAATAAGAGAATACTTAGGATTTTGCAAGGAATTGACCTTTAGCGATCAGAAATCGTTTATCAACACCATTGCTATGCAGTTCATTGGGAATTCCTTTTGAGAAGTGACGTTATTGCAAATACATAATAAGCTATGATACAGGTCAACTCGCCAGAAATGAACACAATATTATTTGAAGCTATTTTAGAAAATTTTGAAACTTCGATCTTGAAAATGTGTAGCAATGTTGATTATAGATCTTGACATATTACAATTTGTTGCTCCACAGAAATTCCCTACCTTTTTGCCTAAAAACACCTTAAATGCAACATCAATTACCTATTTCTATGGTAAAATAAGTTGTAAACATTATCATTTATGCTATATTATAGATTTGGCGTTGTTGATTCAGTATTACAGACCGGACTCAATTTCTCAAGCTTTTGTGATTGTACCCCAGAAATTTTAGAATTATTTTAGAATCATCAGCAAGGTAGTGAAGGTACCAATGAACGAAATGAATTTTGAGAATGTAAAAATAATCTTATGATGAAGCGCCCATTGAATACCGCTAAATTTCAATACACTAATAGTTGTAAGGGTGATAGGATATACAGTGTTCTCAAAAAACAATGAGGAGTTGTGATTACACTACTTGTAAAGCTGTATTAATGAATTCCGTATCAAATGTTTTAAGGTGAATTTAGTAAAATGTAAACCCGGAAGTATTTTTTCAATTTAAGCTTCCTCACTTTCAGATTCTTTAAGGGGTATTTTCTACAGTCTAAACATTAAGAAATAAGCATTGGTTTTTCAAAATAAATAGAGTGTTCCTTCAAGAACGTATTCCCTATAGACACATAGTACTCTTGTCTCCAGGATAGTATGCACAAATAAAGTAAATGTTTTGCTAATAGGCAAAAAATCTCTAAATATCCATGTGAGTTTACCTGTTAAATCTACCCCAATAAATGTGGGGTTGAATTGGCGTTTTTTCTTATATTTTATCATTCTTGTGCCAATTCTCCCCCACACTTGAAACCTATTCCTTATCATGTATCTCGGAAGTATTTCAAAGCAAGTTGAAAGAAAGTTGAAATTATTGATAAATAATTAGGTATTACTCACGTTTTTACGATGTTCGTTTCCACAAATGATTCTTCATCAATATGATACTATTTGTAGCCTCAAGTATATTATATTTAGTCTTTTATCGAAGATTAACTACGGATAACAAGATAATTTTTCAATTTTTCCATTTATAATTTTTGAGCATGCGCAGTAGCGTATTACATATCGAAATGTGCAACAAAACGAAAACGAAATCACAAATAATCGAAAAGTAAAATGGAGAGAATATTTGAAATTATCAAAAGCAAATACAAATTTACCTTTGCAAATTTGAAACAACAGCAACGTTCGACATGGCGAATTTAGCCATTTTCAGTAAATATCACAAGATGGCCGCACATGAAAAATCTTTCACGGATTTGATAATATCTTCCGAAAATATGGACGCTATTGAGCGTATTATGGAGCAAGGATTGGATAATTCCAAAAATGATACCATTGAGGAACTTTGTGCCCAGTTAGATGTGGACCAGATCGAGAATCTGAGGATTGTAATGTTCGAAAAAGCTGTAGGATATCTTGAATCGGAATACAATGAATGTTTTGGACCTATTGAAAACCGCACGCCGGGACAAATACCCCGAAAGCTTAAGCTGAAACTACGTCGTAACAAGACCGATAAAGCAGAGCGTATGGCAAGTGATATTTGTGATATGTATTTATATTTAAACAAGCCTACTACCCAAAATGAAAATCGGGCATTTCCGAGATCAATCCTAAGTGATTCTTCATTCGTTCCAACTATCCCTGATACAGCGAAGCCCACTGAACCTCCCACCCCGGATTATAGATCTATTGATTTGGATACCAGACTGGTGAAATTGACGACGAGGGTGGCGGATTTAGAGAGGGAGAATAAAGAATACAAAAAGGAATTGAATACTATACGTAAGGAATTGCACGATATGAACAACTTGGTATCAACACATATAAAACTGTGCACATGTAGAACCATTTCAAATGGCCAAAACGAAGCTAATCAAGTTAATTCTGGCTCTAAGACCAGTGTATCTGTATGTGAAACTAACCGTGCACCTGTTGACCTCGGTATGAATCAAAACAATGCCATGCACAGACGGGCTTTGAGTGAAAGTTCAATAGCAAGGGACATTACTCTGGATTTATCTGATCAACACCCGTGCGAAACTGAAATGGCGGAGAGCCGCATTAATACCTCATCAAAGATATCTGATGGTAAGTCCGCCCCTGTAAAGGCGCAACCTGGACCATGCATAAACACTACAAATGGGCATTCGTTGAGACCTCTAAATAAAAATGTTCTAAATGCCTCAACCCCAAGTGCTTCGAAAAGGTCCAACTTTGCCACGCATATGTATCGTATTTGCCGCAACGGCAAGTCACATGAAGGACGTTCATCTGACACTGAAACTGACATACCCTTTAAAAAGGGTCTATCTGAGTATGTCGCGAGGGATACATTAGAATCAGAACCCAAAGCCCGCACTTTATCTACATATGCTGCTGCAGCCTCTAAGGCGCAATGGACTGTTGTAAACCATCATAAAAAGACAATACAATCCAACGCCCCGACTGCTGCAAAAGGAATTGTGAAACTCCGTGGAGTAAAAGATGTACGGGGATCGTTTGTATATGTGAATAACCTGAGGATGGAACCTGATGTATCTGATGTCTCATTACGCGATGCAGTCGTGCAGCACGCTCGTAACTCTGGGGTGCGTGTAATGCGTGCTGAGATTGTGAAGAATAAATTCTGCGACGACAAAGTGGGATGCAAACTTTGCGTTCCCGAGACTGATGTACATGTTTTACTATCAGAAAAATTTTGGCCCGACCCATCAATAGTCTGCAGGCGCTGGGAACGACGGGCACCTAGAGCAGCCATGCGACGAGAAAAACCGATTCCAGTTATAACTGGATACCGACGACAGGCTACCCATGCCGATGATCAGTCCGACTATGACTGTGGAATCGACAACCTAGACAGGATGAATGACGCCTACAAGTCACAGATTGATTGGTATGAATATGATAATAATGGCCTATAATAAAACAATGATAAATTCTTACACTTTCCTATTACTTGTTGTGACACTACACATTTGCACATCAGCCCCGAGCGCAGAATTTCACTCCGTGTTATCATTAACAATGTCACCTCATGAGAACAAATTACGATTTGGGCAATGGAACTGTAGAGGTCTTGGGGCCTCTAACCGCTATATATTGGACATTTTGGCGAAATGTGATTTTTTCGCACTAAGCGAACATAAACTCTATGAATGTAATCTCCACAAGTTAGATGATTTGTCAAATGATTTTGTATGTTTGGCTAAAAGCAGTAGTATTTTGGATCCTATGCAATGTGGGACTGTTTGGGGCAGTGGCGGTACCGCCATTTTTTGGCGAAGATCCTTAGACCATATGGTCGTGCCTATGCTAGAGCTGTGCTCGGATAGGATTTTATGTGTTAAATTAGTGTTTGATGATTCTGCATTATTTATATTTTCTGTGTATCTGCCACAGCAAAATTGTCATCATACCACTTTTACTGAAACTTTGGATATTTTGAATGATTGTGTTGAGCGTATATCTAATGATGGTAATGTTGTGATATTTGGCGATGTGAATGCAAATTTAGGTACTTTACAGGGATCACATGGTGTAAGGGATACACAGACGCAGAGTGGCATAGAATTGCACAATTTTTGCCTGAGTAATGAGCTATGGGCAGTTGATACAAACAGAGCTACTTTGGGTCCTGTGCATACATTTGAAATGTTGAGAAATGGTAATTACTATAGGTCATATATTGATCATATTATTGTGTCCCTTCCTCTATGCGGTAATGTTTCCGAATGTGTTATATTAGACAATGAGCCTGGCAACACGTCAGACCATCTCCCCATAATTACGACTTTTAGAGACCTCACTAGTGTTAAGCATGTAATTCAAAGAAATGATTGTGTTGGATATGCGTGGAATAAATTATCATCCGATGAAATTAAATCAACGTACACATCATCTCTTGATTTGCAATGTAAGGGCATTCTGAATGATTTACGGTTAATTGGTGTAAATAATTTGGAAAACTGCCAAATTGATAGTTATATCTTGAAACTGGTAAATGGCCTGATTGAATGCTCTAATGCACATATCCCCATTAAGAAGTTCTCAAAGCATGTAAAGCCATTCTGGAATGATGAATTAACCAGATTAGTAAAGTTAAAGAAGAAAAGATGGCGTGAGTGGGTGTCGGCTGGTCGACCTCGAAATGCGGATAATGTAATTAGGGCCCAATATAAATCTGCCAAATGTGCTTTTAGAAAATGTTTTAGATGTAGTGAGTTTATGTATGAACAAAATGAGCTTAATCGCCTGTACAGGTCAGAATCACTTGATCAGCGTTACTATTGGCATCTTCTCAATAAGAGCCGAAATAGGGCTTCTAGGCGTCTGTCTCCAATTAAATCTGATAATGACGTCATCGTAAGTGACGAGGCTGGAATAAGGGATGAATGGCGCACTCACTTTGCTCGTTTGGCAACCCCTTCTGATAAGCCTCATTTTCACAGCCATGCCAAGTGTGAAATTGAAAATGAAATTATGCATATTAAGCAAACATCATATTTTGAAGATAATACTTTCTTTGATGAACCATTTCAGGATAGTGAAGTGAGTAATGCCATATCACGGTTGCATAATAATCGTGCATGTGGATCGGATACGATATGTGCCGAACATTTAAAATATAGCAATGACACTGTAATTTCGATCATATGTACCCTTTTTAATGCAACCATGTTAAACGAATACACTCCCATGAATTTTAGGTTTGGTATACTGATACCTATATTAAAGGCAGGAAATAAAGATCCTTGTAATAAAGACAATTCCAGAGGCATCACTCTGATGAACATGTTGCGTAAAGTGTACGATCATATTGTGTTAAAAAGAATTGGATCCCTTGCAAAAAATATTATGCCTAACTTACAAGGTGCTTCTCAGAGTCATTGCTCTGCTGTTCATACTTCCCTTTTAGTTCAGGAAACCATTGCCCACAATGTCGAAAAGCATAGAAATGTAATATTAGCCACATTAGATATTAGAAAAGCATTTGACACTGTTTGGTTAGATGGATTGATGGTCAAACTACATAAACTTGGTATCCGTGGCAAACTGTGGCGTATGCTTTATGATAATTACCATAAATATGAATGTGCCGTTCGTGTAGGAAGTTCAAATACACTTTCTAAACCTTTTAATGTCATGCAGGGCGTCCACCAAGGGGGTGTCCTATCTATGCTGTTTTATCAGTTGTACATGGCTGACCTTATTCAGGATCTATGTGAAATGAATATAGGTGGCCACATTGATGATGTAAATTGTGTATGTCCTTCTTATGCGGATGACATGACCATTATTGCCACAAATCAAAAGGATATGCAACTTATGTTAAACGCTGCCTTTGAACATAGTAGAAGATGGCGATATGAAATCCATCCAGCGAAATGTAACTTTCTGACATTTAATGATATGGTCACTGATTCAAGTGTTAAAGGTCATGTCGTTCTCAAGATAGGTGACACGAGAATTCCAAAGGTCAATTTCACTGTTCATGTTGGTATTCCAATATCTAGTAAAAATGATATCTCACAATATGTTAATGATCGCTGCACTAGTGGTAAGCGAAAATTCTGCTCACTTTTGGGACTGGGGCACAAAACAGGTGGTTTGTCACCCTTAACAGCATCAAAACTGTACTGGGCCTTTTCTATTCCAACCATGCTGTTTGGGGCACCAGTTATAAATTACCAAGCGTCAGATGTTGAAAAGCTTGAATTGACTCATAGGGAGATTGGCAAACGTATCCAATTTTTCCCCAAAACCTCAGCCAATCCTAGTGCAACGATGCCGTTGGGATGGTTGTCAATAGACGGCTATATTACAGTGTTGCAGATGATGTATCTCTGGAGTTTACTTAAGTTTAATAATATTTACAGGGATATAACTATAACACGGTTAGTAAAGATGTTTCATGTCACTTATGACAACCATGCCGATATTTTCTCTCCTATCCGGCGCATTTTCCTTAAGACCAAAATGCTAGGAATTGAAAATCTGGTTAAAAATGCGCTGGACTCTGGATATCTTCCGTCGAAGATTTCATGGAGACTGCAAATTGTCAATGCTGTAAGATCCGTCGAGGTCAAGCAATTTTTCTTGCAATGCTCATGTTATGGCAAACTTTTATACCTACGTGACTATGTCACAGACTTAAAACCTTGCATATGGTGGTTGATTTGTCAGAAATATCCTAAATGTCAAAGCCAGTGTAAAACTATGATGCAATTGATATGTAACGCCCATGTATTAAATACGAACAACTTCAATGGTTCAAAACGATGTATATTGTGTAACCTCTGTGAAACTGAAACAATTGAACATTTTATATTAAGATGCCCTATGTATGAACCATATAGGCATAACATATTTGAAGCCCTTGGCTGTCGTGGTGACAGTATGGGTGTTATTATGAAGAAAGTTTTAGGTCTCTCAGATGTTTCATGTGAGACGTTAATAATTGTATCATCATGTGTACACAAAATGTACAATCACAGAGCCAACCTGTTGGCTCTGCTTGACACATAATTTCTCTATCACTTTATTTTTATGTTTTCCAAAACAACAACTTTTTTATCACATAATTTAATCTTATCCTTGTATTTTATATTTTATATGTAAACCATATGTATACTAAAATGTATTCTCTCATATAAATGAGGCAATAAATATACAATACAATACAATACAATACAAGGTAATTTCGTTTTGCCAACAAAAGTTTTGCATTTACCTAGCTTCAGACCGGAACTCAGTAATCCTACAATGCAGTAGAGACTTGTTCAGATTTCAAAAAGCTCACAAATAATCGAAAAGTAAAATGGAGAGAATATTTGAAATTATCAAAAGCAAATACAAATTTACCTTTGCAAATTTGAAACAACAGCAACGTTCGACATGGCGAATTTAGCCATTTTCAGTAAATATCACAAGGTAATTTCGTTTTGCCAACAAAAGTTTTACATTTACCTAGCTTCAGACCGGAACTCAGTAATCCTACAATGCAGTAGAGACTTGTTCAGATTTCAAAAAGCTCACAAAAATTGGAGGCTCACGCATTAAGCTAAATAGTTGCCGATACATAGCATCATTTACATAATCGTTAATAACTTCGGGGAAAGTGTTTTGTCAAAAAAGTCAAGAGAAAAGGTGAGGAAACTGCCTATTTATATTTTGATTTTCTACTTGAATTACCAAGGTACCCAGGTACACGATAAGGAATAGGTTTCAAGTGTGGGGGAGAATTGGCACTAGAATATTAAAAAATAAGAAAAAACGCCAATTCGACCCCACATTTATGGGGGTAGTTAAATCATCCTTTCGCCATCTGCTTTTCAGAACTTTTTTGGTTTCATGCAATCCATGTAAAACACAAATTCTAATGCAACGCCATAGAACAAAAAAAGACTAGAAAAAATATCTGGCACATGTGCACATGTGGGGATTTAAAACCAGTCAGATTATTTTATATATTCGCTCAAGCGATTTTATTCACTCCTGAGCACTTATCATAGAAATCGAACCACAATTGAAGGATAATGCCCATATGGTTAACTCAGTACTTGAAATCATGGGCTTTCAACTAGAAGGGTATGCAACTCTATGTAATGACATGAGACCTTCAAAATGAGCAATGACATGCTTCCCTTTTATGGCAATCAATTTTTAATATGATTTAAAGCATAAAATATATTCAATATCATATAAAAGTAAACAAAAGAGACCAATAAGAATAAGAGTTATCAAGATGTTCTCTTTGAGTATTGCATTGTGGGTAATTATTCAAGAACACATTCCAATAAAAACATAATTTGTGGGAGAATGTCCACTTTCTGTATTGTCATAATTACGATGAATTCCAATTTTTATTAAATTATCAAGATGTATGTAGAAGATCATGTTTTTATATTTGAGTTATTTCTTATAATCATCAATAAAAAGTACAAAATAAGATTTTCTTGGAATGTGTACATTCTCCAATTTTGAAAACCCATGGCAATGTTTATGTATGAAATATGGGAAGTTGCCTACCCCAGGCCTGTCAACTTGGGAACACCTAACATGAGTGACTTGGAAATGTTCAACACCTCCCTTCAAAATGTGGACACCTTGGACCAAATCTGAACACCTTGATCCAAATTTTGAACACCTTGGTTTAAATTTCATTACATCTTGCCAAATTTTGAACACCTCAAATTTTTCGCGCTCGCTACGCTCCCGTTTAAAACATCCATCAACGGGGGGGGGGGGGGGGGGGGGGGGGGGTATGTACGAAAAACTTCGAACATAATGCGTGACATATACGTAATTCGCGTGAAAAGTCCGAACAAAATGCGTACATTTTTTTTCCGGCGTTCGTATTTTTGCTGTGTAGAAGATCTTTTTAGAAATTTTTCTACAGAAATACTTTTGCGTGACAATTACCAGGTAAAATGCGTATTTGCGTGACATTTTCTGTCACGCAAAAATAACTGGCGTGACTTCAAATTCTTCAGCAAATGCGTGACAAATACGCAAATTGCGGGACAGTTGACAGGCCTGCTACCCTTCTAGTTGAAAGCCCATGTTGAAATTCAAACTCAAAATTGCTAGAAATGTATCATTCATCTTTTGAGTCTACTCTCTCTAAAAGGAAGCTGCATATGAAATACAGGCACCACCATGGTTTGGAAATGGTGATTGAAAATCGACTACTCATTTATTTACCGAGAAACTGTATGAACTGTAGACTCTGCTAGATCTATCTGAGGAAAGGAAAATATTCAAACTGAATCCTGGGAAAAATTCAGTCAGTTGGATGGATACGGGCTACTGAAGATATAAGATAATGTAAATCCATACTCACCAATATATTGTATTACACTGAAGATGATATGCATCTAAATAAACGGTGTTTGATTGTTTCGGTAACTATCAGAATATCATTCTGAAATTCTACTTCCGGAATACATAACAATGAGACGCCAGATATAAATTGTAAGCTTTCACGGTGTATAACCCAAACGCTCCTACATGCACGACGGAGCGTTTCATTTACGCGGAAACGCTCCGGAGCGAAATAAAATGGCGGCTAATGAAGATTCCACTATGACCGTAAGTATTGTTTCCCTCGTTTCTCTTACATATCATATGTTATGGTGAAATATTATATACCATTCGATGAACAATACCGTGAGCAAAGATCTTATTTATTCAACTTCTGGTGGTAAACTGTTATTTGCTTGATCAAAGCTCCGTAGTGTAGATCGAAGGAATCTGAAGATGACGATTTGACCACAAATTACGAATTAAACTAGTATTTCTATGAAAACGTTAATATTTCTGTTAAAGTAGTAGATCACAAACTCGTATATTCTCATTTCTTAAAATCCCAGTCCAAATCCATTACTTGTTCTCAAGAAATCGCTTGTTTTCCTCGAAACGCTCCGTCGATTTAGAACACAATTTTAGAAACGCTCTTACCATTTTGTTTTGATATCATTTTCAGATTATTAGAGAAGACTTCCGAATCGAATCTATCTCTCAAAAACGTGTTGTACTTGTTAGGCAAATTGAAACATCTGAACCTGGTGGTGCTAAACGTGCAACTAGCTGATTTAAGCCTACATTAGATGATGTCATGCCTACATGTGTGCTAGATCATAAAACTATAGAAAAAACGAAAATTAATATGTGAATTAATCTTTCTTCTTTTGATGCCAAGGGGTATAATAGATCTTAATTTCTTTCTCTTCATGAAAAGGAAAGGCAAGCTATAAATTTCCTAAACAGATCTAGATTACCGGAGCGTTTCCAGTTCACTGTGTTAACCAGATCGGAGCGTTTCTTGAATATGAGAATGTCATCAATTTTAAGACTGTTTTTTCGGTCATCAAATCACTATTACGATAATGTATGATGCGTTGAAGCATTGGAATTTGACTAAAATATACGTTGGTGCTCTAATCTTGGCTCAACTATTCACATGTATCGACAAAATGGGTTTTGACCGGTAGAATGACAAATACGTTTTTGGATTTTGATAACTATACTGCTTCGTACAGCTCTTCCTAATTGCTTCAAACGTCAACAGCCAGCCAAGTACAACATGAATATCACACCCATCGAATGGTATACTCGAAATATGAAACTCATACCTCTTATTCCCATTATTGGGGAAATCGTCAGACGGCTCATCATTCCCGCCAGCCAGTTTTCCTACTCAGGAGCGTTTCTTTGTTTAATTTCAGTAATGAAACGCTCCGTCGTGCATGTAGGAGCGTTTGGGTTATACACCGTGGCTTTGTTAGTCACAGGTCAAACCACGTTGTGTGAATGAATGGGACTTTTCAAACATTAACGTTTTATTAGTGGACGAATTACACAAGAGTTTTCACACTAAGTGCAGCATTTTACTGTCAATAATGATTATACATTTCACTTTCATTTCAGTAGTAGCATGGGCTCTACCACCTGATCTACCATCTCATAGAGCCCATGGTAGGTCTAGTATTAGAGCTGTTCCTACAACTGGTAAGAAAGTGTCCTACTGTAAGCAACTCTTGTGAAAATTGATGCTATGTTTTTATTTGGTCTAACAAGGTGGTAAACTTTACCTAACTTATTTCAAGTAAGTAAATCTAGCTTACCTATCTCGATGTAAACTTAATACCTACTGAGTACTGAGCTGTACTGTAAACGACGAGTTTCTTTCTGAACAGTGAACAAAATGAAAGAGGGTGCTAGGAGTCTGACATCTGGTTCCTGCAACATAGTACTTGGAATCTATTAATCATTTTTGTCTAAATCAATCAGCGTTCTTGCACACATAAATAATTATATTTCATATAATTCATTTATGTCATCCTTTCAGATGTTTTGACTTATTGAAGGTGTTCACTAAACTTTGTAGATATTGAACAAATATTTCACTCTATTGAGGTGAATACCTGTACATCTTTCACAAGTGATATTCCACGAAGCCCGAAGGGCAAGCCAGATATCCCACGACATGTGACCCGGTTTTGACCAATCATACTGTCGCTAGCTAGATAGTGATATAATAATGCCAGATATTACGTTTATGAATTTTGATAACTAAACTGCTTCGTACAACTCTTCCTAATTGCTTCAAACATCAGCCAGCCTATTACAACATGAATATCACACCCATCGGATTTTATACTCGAAATAAGTAACACATACCTCTTAGTCCCATTATTGGAGAAATCGTCTGACGGCTCAACATTCCCGCCCGCCATTTTCCTACTCTGGAACGTTTCTTTATTTAGTTTCAGTAATGAAACGCTCCGTCGTACGTGTAAGAGCGTTTGGGTTGGACACCGTGTATGTGGTATATCAGGGTACAGTATGTGTCTGATAATTTAAAATCATCCGTCCAGAAAGTGGCAAAATTAAGGAAACCAGAAGACACGGTTCTAAACATTAATTTAAGCTTCGGCGAAATGAAAAATGTCACTCGACATTATGGTGATTTTGAAGTCATGTCTGCACTTCAAAGTTCAAAATCAACGATCTGTAGTAATTTGACACCACCTTCTAATTTGCCACACTGACTTTTTACTGTTTCTCAAAACATTTCTCTCGAAATCAGGAAATTAGGGTGATAAACAGGGAAATATTTCAGCGAATTTCAGTCACAAAAAATTACGAGTGACAACTTACACTTCCTCCGAGTGTAGTAGACTACAGTGTTGATAAGCAATCTCAGTAATAGTTCTACCCAAAGTGTCATTGTAAAATAGTGTGTAAAGGCCGCCATTTTTCAACATGACTGTCATGTGTGTTTCTTAAATATCTACATTTCTAGCTTCTTAATGCCCTATATAAAATATTTACATAGTAAACATATTGCTGTCACAGTTTAATATATTGTACCTCAATTACTGTAAAATCTGCAATCGGTTCTTGAGCAGATTTCCTTCCCACATATAGTATGTGTACAAAATATGAACAAAATTGGGCCAACGGTATCTGAGTTATTGCCCGGACGGACGTATGGACGAATGGAGGCGTTCCCTATAACCCACCGAACTTTTTTTGTTGGGATAAACATATACTATTCTGGTAGTTGGAAGGTTATAGGCATAAACTTAAATAAATACAACTACTAGCGCAATTAAATGAGGTCCTTGTCATTGCATCATTGTCATTGCGTTTATAAAAGAATGCGTGCATTGTACAAGTTTCTGATCATATATCTAGAATATTTTTTGGGGTAATATAGTCTCGAAAATACAGGGAATGGCCCTTTAAGACAATATATATATATATATATACAATATGGAATATATGGCAGAAATTAAATCCGACGCTCGGATACTGTATGCGAGCTTGGAATACGACTGATCAAGTAAGTTCACCTTCATCAAAATAAAAAGATGATTATGATGCTATGTTCTACAGGGTGATCCCCAAAAATGAGGCACTCTTATATTGCAGTAACTTTCTCGGTTGTGATAGCTCCTCATTGAATTTTACTGTGTCGATCGATAGGGTATTCGATGCAGCAAACATTGGTGTAGTTATGTTGCATGTGGGAGTTGGAGAAATCAAGTTTACCCCCAAGGTACGTATGATTTTATGAAAGTGCGTTTATTTTGAAATTTGGATTTCTCTTTTGGCCGTGGATTGCTTCCATACATTATTGATGTTTTCCTGTAAACCCTCTCTGCAGAAGGTTGATGATTTTAGTCAACATGATGAACTTACTTGCTTATTTGATAAAACATGAAAAATACAGATATCTGGAATTATCTTTTTAAAGATTTGACTCGAGAGCATGTCTTGAGGTAAAACCCTGTCAACAAAAGAAAATTCAGATAGATAACACCATGCGTTTTTTTTAATTAGAAAGTTCCATTTTTGGACCATCCTGTAGTTAGTCGTGCAGATAATCAAACGGAGTTCATCATTTTTTATATAGCTGATTACTTAGTACGCCATTAATCGCCATTAATCGAAGCCATATTAATAATTCAAAACTCATGAATGTAACCCCATAAAAGTCTAGCAAATGCTGATGGATTGGTATAAAATGATTTCAATTACGTATGAAAATGCAATTACTTTTGATAATGGACACTAATTTTGATTATTTCATAGTTTTTGTTATAACATTGATGTGAATGTTGATCTTTACAAACAAGCTTTTAAACCATTATCTTTATTTTTATATAATGAATGGATATTGCAATTATGCTATCAAATGACTACACACTTGGGATGTTACGATAAATAGGACTTGTTTTTAGTTTTGTAAACAGTTGCCACAAACAAAGTGAGTATAATATGTGGTAACTTGTCAACTCGTACCCAAGACAACTCGTACCCAAGACAACTCGTACCCAAGTATATATTTTGTTTTGAATCAAGCGTTGGAGTGGGAATGTGAATAGATATACATATTATAATTGTAACATACTGTTCAGAATAGTTTAAAGTTTGAAGAAGAATTTTCGGAAGAAATTGATTTAATTTTGTGACATTTTGAGTTGAGTGTCAATTTTATATTGACTATTATTTAATATTGGTCACAGATTCAGGATGTTCGAGTGAAGAGACATATGTTTATTTCCACATATTCATAATCATTTTTCAAAATATTGTATGATAATGAGTGTTTGGAACAAGTGTCAGATCTAATGTTGTAATTATATTCATTTATATATATGTTTGACAAAAAAAATGTTGAGAACAATTTATTTGATTCCATTATAACATGAAAGCATTACAAACTCAATTTTTGTCTTGGGTACCAGTTGTCTTGGGTACGAGTTGTCCTGGGTACGAGTTGACTAGGAAGCTAATATGTTCGTGCAGTACGTACTGACGTTATACAGTATGCGAACTGGATGAACGAGTTTCAAACGGGATTGCAACATAAAAATGTTGAGCAAGGTTGAAGTTCTGGACCACCTTCCCGCCAGAGCACGTCCACGAAGTTCATAAAAACTACGGTACGTCCAATGCCTT